GCACCAGACTGTGATCCGACGATCCAAGCGGAGCTTCGACGGAAATCACATAGTTGTCTGGGTGGGTGGTCAGCAGAAGGTCCAACAGTGAAGGTGAATGGTCCAACACATCAGGTATTCGCGTAGGCGAGGAAACAAGCTGCGTCAGACCATAAGCCAAAGCAAAGTCATGAACAGATCTTCCCGCATAGTCGGTTGTACGTGAACCAAGCCATTCGGTATGGTGGGCATTAAAATCGCCAAGAATCACGACTTCAGCGGAAGGAATCTGTTCGAGCAGGGAATCTGTAGCCATTTGGACGTGCTCAATGAGTTGGTCGGTTTCGATGTTACCGCTGTGGGACCTGTATAGGCATGCATAGACGCGAGGATGGTCGTTGCAGTCTACGCGCAGCCATAAAATAGACAGGTCCGTACCTTCAAGAGTTCCAAGGCGGCGACAGCAGATATCCTCTCTGACATACGCGCATACACCGGCACGCGAAACAAAACAATGTTCAAGTTTATAGCCCGGGTACGTCAGGTATGAAGTTTCGTTTGGAGAGGATATCTGTGTCTCCGTTAGAAAGAGCAATGCCGGCCGCGCCGTTTCTAGGTGGTGGTGGACAGCGTTTAGGTTAGAATGTAATCCCCTGATATTGCAGAAGCTCACATTGAGCGAAGGGGATGCCGTAGAAATCTTGCTCCGTTTGCCCTTGGTTCCAAAGAGCGGAATTTTGCCCCCCCCCAGAATACGCAGGGCAGCCCGAGCGTGGTTGCTCGAGAGAGGATTCTCCAGCAACATGGTTACTGGTACCTCCCTGGGGTATGTTATTTTTTTTTAATTCCACTGCCATGGTTGCGTGTTGTAAGATAGGGGGACGGGGTTGGGGAAAGGATTTTAGGAATAGGAAAGGGATGGGTATGGGATGGGTATGGGATGGGCCTCCGGACTCCCTCACTCACCATACGGAATGTGATCGCACTGAAAGTGCAACCACTTAGCGTCGGTATTCTGTGAGGGTGTGGTACTTCCCCGGTCGAGCCGGCCCATTCATGCTGCAATATCATATGGTATTACAGCGTGGCTCTACCACCTGATATATATATATATATATATATATATATATATATATATATATATATATATATATATATATATATATATATTATGCTTGTAAGAACACATGTATATGTCATTTTTTATTTCCACGGAAAAGAAAGGTGCTTACCTATTATTCTATGACGAGACCACGCGGCGAATACTGAATTAACTGTAATAGAGGAAAGAAAACAATCTATGACTCGGAGTAACCAGCAAGGATAAGTTTAAAGAGAAAGTGGGAAAAGAAGTCTTCTTTAAATACAAAATAATAATTCGACCTTTTTTAAGAAGTAGGAGTGCAATTTATTTATAACAAATTTCATTTTTTTTTTATAGTAAGACCCTGAGTATTTATACATATATACCTACTATTTGCTAGGTATATTGATTTATTGATTGATTTTGTCGTCTGCTCTATGACATGCAATTTATAATCAATAACATGATATACATAGATATAAAAGATATAAACACAATCACGTCTTGGCCTAATGGTTTAATCCTTTTATAGACTCCAAAGTGCATAGAATATTATGTGCCAATTTAATTTTCTGACCACCGTTTTTGGTAACCAAATTGTTAGGAAAGGAACGTTAAATACGGAGATTAGTGCTGCATAGCCAACAATATACCCTTCAAAACATGAAGCTCTTTTAAATATTTCTTTTCTATTTAAATTTTATACTTTTCTCTTAAATCTATCACTCGCTTTCTATTATTTTTATGTGTCTTACTTTCCATAATATATTGCCGCTGTCCACTGCTTGACTTTTTATTTTCATTTCATTTTATTTCCATTAATTCCATTTTAACCCTCGCAAAAATAACGCGGTCCCATCTGAAAATCAGTAGGATTTTTTTTATACCACTGAATGTGGCAAACAAGCATACGGTCCACCTGATGGTAAGCGGTTACCGTAGCCTATGAACGCCTGCAATACCAGAGGTATTATTAATTATATTAATTAATTCCTGATGATTATATAATATTTAATAATTACAACATTAATAAAGTTTTTACTTTATTATTTTTATTTTACGAAATGAAGAATAATAATCACGATGATTTTGAGGAGTAGCATGACGGTCAATCTAATACGATATATTACTAGGGCTAATGGGGCCGTTACATCAGATTTCAAGCAATCCCTTTCCTCCCCTTATATCAATATTTGGTATATACATATTACATATTTGTGACGGAAAAGGACATAGATTATTTATCCTAATCAATCATCATATATATATATATATATATATATATATATATATATATATATATATATATATATATTATCTACCTGTATGGAACCGGGCTATATCGCTAGTTTTTTTTTTCTTTTTTTTTCATATTATATTATATCGCTAGTTTTATATAAAAACAAACCTCTGTACCCTGTAATTTCACTGCCATATCTCACTCTTCAAACCGAAACACAGCCATGCAAACACAACTGCTTTACTATTACTTTATTTACTGTAGAAACATGGAAGGAACAGAAGTGCCCAAGCAAACGACTTTTGTACAAAGTCTCCCTCTGGTATATTCACAGCTATAACACGACCATTACGACTAATTGTAATATAAGTACCTAATCTCATATTTCCATGCCGAATTCATAGGTATATTTCCTCTAAAATAACAACAGAATTATAGCTTATCGGCCTTATGAACTACCTATTACAATTAGATTGTACTATTTATTTCCCGCTGCTTTGCTCGCATGAATCAGTATATAAAGTATTCTAAGTTTTATAAACCTACCAAAATTCATTCAAATCTGATCAGCCGTTTAAGTGTCTTACATTCAAGTGTTACATTCAAATAAAAATAAATGAAATTGATTTATTAATATAAGGCACTGCTTACTTGGAAATACTAGATAATATGGTTTGGTAAATATATAAACTTTTTACCATCAAGTGACATGTATGCTCGTTTGCCTGATGTGTTATAAAAAAACCGGGATAGAGAATCACTTATATCCTCCTCTATCCCAAAAACTACGTATTCTAAACTTCCTAATCCCACTTCTTTATCATTAATAATCGTTTGTGTTTTCTTTTTTCATTATATTTATATTATTTTTGTGTCTCTCATTCAGTTTCAGGATGTAGCTGAGAAGATACTACAAAAAATTCAGCAGTTACTCCATAAAATATTTAAAAGGTTTTAAAATCAACTTAAAATAATAGTAATAATAGTGTCTATAGAATAGGATATCGCACAATTAATAGAAAAATTAATATATTATTATGTTACAACATAATAATAAATTACATTATAGCATGGAATTTCACATAAGCTTAAATTATATAGATAGAATATTTTCATACAAATGCTTCTACGAAAACAGGTCAACTGAGTATCCCTGTGCGTAAATAGGGTTGCCATAATGTACATTTATTACTCAGTATATGGGGGAAATTACACTATAAGGTTAAATTGAAATATATGAACGATACAAAATTATTAATAAAATATCTGAAAGAATATAGTAAACAGTGCATAAATTTTTGTAATGATAGTCATATTTACCCGATTAATTCGATTTATTTGTAATTATAGATGTAAAATATGTTTTTTTTTTAAATTATTAAAATTAACTACCATTTTAATATCATGCATGTATATTAATTTGTAAGCAATACATTATTATTATTTTTTAAATTGTATCAAAAACAAAATAGTTTTCAATTCAAATTTGAGAAATGACCTAATCTGGGTAATTGTTAAGCAAATTACTGGCAATACCTAAAAAATGGCGCGTTTTATTTTATTTATTGTCATTATGCCGTATAGTGAAGAGCCCTGCTTATCTTAAAGTACAGGATTTACCTATTTAGGGAGCAGAGTTTTAGCTATATTTAAAATGTAACATTTATTTTGAAATAAATTATTATTATTAATTATTGAAAAAAAAAATACGAGTCGAATTCAGACAGCCAATGTCAATTTAGTTGATAAAATATTGACACGTTTTTGTCACTGTATACTCTATCTATAGAATTTATGCACATATCGCTACGATGGACCTAACGCTTCGATGGATCATAAAAGACTGCTCCTTTACAAACCGTCGGTATAAGAGTGACACTGAAACTCCAACAGAAAACATTAATATGTTGAATACCCACAGTTTTATGCTACTCAACTATAATCAACACAATAAGTCCGCTTGTGTACCTTGTTAGGTTTTTATAACAATTATATTTGTGTGAAATGTGAAACCTATCTATTTTTATACCATATCCCCGAAAAAATCAATTTTATTATTATTATAAATTTTTAATACGAAAATTTGTAAGGATGGATGTCTGTCTGAACTGCAGCAACATAGATTTTATTTAATTTATATATTAATGACCCTGACTTCAGGAACACCCATTGTTATAGTTTCTTTTATACATACGCTTATATTACTTGCATATGCAAGTACCCACTCTAACCTGCATACCTTGTTTTAGAATTATAATTTTCGTTTATATAAATAAAATCCGTTATTGACTGTATTTATAAGAAAGTTAGCATGAAAATTATTTTTAAGAGCTGTGGATTTTTGTATTATTAAATAAATAAATTGTTATTCTTTCACGCAAAAACTACAAAACGGATGTGACTGAAATTAGTTACATGGGTAGATCATATCCTAACACAATATATAGGAGACCCAGGAGATACCTGAGTCACGTTAGAAAAGCTACAGCAAGACAACTAATGTGTAATAAAGTTTATACAAACAAATAAATAAATATCCCTATCATTAAATTTAGACTAATTCATAATAAACAAAAAAATATTAAATTTATTGCAATATTTCAGATAATATTTTTTTTTACAACACAGGGGGCAATCGAGCATGCGGCTCACCTGATGGTAAGTAACTACCGCCGCCTATGATCACCCACAATACCAGCGGCATTGCAGGTGTGCTGCCGGCCTTTTAAAAAGGAATATACTCTTTTCTTGAAGGTTATGTTGTCGTATCGGTTCGGAAATACTGCTGCTGGAAGTTGATTCCAAAGAATGGTTGTGCGTGGGAGAAAGTGCCTTGAAAAACGCATGGTGGAAGATGTAGTTACTTATAATTTACTGTATTAACATTAAAATAATAAAATAATAATAAACAAATCATTTGTACAATATTTTTATTTAATCACAATATATACACAATGTTATAATAGGCGAATGTCTTGACAATAGTCATTTAGATTATTAATTTATTATAAATAAATAACATTTTATAAATAAGGTCATGTATTGACTCCATTGTAAAAACACATCTACTGTTACCTCCGCTACAGTGGAATTCACTAACAAACGTACAAACCTTATAAATTTTTACAATTACAGTATCCGTAAGATAAATATAAAATGTTAATCGACTTCATTTAAATCTCTTAACGATTAGATTAAACTATATAAAGATTGTACGCAATATTTTGTTATACTCAGATTCCCTTTAGATTTATTTTGAATAAGTAATTTTTTTTGCTACCAATTCTGAGTAGTTTAATTTTAAACTAATTTGTTTTTTTTTTATATTTGCACATAGCGTTATTCGATATGGAATTTAAATTATTTTTTATAATTAATTTAGTTTTTATTATTAAGGTAAATGCTTACATTGAAGCAGACTACGATCGCACGAATGTTTTTGACCCTAAAATATACGAAGATGTGTTGAATAAAGAAGAATGCGTCAAACAAATTAAATATATTGTGGAAAACAACGTTTTGTTGTTGGGTCGATGTAAGTTTGAATATTATTATTATTATACTATTTTTATACATTTTTTTTTATTATATTTAAAATATCGAATAAGCTGAGAGCCCAACAGATAGATCTTCGCTTATAGAAATGAACAGCACCATGGATCTTACAGAACACACTATTATACTCATGATATTTCTCATCATCATCATCTCAGCCATTATTTGTCCACTGCTGAACTGGAACTGGTCATTTCTCCACACCAGAGACACTTATAAAAAAAAAGGCAAACGAGATTAATGCATTCTCCCTCTAGTATTAAATAATTTATTTTAGCAGTAAGATTCTTATAAAGTAGGCAGAATGTGCCACCCCTTTTCTTTCCCGTGGATGTAGTAAGGGGCGACTAAGGGAACTTAATGGTAGAGGGTTTTTTTTAATAGGTGATAATGGAATGGTAACCCCACTCGCGTATACACCGGCGACGCATCAGTGTAGAACGATTTAAATCGTCAAGAATTTAAAAAGAATTGTTTACGATGGTTTGCAGGGGAAACCACTTGGAGGTCGGTCTAACGGGGCATATTGCTAGCAATGGGGCTTTCAAACCATTGCTAACAATCCCTTTCCCCCATGGTAGAGGGATTGGCAGCAGTATCCCTCTTAAAACATCACAAAAAGTCATACTTTCAATCTACTTGCTAAGCGTGGCAACTACTGGTAAAATCCCTCAATAGTAAACTGCCATAAGGAATGGTCGTAAAATATTCTAAAATAACTGTAATTTGTCATATAAAAACTAATTCAGAAGCTATTTTTTTATTATTAAATCGTATAAAATAGAGATAATGTCTCAGTCGTAAAATCATAATTATAATATTAATTTTAGCATTTTCAAATATTATAATCTGATATTCTAAAAAAAAATATGTACCCGTATTATTTACTTAGTATATTAATATAAAGTACCAGAGGGAGACTTTGTACAAAAGTCGATTGCTTGGGTACCTCTGTCCCATTCGTGTTTCAACCGTGAAGCAGTTGTGTTTGCATGGCTATGTTTCGGTTTGAAGGGTGGGATATAGCGTGAATTTACTGGGTACAGAGGAATAATACCTGAGTCCTCAGGAATGGCAACGCATGAAGGGGGTTTCATGGGCGAAACAGTATACTCTGTTATGTCCATGGTACTGCTCATGTCTATAGGCGACGGTTACCCCTTTCCATCAGGTGGGCCGTCAGCTTGTTTCCCATTCTAAGCTGTATAAAAAAAAATTCTGTATTTATTTATTAGACAGGAGCCAGAAAGTTCCTGTATGCGACTTACACTAGATACAGATTTTTGACAATTACAACAAGAAAATCTTTTACCTTATAAAAATCGATATTTGTACCTAAAAATCTTACACGTCCATGTTTTTATTATCATATATGATATGTGAAAATCTTTTATAAGATCGTTTTATTCTTCATCCAAATTAACTGCTTATATTCAAATTCAAATAATCTTTTTTCAAATAGACTTGTTTACAAGCACTTTTAAATCTTTTTTTTTTTTTTTAATCTACTGCAGGGTTCGAAAAGTTGTTATCTGTTGAGTAGAGTCCGCAAAAAACTCAATAGTTACTCTTTTAAATCTCTACTAACATTATGTGTATTTATTTAAATGTACTATGTATAAAATTACACGGTCATTAAAAAAAAAGCCCGTGCATGATCGACTAACACTATGCACGCTTGTCTTTTAAGTAATTGTTTAAAGTGTAATAGGCTTTAGTCAATAATACTTTAATAATATATCATTTGATATAAATAGTATAAACATATGAATACTTTTAGATTCCTCGTCCTCTTCATATGATAGGTTTATAATCTAAAAGAGAACGTCGATTCTCGTTTAGATTACAAATAGTGATTAATGCAGGGGAGTTATCTCCTGCGTTAATCATTATTTGTGCCAACTATTGTAATTTATTAAATATAAAAATTACCGGTTATATATCATAATTCTAAAGGACTTCACTTCCTTGTCAATAGATTAGCGACAGACAGATAATAAAATGAGAATTACGTGTACAAATAAACAAAAACAATTTAATAATACTGCATTATAATATTTATAACAACTTCATTAATAAAAAATAATATTGAGTGAATAGTTTTATGTCCGTGTGGTCCTGGCATAGATTAAGTCATTACCTTCCTATTCCTTGGGTGTCGTAAGAGTCGACTAAGGGATGGCAAGGAATGGACAGCAGCGTCCCTCTTAAAACATTTCTAAAGTCTGACTGCGGTTGCCCATCCGCCAAGCGTAACAACTACGGAAAAAACCCAAGGGGGAGGCTTACTCGTATATTAAGCAGTAAAAGTCTGATAATAAAGAACGGAAGTACACAATGGGGTACCTACCAACAAGGCCGGCCTCAGTGTACAAAGGTCAACGCCGTTTACACCAAAGTCCTTCATTAATCCTAACCATACCTATAAGAAACAAAGAACAAAAACAATTCGATAATAGTTTATTATAATATTTGTCATAATTTTATTAATGAAAATTAATAGTTTGTAAATAATTTCGTAAGAAATTCAATAATACATAAAATAAATAAAAAAAAAACTACGGTTCATAAAGAACGGAAATATTTACGCAATTCTTGCAATGGGGTACCTATACCATAGTGTATAAAGGTCAACGATGTCCACTCCAAAGTCGAAAGAATTTGATGCGATCCCTTATTAGTTATATTTATTGACATAAATAGATACTAGCTTTTTTTTGACTTCGTCCGCGTGATCGAAATATGTCAATTGAACGGGCTAAATAATAGCTTTATTCCTTTATTCCATATATTACATGTATTTTTTATTTATTTTACACTTTATCATACCAAGTAAAATGTATAATGTATATATATATATATATATATATATATATATATATATATATATATATATATATATATATATATATATATATATATATATACATTATTTATTTTAAAAATAAATTTATTTATTTATTTAATATTATAACAACATTATACATTCCCTTAAAAATATATAATATAATGTTACGAAACACTAATATCGAAACGGTATTACACAGCATGATTGATTTATTTTATTAGTATAAATATATTTTTATATTAGTATATTATATGTAGTTTATATTTATTTCAGTTTTGGATGCGAGTTTGAGGATACCGCGAAGTATACAAAAAGGGAATCTTCTCGATATAGGCAGTTACTATGAATGTTTAGAAATAAAGGAGAATGAAGAAGATATGAATATAGAAGGAAAATATTGTATGATGAAGATACCATTAGGTCAAAATATTAGTATGGACAGTCTTTCAACAAAGCTTGACCTTCCACAAATGATGTGGTCCGAGTTTAATCCAAAAATATTTGAAATCAATAATAGTACTTACAATGATCTGATATCACAAATAGCTTTAAAAAGACAATTACAATTATTGGTTGGTATAACACCAAAAAACATCCAAAGGTAAGTGTAAATTATAAGAATACTAGCTTTCACCTGCGAATTCGTCTGACTGGGATAAATTGACTGATCCCATTAAAAAGTAGCCTATGTCCTTTTTTATTACATACCATGTACACACAAAATTTCATTACGCAATAATTGCTTACTGTTATTATTAATTGGTTGGTCACTAAACAAAACTGGACACGAAATACTAGATGGCGCTAAAATCTAAACTTGTGGTTTTTATTGAATAATTTGTAAAGATGATCTGAGACAAAATTTCTAAATTGGCGGGTGAACTTTAAGACGTAACAAAACAAACACACTTTTATATAACTCATTTCATGTATGATTTCCACTGAAAACTTTAAGGCTTTGTAAATTGCTGAGATAAGTCTCGTATTTTGATCATACCAAAAAGGAAAAGAGATATATATACTGCATAAATAGTCTTTAAATATTTTTTTCTTATCTTTGTTCTTTTTTTTATATGTTACAGACACAGTGATTAAATAGCTATTATACATAATAAATGATAAATTATCACTTTGTCTAAATTGAATAGAAATTATATGTAATGATTGGACAGCACATATAATATCCAGATTTATTATTTTCACTATGACATATATATATATATATATATATATATATATATATATATATATATATATATATATATATATATATATATATATATTATTAGTTAGTAATAAGTTTTAAATCTTATCTGTATTGTGTGTCTCTATGTATGTTCAAAAAATAAATGCCTATATAGATAAATATGTAGATAAATTGATAGCTATTTATCTGTCTGTCATATTTATAATATTAGTAAGTACTTACCATAAGGTTATTTTCAGCAAAAAACAAAATTAAATTACGATATCAATTCGATTAGTTTGCAAAACGATTATCAAAATTTCATCAGAAATAGCGAAAATATCGTATAATATATACTATATGTATAGTATATGTAACGTAATAATATACAAGTGACTTAGGAAATCTAAAAGAAAAGTATAATAGTATTTTCAGTGGGAAATTCACCGTGTAGTCCTGGCATAGAATGAACCACTCCTTCCGTTTCCATGGGTGTAAGAAACGACAAACGGAACGTAAAGGTCGAACGTATAGGCAGCAGAATTCATTTTATTTAGTCTTATATAAAAATAATCAATCGATGAATATATGTAAAAACATCACTTTAGAAAAGCTGTACCATAATTCTTTTTTGTTGTATTTGTAATTATTAGAACAAGGTTTATATGAAAAAAAAATGTTTGAATGTCTTACGGAATAGTAAAAAAATTTACAACAAAGGAAAGATTTGACCGCACCCATATGAAACCAGGTCAGATTGAGCAATCAGTTTATAATATTAATAAAGATTAAAAATGCTTATATTAATATCAATATTTTCAGAGATGATGATGAGAATCCACTGTCTGATATCAGTATAGAATTAGCAGTGTGCATACCAAAGACCTGTTCTTTACAGAATGCACTAAACACTATACTAGATCTCCAACCAACTGATTTGCAAATTGAAGAAGCATATTGTAGACTTCCTAATGATAAACCGTGGGTTGCTGCAGATTACGTTGCTTTGTAAGTATTTGTATTTACTATAATTTATAGTTATAAAGTCGTTTGTCCTGACTGTCAATACACAGTCACAAAACTACTAAGACTAGAAAGCTGAAATTTGGAATGTAAGTTGATTTTATAACGTAAACATTCGCTGAGAAAGGATTTTTAAAAATTACAACTTAAAGTGGAAACACGACACTACGTACGCAGAACCGCGAAAAACAGCTAGTAAGTAAATAATTCTTTTATGTATACTCATATTATCATCAATCATAATCAGTGAATTTCTAATAGTTTTAAGGGATTTAATAATTTTAAGTTATCTAATAGTTTTAAGATATAGTTTGTTGTTGTTGTTTGCTGCTACTAATGTCTTGAATAGGTTACGTAATTTCCTTATTGATAACACCAAAATTGGCTCGCACACACCTTACTCTTGCCCAATCTCGATTATGCCAGCTTCTGTTATTTAGACCCCACCGAAAAGCAATTAAACAAGTTTGAGCGTCTTCAAAATTTATGTATCCGCTTCATATTTGGTCTTTGCAAATATGATCACATTTCTCAAATTTGTACTCAACTCAATGGCTCCCTAACCGATTTCGTCGTAATCTGCATATCCTGTCTCTTCTTTATACAATCCTTTTTAATCTTGTTGTGCTTGATTACCTAAAAGACCGATTCGTGAGACTAATGATCATACTTTATAATAACCTCCACCTCAAATTTCCCAATCATTCTTTTTTCTTTTATTCTAAATCCTTTACTATCCCAGCAGTTCGCCATTGAAACCTACTACCTATCTCTATTCGGTGCGCTCTAACTCTCGCTAGCTTCAAAACCTCTGTTAAATCCTATTATCTCTCCATTTAGTACCATTTTCCTGTATTCTTTCTTCGTTTTCCTTGGTCATTCTCTTCTGTTGTATGTATGCTATTAAATATATGTATGTTTCTATATATATGTATGTTTGTATACGATAATATCTATATAATAGTGCGCCGCCTACTTTTTGTCTTTTTTTCGATGTCCCCTACCCAAAAGGTTGTCTGGAAGAGATTGCTTAGCGATAAGGCCGTCTTTTGTATCGCTTCTCATTAATATTTACTGTATTTATTATTTTTTTACTTGGTACAATAATGTGTATATAAATAAATATAGTTTTAAAATAAAAAAAATATATATTGCCGATATTATTATCTATCTGACTTAATGTACTATTAATATAAAATTGTAACGAAGGTAATTAAAATATTTTTCAGGTATACTAATACTGTTTTTATTTTTAAAACTTATGTACCATATATCTAAATATTGATACGCTAGTAGTTGTAATTATCAAATCTTGATATATTTGGATAACCAAAGTCCATTTATATCTATACTAATATTAGAAAGGGAAAAGGTTTGTTTGTAACATAGGCTATATATTATTTTCGTCTAGTCTATCTATGTAATGTAATGGAAGGGAATACATAAAATCATAAATTAATTTACTATATGAAATTATATTTATATTTTTAATTTTATTTTAATGGATAAAAATGGAATGGTAATCCCAATTGCGCTATCAGTACACTCTGGGACAAATACGGAGCACAAGTAAGAGATAATCTACGAGGATCATTGGCCTATCGTGACGAATGTGACAAGAATTATCCACTACGGTTTCTACGGGGAACCGCGTGCATGTCGACCTGATATTGTTAATTAAACTCGATTACTAATAATCTCTTTTTTCCTATAGTCTATATTGGCAACGTCATATTTTAAAAATCTACCTGATGCTTTACTATATTTTAGTTTCATGTATTTACCACGAAGCAGTTGTCTTTACATGGCTGTATTTCGGTTTAAGAGATGGAATCTTAGGATGGAGCATGGCAATAAAGTTACAGGATACATAGACATGACACCTTACTCCTAAGAAATGGCAACGAATGAAAGATGTCGTAGGGGAATCATGTAACTGTTCATGTCCATTGGCGTCGATTACCACTTTCCATCAGGGGGCCGTTAGCTTGTTTGTTTCAGAGTTGCATATTATAAATATGATTTTTTTTAACTTTTAAACCTATACCTATTTATTATAACGATTTTATTGTTTTTTTTTGTATGTATATGTGTATATATATATATACATATTGATTATTCTATAATATAATGTCGAAATAAGGAACCAGATCGAATTGGATATAGATATCCCATTAGTGCGGGTACTGATATAGGTATGGCACCGGTATTATCCATTTCATCATACATTGTAGATATCTGATGTTAGAATTTGTGAAATTGACGTGTTTACAATTGGTATCAAAAAGTTCAACTGCTTTTTTTTTAAATAAAAATTGTATTATTTGTTTCAGAGTTATATTTACATTACTTGGTATTGTTATTGTATTAAGTACTGCTTATGATCTTCGACTTCAAATATTTCTAAAGAAAGGTGATTATTTACTATATTTTATTCTTCTATTTTTATTTCTAAAAATATATATGTATGAAATAATAATAAAATAATTTATTCCTTAAAATTTATATGGTAAGATTATTACAAATCCTCTACCGATTTTTATAAAATCATTTATTGCCAACCCACGTGCTAAGTGTGCCAAAACTCCCCTTATGAGGAAGGCTATTTTCAGCAGTGGACAGTTAACGTAACTATTTAGTCTTCTTTTTCTTTAAATTTTAGAGTTTCCTCTTGTCGAGATAAAACATACATCAGATTTTAAATTAGACTTTCAAGAACACTACTGTGAAAACTGTATTTAAATTTTTACAGTAGTATAATATTTGCATGACGCTAGAACAAACAGACAGATAGGCAAACAAAATTTCTAATCATTGTTATTTTTACTTCTAATGTCCTCATTCTCTCTCTCATCTCATTTAAGAATTTCCTCTTGTCGGACAACTAATTCATGCATTTTTTTCCGGCCAGCTCTTTTCCAGGCCGTATCTCTTCCCTATACGACACGACACCTAGTTTTTCTTATATCTGTCCATGTAGTTATTTCTCGGTCTTTCCTTTCTTCTTTTACCTTCTATTTTGCCTTCTAGTATGCTCTTTAAAAATCGTCGTGTTGTATAAGATGGCCCAGCATTTTGCCTCATCTATTCTTAATTGTTTTTATTAATGTTTCTTTCTCATTCGCCCTTTTCAAGACTTCCTCTTTCATTACTTTTTATGTCCAGCTTATCTTTTCCATTCTCCTCTATGTTGTGGACATCGAATGTCTCAAGCATCTTTCTTTCTTTTTGCGTCATTGTCCATGCCTTCAGTAATACCCCTCAAATCGAATCCCGAATCTCAAATATGGTTCCGGCTTACAATGGTCTAACCCTTTCTGTCCCGTGGGTATCGAAAATGACGATTAATTGACTTTAATGAACGAGGGATAGGCAGCAGCGTCCCTCCTAAAACATCTCAATAACAACTGTGGTTGCCAACTCGCCTGCCAAGCAAGGAAACTACTAGCAAACCCCCTTATGGAGGAGACCTATGTCCAACAGTAGACATTCAAAGGCTGATATAATAATATTTGTATATAATATTTAAATATAATAATATTTATATATTATATATAATATATTTTTGTAAAAATTTAAATAATAATAAAAATACATACATTGTTTAGTTACAATTTCAATATGTTACGTATGTAGCGTGAGTAAAATTATCGTCTCAATATTATCGTGACATATTTTTTTAGATCCAAAAACGACCAACAAGCTTCTTTTGTCTTATTCTGTCTACACCAACACTATACGACTGGTGACATACAAACCATCTCCCGGAGCTCTGGAATGCGTGGATGGTATCAGGGCATTTGCAATGATGTGGGTCATCATTGGACATACGTTTGTAAATCTCATGTCAGTAAATATGTTACATAATCCTTCAGATGTTAAAAAAGTAAGTAAAATTACAATATTAGTAAAAAAAAATAGATTCAAAAAATAGGTTCAAAGTAAAAAAAAAATAGATTCAAAAAATAGGTTCAAAGACATATATATATTATTATATATATATATCTAGAATTAACATTTTTATGTATAAAAATATACATTTAGGTAGGTATGTAGTATCCACCGACTTACTGAGATTAGATAACGCCGTGTAATATTTTTAGTAGTATTTATTAATTATCTATAAAGTAAATTAATGAAGAGTTTGGTTGTTTGTATAAATTCGTTAACCTCTGGAACTACTAGTCTGATTTGAAACATTCTTTTTACATTTGATACCTCATTTCTTGAGTAAAGAGATGAAGTATCTTGACTGTTCAACATCACGATACGTTTACGATCGAAACCGGAAGATATAGTTACTATAATATAAACATTAAATATTATTATCATTTACAGTTCGTAATATCATTTTGGTCACTATGGATTTCGTCTGCTCCTATCACAGTGGACACATTCTTTGCACTAAGCGGCCTTTTACTGGTTTATTCTACAGCAGGCAAAGTGACAGGATGTAAGTAAATTTCATTCGAATAATATTGTTGCTAACAACTTGGTCAAAACTTACACGTCTTGATCAATCGTAGATTCACAAAATGATATAGAAACATAGCGTCAAATAATAAATATAAAAATATAAAACATAAAAAAAGGTCGGTTGATCAAGTTACCAGCAACATCCCAACCTGAAGCGAAGCCACATTATGATCTATTGACAGTTTATTGATAACTTGGCGTGCTTCGTGAATGGCCGATACAGTAGCTCCCTGAAATGATTAATTCCACTACTTGTAAAATTCGAATGCGATCTGAAACTATAGCAACTATTCGACATAGAAACCAATTCAAGGCAGCGAAGGTTCTGCGACGAGAACCATACTTTCCACGATAATTGAGCTCGATTTTGAGTAGGGAATCTTCTTAGAATCAGGTTAAGCAAATTTTTTTTGAACTAACAACTTTAAAACATGTCAGCATGGCATTAACTCTTTTGCCAGTTACTCCATTTAAGAAATTCCCTATCATCAGAATTAACCAGGAGTAGATAATAAGAAGAGAACGGGTAAAGTGGGATCCAGGAAAACATTCGTAGGATCCTGTCATTCACTAGAGCTTCTGTCTAGTAAAGCTGTATGAAGTTCTTCTTTTGGTGCACGTTTTTGCAAAATAAATTGCATCAATAGACAAAGATTCTAACACTCCTTAAGTACAAATATTCAGCTTTCCGATCTAATGGAGCGCTTGCTTGTCTAATGCCCAGAGCAGCACAATAGAGTCACTGTTAATGGTCTAGATCTTTCAATATAAAAAACGGAAAATATTTATTTCAACTCGCGTTGGCTATATAGGTTTGGCTTTGGTATTTGTACTGTTGGCTTACTATAACATATATACAGATATTAATAGCTAATACAGAAGGTTGAGGACCTGGTAGTAATAGTGGTGATCAAAAAAATAATACTTATTAAATAACCAGTGAGTAATAAATATCCATTCAAATAGAACTCATAGTAAACTATAGTTTCAGCGGTCTAAGCATTTACTACGTGTATATTACTAGATAATATTACTAAATACTAAAAGATTGTAGACGAATATTATATTGAAAAATTTCGCTTGTCTTATTCATAAAGACTAATAATATAAAGAGGAAAAATTTACTGTCTGTTTTTTTGTGTGTAAAAACAAAAAAAAAATTAGTAAAATTGATTTTAAAATTTCTTTTATCTATCTTTTAGCTACATTATAAGCGAGTAACGTAGGTTATATTTTATTTCGTAAAAAAAATCGAAAATTCTATCTATACATGCGAAGCCGGCCCGAAGTGCTGGTATTTTATAAAGATATTAGGTAAAAATAAATATATTTTTATATTCCAGTGAAGCTCATTAAGAACTTGCACTTGTTCTATTTGAATCGATATCTTCGTCTATTCCCATTGCTGGCGGCTTGTATACTCCTTCAAGCATCACTGTTTCATCGGGTATCAGACGGACCCATGTGGGAAGAAGTTGCAATACAAACAGAGAGGTGCAGAAAATATTGGTGGTCCACATTACTGTACATCCAAAACTACTATAACCCCACCAGTATGGTTAGTATAATACACTTACTATAAACAAATCTGGTAACGTCCTCATTATTTATTTATTGTTTTATATATATATATATATATATATATATATTACATTTGCTGATATATAAACAATTATTTAGGAATATTAACATCTATGCTGGCATGTTATTTCTATTCCTCCTATTTTCAATCTTATTCAATATTTTACATAATGTTACACGTAATGCCATCTAGTGATCTACTCAAGAAATTTTACTTATGGTTCATCAACTTGGCATGCCATAACCCTGGCACTCCATCGCTTAAAGGACTTCAACATTAACGAATGTAATATATCACGTTGTCAAGTTAGACCAAAATGCGTGGTCTTAGCTAAGCCTTAGGCAGTGGGGGATAGGAATTGTAAGTAATGAGGACTATTAGTCCCAATGCTAGCAATAGTCCCAGGTCGACCTCCTTGTATTTCTCTGGAAACCGTGCTGATACTCAGGTGTATTCATCACGATGAGCTAACTAACCTGCCTTTTCATTCTCACCTATTACCCTCAGCGGTGCCCCGCCAGCGTTAGTGCAACGCATTAACAAAAAATCCTTAGACAGTGCAGGTAACTGACTCGGAGAATAGTCAAGACTCAGTATACCAGCTTCTGCCCTTGGAAACAAACACTATACCTTCAGGAGGTTTGCACAAATACCAACTTTAAGATCTTCAATTTTCATATACCTTTCCATATCAAGTTTGCCGTCTTAATATATATGTAATATAATGTAACTTACTCGTAGTTAATGCCAGGTTGAAAGGGAATAAAACCAAAGTTTGGACTTAAATGTCTGCATAATTTCACTGAAAGATGATGAAAAATAAAACTCCACATTCATTTTGACAGCGCCCTTACCGATCCAACATCTCGATATTGGGATCCATTGAATTTTGACGGTAAAAGAAATATGCGCTCAATTTTTAGAGTTTGGTTTACCAAAGTAAAAAGTTGTCTGTTTGAGTCTCTCTCTGATTCATGTTTCTCCCATCAATCAATATATTTATATTATTTAATTTTGTTTTGAATGGTGGAATATCGCAATAAACTTACAGTATCATGTCAGAACTATCTTCGTCGTCATCATATCAACCGTTATATGCCCACCGCTAAACAATATTCCTCCCTCATAGACTGTCATAAGAAATGGTCCTAAGCCACCTGTATCCACTAACTTATTACATACCAGAGAGAGACTTTGTACAAAAGTCGTTTGCTTGGGTACCTCTCTCCCATTCGTGTTTCTACCGTGAAGCAGTTGTGTTTGCATGGCTGTGTTTTGGTTTGAAGGGTGGGATATGGCGTGAATTTACAGAGTACAGAGGAATAACACCTGAGTCCTCAGGAATGGCAACGCATGGGGGGTATCATAGGCGAAACAGTATACTCTATTATGTCCATGGTACTGCTCATGTCTATAGGCGACGGTTACCACTTTCCATCAGATGGGCCGTCAGCTTGTTTGCCATTCTAAATTGTATATAAAAAAAAAATAACTCCCTGCAATGCATTTGATGTTGTCACTCTGTCTAGAGGGGGGTTGTCTACATTGCGTTTTTCTATACGGACTTATCCTTCGGAATTTTAAATATTCTGTGATATCTACGATGTTATTCCGTAAACATTATAGATCTATATACATAAATTTTAATTTTAAGCTTACTATTATAATTATATGAGTTACTAGTCAAAAACATGAGATTTATTATTATTCCAGTGTCTTCCACATACCTGGTATCTGGCAATAGACTGGCAACTCTTCTTGATATCTCCTATTATTCTCTTCTGGGTGGTTAGCAGCAAAAAGACTACAGCTTGGATTGCATTGATTGCTGGCCTCCTGGTTTCTCTCACAGGAGCTAGCATATATAATTTTACAGTTGGATTCAAAAGCTCACTCGGTGCGCTTGGGTAAGTAATTGGATAAAACATGTTAAAAAGTACTTATCTCTTAATTAGATCTAGTATCTAAATATCTACTTCATCAGAATTTGTTGTACCTTCCGAAGTACAGATACATCATTAGGATTTTCGATAGCCCAGATTCTTAATTTGGACTTCTTGGTTTAAACCTTCATAAAACGGCTACACGGGCACACAGACAATCCATTGTAGAATGCTCTCGTTTGAACATGAACAGATATTACAGCGACTTCAATCGTGAAGGAATGCCTCATCTACAGTCCATCATAGTCATGAAAACCGCAACCACTCTTTCACGAGTGTATATTTGAAGACAGATCTTAACATCAAAACATTTTTACAAATTTTTAATTTGTTTGTATGCAGTGACTTAAATATCTTATCTAGTAAATATCTTAAAAACATTTTTTTTTTACTTTTTTTATTAAATGAGTGTATATTTTATGAATATTAAGAGTGTCTATACTACTCAACAATTATATGTTGGTCTTAAGAAAAAATACAAATTATGTATAAAATTATCAACTCTTGCGTCACATAACTTTACGTAAAAATCTTGTTATCAATTTTTAGATAGATTAAATTTCTCTGTCTCAACCACAATATATAGCATATCCTTACTTAAAGAACAAGAAATGTGTGTATTTTTATACCTAATATATAAATATACTAATATAATAAAGCTGACAAAATATTTAATTTTTAGTTTGTTCATTTAAATACGTTTATCTCCAAAATCCGACTTCTAGAGTCGGATTTGAAAAAAAAATGCATTTCATAGCTTGTTTCTTAAGAAAAATTAGACTATTTAATATTATGATATAACCACTGGAGAAGCCACGGTTTACAGCTAGTCATTACTAACATAATTACAGTTTTCTCCCATATATATATTTTTTTATTTCAGACCACAAAGAGAAAACCAACCAGATTATTTAAGTTATTACTATGTGAACACGCTAACTAGAGCACCGCCCTTCTTCGTGGGGATGATATTTGGATACATTTTGCACCTTCAACGCGGAAAGAAATTAGTTATGTCCAAAGTAAGTGTATTAAAATAAAAAAAGACAAAAATTATGCTCATATTTGAGTTTACTTTTTTAAATGGCAGAAGAAGCATGAAAGTAAGATAAATGCTATAGAGATGAGAACTCTGAAAAGTATGTATGTATTACATTAAAAAATAGAGTAAGAAACAGTGTGATTAGTGAGAAATATAGATTGAAAGACGATGTAGTGACAAAAATCGAAAAGGCAATGTTGCGTTGGTTTGGCCATTTGGGGAGGATGGATGAAAGAATAATTACGAAAGAGATTTATCGAGCAAGAATGATTGGAGATGTTGGTAGAGGCCGCCCTAGACGGACGTATGTCGACCAAATAGATAACGTGCTGTAGAAAAGCCAAATTAAAAGTACTCGTAACCGGCGAGCGTGTATGAAAAGATTGATGAATGTGGAAGAAACGAAAGAGGTTTGTTTGAATTGAAGCATTTGGCGTTCCATTCTTTCTATCTACCCTAATGAGATACGGGCATAATAGTATATCTATGTTTTATATAATATGTGTATCTATGTTTTTTATAAATTTATTTTAATGTATTCAATAGTAATATTTGCCATCTGGACCTGGAATAGAATAGGCCAGCTCTTCCTTTTGTGTGAGTTTCATATGAGGCAACTAAGGGAACTTAATAGTCGAGGAAGGAGCAGCAGCGTCCCTTCTAGAACATCACCGAAACCTTACTAATCTGCCTGCCAAGCGTGGCATCTACTGGCAAAACCCCCCTTATGTTCAACAGTGGGCAGTAGATGGCTGATATGATGGTAAATGATTGTCGACAATGAGTCCAAAAAGATGTATATAAATATTCATGTATCCTAATATATCTAATGGAAGGACTAAATTTATAAAACCTGCGGGATATGTTGGATCAACCGTTAACTATCCACTGCTGAACATAGTCTCCTTCATAAGGGGGTTTTGCCAGTAATTGCCAAGCTTGGCAAAAGAGTTGCTGTTTGGTTTTTGGTGACGTTTTAAGACAGACAATACTGCCCATCTCTCCATCATAAGCTCCCCTAATCGCCTCTTACGAAACTTCTATGCCTACACGGCTATAGCTAGTAAAATTGTGTTTCATTTTAAATCGATTTTTAATCATACTATACTCAAGCTTCAAATTGATATATACTGTTTGATTTAAAAAATAAATTATTGATTTTATACTTTTTGGAAAATGATTGTGTCATTATCATCACATCAGCCGTTAACTGTCCAATGCTAAAAACGGGCCATCCTCTTGAGGGGTTATTGCTTGGCAGGCGGGTTAGGAACCGCAGTTTGGCTTTGGTGATGTTTTAATGCGCTGGTGTTCATCCCTTAGGGGATGCTTTAATGCTTAGGCATTAAAGTACTTTAGTCACATCTTACAATACCCACGAGAAAGAAAATGGTAACCCATTGTATGCCAGGACCATACGGCTATTTAGAATATCATTGTATGCCAAAGTCATTTTAATGACACCTCTATATTGTCTTATTTCAGGCACTAGTTACCCTGTTATGGTTGCTGGCTATAATTTTGTCATCTGCAGTAATTTATAGTCATTACATTGTTATTCAAGAGGACTGGGAAAATCACATTGTCGATGATATACTCAATTCTTACATGAGATCAGTTTGGGCTTTGAGTGTTTGTTGGATGATCTTTGCCTGTGTACACGGATATGGAGGTTTGATTTTAGAAATTTTCTTGATACTTTAAATTTATCATCATCAGCCGTTAATTGACCACTGCTAAACATAGGTCTCTTATGAGTTTTATCAATAACTGCCACGCTTGGCAGGCGAGTTGGCAATCGAAGTTAGGTTTTTGGTAATACTTTAGAAGGAATGCTACTGCCTATCTCTCAACCGTTAAGTTTCCTCAATCGCCTCTTACTACAATCACGGAAAAGGAAAGGGTGCTCCATTCCTAATAGGAGCCATACGTTACTTTATATTAATTTTACTACTATTATTTAAAGTTAATTTAAACGTCACTAACAAACCCTTTCAACTTTCGAGAAGGTGTAAGGGCCAAGCTGCTACGTTAAGTTGAAAGATGTCTTCGAAAAGTATATCCAACTTATTTGTACGTATAACTTTATTGAAGTAGATATATAAATACTATTAAAATAGGAAAATGATATTCTAATAATTATTAACTGATTAAAAAATATAGTATACTGAATAGAAATGTTGAAATACCTGGATAATTTTGTGGGTTTTTTTTTTTTGTTTACATTATTTATTCTGTTTCAGGTCCTATTAACTGGATTCTTTCACATCCTATGTGGAAAATACTTGGAAGATTGTCTTATGCCATGTATCTTTTCCACTATCCACTCATATTCGTTGTTAATGGAACCTCAGTAGTATCTCTTTATTTCTCCACTGAAGTATCAGTGAGTACTAATTTTTTTTTTTTGTGTTATTTTTATTATTCGTATATATAGGTAATTCTATTTTATTATTCCACGATTACACAGGAAAGATTAAAAAAAATATAAGATAAAATTACGGGTAAAAGATAGTAATAATATAAATAGAAATATACTACTAGACACATTTCTTATCGCTGAATTACTAAAAAAAAAAAATTTAGGAGTGATTTTTAAAAATTCTTCATATATTCCCATTTATAATAATTTATCAGTATAATAAATAATAAATAAATAAACAGTAATATGTTGTCGGGAGGTATTTTAAAAAATGAGGGTCTTAAAACCAATAGATGCGGAAACAATATTTTTTAGAAATTTGGTCTGTCAGTTACATATATATGTATATTATGTCGTATATATAGGTCGCCCATTGTTTGCTCATTGTGATTATTTCTTGTAATTGTTTATATCTATAATAAGTTTACTATTGTAATCTTTTGGAGAAAACAATAAAAAGTATCTATCTATCTATTTATCTATCTATCTATCTATATGTCATCACACAAAAATTGACGCATCAAATTGGATGCAATTTTCACAGTTGTATTTCTAAAGGTCTAACTTAAAAATTTATACATGTTTTATCTTGTACGCCTTCTAGAAATAGTTTATTTCGAACAAAAAGCTAGTTGTTAATATAATATTGCCATTCTTAATATATGTGATTATTTTTAAATAATATATCTTACTTATTTATATACTGGAGACTGTCTCCAGTCTCACTATTATGATTCTGCCCTAGTAGACTCAGCATTTGCCTCTATTAGCTTTGATATGATATAGGTCGCAGATACAAAGCAAACTCTAGTTTGTTAAGTTTAATATTATGTAAAAATATAACATATAATTTAAAAATTTATAAAAGTATGTCAAATTTAACAAATAATATTAATATTTCTTTATTAAACAATGTAACAGTTTTCGTCTCATGAAGACAAGCCAATTTTTACATTATGATTTTTAAAATTTGCAAAATAATGACAATGATAAATAACAACATTTGAAATATAAAATAAAAAAAAACATTCTAAATTAATTCCATATTTTAATTTTAAGGTACAAAGGTTCCTAGCAGACTTCGTGATAGCCGTCTTGGCTGCATATTTAATTACATTGTTCGTGGATGCGCCCTCGTCTGTGCTGATCAAGCATTTCCTCGGTGGAGGTGGAGGAGGAGGTACGCTTATTTATTTATTTTTTAATTAAAAAAAGGTAATCATTGTCTACAGCAGCAAAAACTTTCCTATATATACGAGTAGTTGCCAATTCAAATAAATTTACCAATAAAAAATCACTGAAAACGCCTGATAAATATGTCACTGCAAAATTTAAAACCTTAAATTTATTACTTGAATATAATCCTTACTCATATGTGAAAGTGAGTTAATTTCATTTGTGTGTAACCCCTTTATTGTTTTGTTACCTTTACAATATACAGTTTTATTATCTCCTTACTTTAGTTTTACTCTAGTACAATCTGCAATAGAGTCACGTAATAAACACTAACTGAATTTGCTCCAAGCATTTAGAGAGAGTTCTTAATAATACTGTCAAATTATATATAGACTTTTATTGAATAATATGTTTACATTTTAGGTGAGAGGAGGCCAGAGCCGGTAAAACCATGGAACGGCACTGATAACCAAACAGTGGCGAATAAAAGTAACAGCAACCTGGAAGCACCAGATCACGAAATTATCAATAAAGTTGATTTATAATTTATTAAATTCTTTACATTCTCTTATCCCATTTACCTATGTAGTCTCGGCATAGAATGAGCCATTCTCCCCTTTTCCCCTGGGTGCCGTGAAAGGCGACTAAACTAACTTAATCGCCGAGGGATAGGCAGCAGTATCCATCTTAAAACATCACCAAAAACATAACTGCGACAACCAACCTGTCTATTAAACGTGGCAACTACTAAGTTACCGGCAAAACCTCACCTATGGGAGAGAACTACGTTCAGCAATGGACTGTTAAATAGAAGCACAGCCTCTTTCTACCATCGTACGGCTCGCCATCGACACGGAGTTCATCCTCATGTTCTACAGCCTCAGTGGTCGCGTACTGCGCGGTTTCAGAGATGTTTCCTCCCACGAACACTCAGGTTGTGGAATGAGCTCCCTGTCGAGGTTTTCCCAAGTGCCTACAGCATGGGGTTCTTCAAAAGGGGTGTAAAGATGTATCTTCAGGGTCAGCAACGCACGCGTAATACCTCTGGTATTGCAGGTGTTCATAGGCTACGGTAACCACTTACTATAGGTGGGCCATATGCTTGTTTGCCACCTGTGGTATAAAATAATAATAAAATAAAGTTATATATAGTTGCAAGATGTTTTATACTAGCTTTATCCCTCGCCCTAGTAAATCAGTTTATAAAGTATCCTATATGCTAATTTGGACTTCAACATACCCATATAACAAATTCAATTCAAATCCCTTCAGTAGTTTCAAAGTCTATCATCATTACAAACTTTCACATTTATTGTAAATATATTTAGAATATGTATGGCTTTTTTTTATTAAAATTATATTAATAGCTGTTTATACTTTATTAAGTGATAATTTTTATGAGGAAAGTGATTAGTAAATAAGATAATTGACGACATAAAACAATTTTAGTATTTTGTCAAGAACTAAATGGTTTAAAGTATACACACATTGATTAATATTAAGTGTTTATTATATTTAGTAAAATAACTCAATGAAACTGATAGTTTTATTTGTTTAAGTAATTTTATACTTAAATGATGATATGGGACAAAAGGCATTCTTAATGCTACATGTTCATACATTATTGATAGTAAAAGAAATACCACGGAGTTATTCTCCATTGACTACATTTTACAGAAATTTATGGTACAAAAGGTGGCTTTAATAGTATATAGCATTATCTTTCACTATTTTTTTTTTGGAAAAATAGAAATGTGATAATAATAATAATAACCATTATATTAATCATTACTGTCTAATGCTAAACATAGGCCTTCTCCATAAGGGAGGCTTTGCCAGTAGATGCCTCACTTGGGATATGGTTTGAATTTACAGGGTACAGAGAAATAACACCTGAGTCCTCAGGAGTGGCAATGCATGGGGGTATCAAGCGCGAAATAGTATACTCTGTTATGTCCATGGTACTGCTCATATCTATAGGCGACGGTTACCACTTTCCATCAGGTGGGCCGTCAGCTTGTTAGTCATTCTAAGTTGTATAAAAAAAAACGTTACTCCATACTCCAATTACGCATTCACATATTTCCACACTCGCTTGACGTGAACATTTTACACATTGATTTCGCTTATTACTTATCACCTGCACTTTGCACCTGAAGTTATTATTGTACAAAATGTAAACGTACCATCATGCAATAAAATTTGTGTTCTGTTTTAACAGGCACAATGTATTTATATAGGGGGGAAGGTGTTTGTTAGCAATGGAATTTGACAGCTCCATTGTTAGCAATTTGCCCTATTAGGTCGACCTCCACGTGGTTCCCCCTGGAAACCATCGTGAACAATTCTTGTTGAATTCGTCAGTATGGGCTAACTGACCTCCTTCATCCTCACCTATCATCCCTCACTGGTGCCCCGCCGGTGTATACCGACGCGGGTGGGGTTACCATTCCATTATCATCCATTAAAAAAAAAATGTATTTATATATAATTTGATTCTCATTTGCGCAGACCTTGATTTATAATAGGGTCCTGTCCTGAACTCATATGGTATATTCATCAGCATCATAGCAATCTTTAACTGTCCTCTGCCGAACATAAGTTTCCCCCTTGGAGAGTTTTGTCAGTGGTTACCATGCTTAGCAGGTGGGTTGACAGTTTGGTTTTAGTGATGTTTTAAGAGGGATGCTGCTGCCTCAGTTACCTTTTACGACAAATAAATAAATCCCTTTCCCCCGAGAAGAAGGAGCAACATAGTTTTGATGTTACCTATTATTGTGCAATACGGCTGTCTTTACCTACTTTTAATTTTGTCTGTACCTGAGATCGTAGTTCGATAAGAAAACAGGAAAAAAAATAATGATTTATCAATATAAAACTAATTCAAATCTAATGATGACTATTACTAATGAAGTCATTAGTCATAGTCATCATTACATTGACAAAAATATATCTGATAACTATCTAATTAAATTTATAATAGTGACATGCGACCTAATAGGTGCCGAAGTGCGACAATTTAATTCCATACACGACATTCCGTATGATTTTTCAAATATTAGTTACTTGCATATAAACATCATTATATCGGCCCTTAACTAGTGTCCACTGTTGAACAAAACTCTCCCCTTTGGGGGGTTTTAGTTTAGGGTTACCAGTATTTGCCACGCTTGGCAGGGGCAGGAAGATTGGCATTCGTAGTTACGGCAAGGCTTTTGAGATGTTTTAAGAGGGACATTGCTGCCCACCCCTTGCCTTCCCTTAGTCGCCTCTTACCTACAGGAAAGGAAGGGGTGGTCTATTTGTTGCCAAGATCATACGGCTAAACATATTTGCATACAAACAGTGTTCGAACAATTATATATACAACAAAAAAGAATTAGCCAAATAATGCAGCTGTTTTCAAATGATGCGCTTACATATTTATTTATTTATTCATTAGTGCATATATGTGTACAAGGCAGACTTAATGCTAAAAGCATTCTCTCCTTGTCAATCATAAGGAACTGTCAGAATACTCGAATGCGCGTACTAGTCTTATATAAAATAATAATAAAAATAAAAATGTTTATTTGGGATCCTTGGCTTAATTTGCATCGGATCGATAATAACTGCTTTAGTCACAAAGAGACTGTGTCACAGCTATTAATAAATATATGTATATACAAATAAATAAATATAAATATATATCTAATATATAAAATTCTCGTGTCACGGTGTTTGTTACCAAACTCCTTCGAAACGGCTTTACCGATTTTTATGAAATTTTGTGTGCATATTGGGTAGGTCTGAGAATCGGCCAACATCTATTTTTCATACCCCTCAATGATAAGGGTGACCCTCCCCAAAAAAATTTTTTTATTTTTTTAACATTTTTATTTTATTATGATTTAGCATTGAAAAATTTTAACTACTTTTAATTTTCATCGTTTTATGATCAACCCCTGTCTTTTAATCGCGATTTTTATATTTCGCAATAAGTGGTAAAATGAAATCACTCAGGGTTTGCTGGAAGAGAACTCTTACAGAGTTAAGCTCGCCTGTTGTACATCTTTGTTCAATATAAATTACATGTTTGTATTTTTTGTATACAATAAAGTATAAATAAATAAATTAATGAGAATAATATATAGTACGAATAAAGTATAAAAGTGAGCATAAAGTTTTTTTTAAAGATGACATTATTTATTATTATACGAGTAGATAGATAGATAGATACTCTTTATTGTTTCCTTCAAAAAATTTACAATAGTAAACTTATTATAAATATAAATAATTACAAGAAATAATCACAATGAGAAAACAATGGGCGACCTTATCGCTAAGAGCGATCTCTTCCAGGCAACCTTTGGATGGAGAGGAGTAATTATAAACAATTTGGTAGGAGGCACGATAAAAAATATATCATATACGAGTCATATCATAGATATACCGAGTTTGTTTAATAAAAGTGCTAATTTTTAAAAAAAAAAAATCATCAATAAATCAAACTTATTGAAACAGCAGTGTCATTGTAGATCAGTTAATGATTAGATTATAAAATTTCATAATCGTATCAAAATCATAAAAGATTGTATTCAGTTGGATATTGTCTATTAATATTAATTAAGTGAACGTTACACCATAAGTGCATTGAAGAGTTTAATTTCTTTTGCCTCATATATATTTTTTTTTTTATTATTCAATATGGAATATAAATTATTTTTTTTAATTAACTCCGTATTTATTATAACAGTAAATGCTCAAATGGATATGATATACGATAGAGACAATGTTTTTGATTCTAAGCTGTACGAAGAAGTGTTGGATCGTGAAGAGTGTTTGAAACAAATTAGATATATTGTGACAAATGATCCTTTGTTATGGGCTCGATGTAAGTTTGAACTCAAAATTACTAGTAAAGTAGTATTACAAAGACATCTGCACGAGTATTATGTCCCAACCGTAAAGTTTGTATCTGTGTATTTGTTTGAAGTGTGGGATATGTCAGTGAAATTGCAGGATATGGAGGCCTAACACCATATTTCTCGGGAATGGCAGCGCATGAAAGTTACCATGGGTATTACAATACATTATATTGTTCATGGTCCTGTTCATATTTATAGAGGACTATAGTTTTTTTAATGGATGATAATGGAATGGCAACACTGATTTTGCTAACGGTATACGTTGGCGGGGCACCAGTGAGAAGTCATAGGTGAGGCTGAAAAGGCAGGTCAAGTGACTACTTGATCTGCCTTTTCAGCCTCGTCTATCACTATTGACTAATCATGATAAATTCACTTGGAACTGGGCACGATGGTTTGGCACGAGAACCGTGATGAGGTCGTTCTAACAGGGTGTATCGCTAGCAATGGGGTTATTAATTCTCATTACTAACAATCCCTTCTCCCCCCAGAACTGTGCACTTTCCATTAGATGGGACGTTAATTTTATGCCATTGTAAGTGGTACTAACATCCAACTTCTGGACAGGGTTCTCTTCTATAGAAGATATATAAAAAATATTTATGCATCCATTTTATAATTTAAATTTTTGTATATCATCATAATGATATACTCGTAAATCAAATAATATTAACTACAATAATATGATAGTAAGCTGCTGTGTAGTTTTCTGCATAGAATAAGCCAACCTTTCCTCTCCCGTGGATGTGGTAGGCGATAAGAGACGACTAAGATAGCCTGTGGTAAAGGGAAGAAGCGTTCCTCTTAAAACATCACCAAAAGTCAAACTGCAGTCGCTAACCCGCCTGCCAAGTGTCGCAACTACTGGCAAAACCCCCCTCATGGGGGAGACTATGTTCAGCAGTGGACAGTTAACAACTGGTACAATAATATGATAGTAACGTGACCCTCATACACAAGGTTTTCTCAGATTCAAGATTAATTCAATCACGAGTAACATAATTGATGTTATCATTAATAAATTACGGTGTAATTGTATTCCGCAATAATGACAGATAACCTATAAACTAGTTATCTTATCATGTAATTATAATAAAGGATTCTCCATAAATATGATTTTCTTAAGTTTTTTTTTTTTTTTTTATACAACTTAGAGTGGCAAACAAGCTGATCTGATGGAATGTGATGGAATGTGATGACTGACCTGATGGAATGTGGTAACCGTCGCCTATAGATATGAGCAGTACCATGGACATAACAGAGTATACTGTTTCGCCCATGATACCCCCATGTGTTGCCATTCCTGAGGACTCAGGTGTTATTCTTCTGTACCCTGTAAATTCACGCCATATCCCACCCTTCAAACTGTAACACAGCCATGCAAACACAACTGTTTCATGGTAGAAACACGAATGGGACAGAGGTACCCAAGCAATCGACTTTTGTACAAAGTCTCCCTCTGTTAGTTAATAAAGGTAATTTTATCAACATTTGCTGAACCTGCCAACCCGCCGGCCAATCTGTTAGTTAATAATGTTAATAATGATGATAAAATAGACGAGGACATTATTTTGTTTAATCTAGTTTTAAATATGTGTATTTCATCAGTGGTTATTATACTGCGAAATTAAGTATCAATTCCGTGTTACAATGTGCATTCAAAATCATTTCCGAAACCGCTCAACAGATTTATATAAAGTTTTGTAAATTATTTTTTATCCATCGTGATAAAAACTATTGTAGAAAAAATTTACTCAGTAGCTACTGGTAAACGGTAAAACAATAAATAAAGTAAGTGGAGTTGAGGCCACAGTTAAAGTTTTTTATATTTTTATTTAACAAATTCGAAATTGACATGCATCTTTTAATTGTGTCTTTTAAGTTCCTTTCGCCAATATACATATATTTCCAATTTCCATTCCTGGTTTCCTTTGAAACCCATAGGCAGTATTAATTGTTTTGATCTTCCACGGCATAGCATGGGAATAATAAGGTCTATATTACTAATATAATAAAATTGTAACTAGTATTACTCAAAAACTATTACACCAGATAAGATATTGTTTTCACAGTTATACTTCTATAGATTTAACTAAAAATTTGATTTAGAAGTGTTCTTTTTAATTGGTTTTCCTACTTCTGAATTTCACCAAATAGCGCCAAAATTAATAACAAAATTACAATAATTAAACTACATACATTTCTTTTCACTTTCTTTCAGTTCGATTGCTGTGAATTTCACTTTAATTTTTACTCGATTAAATTATGTAAATCTATACAAAAATAATTATGGCTAAAATTTTATTTAACATAATATCTAACACGTGTAAAGTAGGTAATTAACCGTTATCGTTCGTAAAATTATCTTAGATTTGTTATTCATTAAAACCAAGACATTAAAATTGAAATTGTACGTTTTCAGTTTTGGATGCGGGCTTAAGAATGCCACGAAGTTTACAAAAAGGAAATCTAAACGATTTAGGAAGTTACTACGAATGTTTGGGTATAAATAAAAATGTACAAGATATGAATATAGAAGGCAAATATTGTATGGCGAAGATACCGGTGAATCAACTTCTTAATTTATCCAGTTTGCCAATACGGTCGGAATTTCTAGAAGTACCATTGCCAGAGTTTAATCCTGTGATATTTAATATTGATAATAGTACCTACAATGATCTGATAAAGCAAATGAGTATAAAGAAACAACTTCAAAAATTAGTGGGGACAACATTAGAGAACAATGACATATCACGGTAAGTACAACTGTAAATAAACAAATAAAAGAATTATATTTAATAAAAAAAAAAAAATCTAAGCATATACAACGCAAATTGTAGGAAGGTTGAAATGTGACTGTATGATATTACATACAAATGATTTTCAAAATAAAGGGAATAATAAAATTTGATGCCTTGATAATGCATCAAGGCATCAAATTTTACGAATGATACGAATATATTACGAGTCATGTTATTTAATGTAGCAACGGTGGTGAAAAAGAAAATACATTGAAATAAGAATTAGATAGAGTCAAAATATAATAAAATACATGATGATTTGAATAAAAATTGAGATATGCTAGTAGATGCAATATGACGTGATGGTACATGTCTTGTTCCTAAAAGTAAACTTTATGAAAATGTTAGTTTTGTTAGTTGAATGCTTTGCATTGGCAATTTTCATAATATTAAAGTTGGTATTAAATTTCAGAGACAAAGCACCAAGCTTAGGTGTTGAATTCAGTATACAATTGGCAGTGTGCCTACCAAAGCCATGTTCTTTGCAGAACGCATTAAATACTATATTAGATCTTCAACCAAGTGATTTGATGATTGAAGAAGAATATTGCAGAATTCCAAATGACAAACAATGGGTTGCTGCAGATTATGTTGCTTTGTAAGTAAACTACTATATTATTCACTGATTCAAAAATTTGGTAAAAAAATAATTACAATAAAAATGAAACATTTTAAGCTTTTAGATAGATAAACTGCCCTGCAGAGAAAAAGTTATAATCATGTCCAAATACATAAACAACGCCAGGGATATGACTAAATACACTATAACGCATATAATATGAGATTATTACAGTTCTTACTAATATTATAAATGTGAAAGTGAGTTTGTTTGTTATATTACAGCGCTTTAACAGCTTAATCACTACACAATTTAATACGTACCTACTACATGGGATAAAGAAGGAAGGTTACTTTTTATACTAGTCAATGAATATATCCCGGTCACGCGAATAAAGTCGCGAGTAGAAGCAAATAATACATATTTATCCAAAAGACATTAATTGTTTCAGAGTTATATTCATTTTACTTAGTATTCTGGTGATACTAAGCACTGTTTATGATATTCGACATCAAATATTATTAAAAAAAGGTAAGAAATGTTTTTAAACTTTTATATCTTTTTTTTTTAATAAAATATATTCACTAAAAAAAAAAAAAAGTTTTTGAAGCATTTATCGGTATATTATAATAGTTCATTTCAATATTATTTAATTTGTACCGTTATTGAATGCTAGCAGTCTATCTTAATTAATCGAATGTTTCGATTTGTTAAAGCATTAACAATATGCAAATAATATTATTCACTCCTGCGTATAATGAAGCGGTTTCAGCGGTAAAACCAATGGACGACTGCTAAGCTATTAATAGATAATTACACACAACATCAACCAGTAACAAGAGCCGCTCATCACGGCATCGCGAGAACGCCAATCATAGCGCAGGAGAAATTTACATGACCTTTCAGGTTTTCAAAATTGTAACGGACTCGCAAAACAAAACTTCAACGCATAACATCAAATTTATATTACATCAACGCTTCAAATTATTATCTATTTTATTTACCCTAGTTAAATCACTGCAAATACTAGGTGTATTTATTCATCATCATCATCATCATCATCATCATCATCATCTGTTCATCATTAAACGCAAGCGCACATCATTAACATAATTTTTGGACCTTCGTTCCGGGATCTTCAGAAACCAGAGCATATTTTGGACCTTCGTTCCGGGATCTTCAGAAACCAGAGCATATTTGGACCTTTGTTCCGGGATCTTCAGAAGCCAGAGCATACGGTGGACCCCAGTTCCTGGACCTTCAGAAACCAGAGCTTACGTGGACCCCCGTTCCTGGACCTTCAGAAACCAGAACATACCTTAGACTTCGTTCCTGGATCTTCAGAAACCAGAGCAACGACCAGTGGAGGAATATTGTTGGATAGAAGACGCAAGCTGGACACGAACATCAATAAAGCGCAGTTCGGTAGACGTACCAGCCAAGATATCCCACAACCTTCCCCTTCGTTTGTGTTAATACCGTGTTTTCTATACTTCTAGTGCCGTGTATTAACATTCATAGCATCACGCTGACCGCATTCGGTAACGGTCAGAATAAACAACGCATCGGATTCGCAAATCGTAAGTACCCACATTCTTTTCACAAACCACAGTTATGGATCAGGCTAACCTATCTATTCCCATTAAGTCCCCTACTAGCTCCCCCAGTAAGACTAGTAGTGAAATAAATGTTTATATACGCAAAAGGGGCGTGATAAAAGGTAGACTTTCTAAATTACAAAAATATGTAGAATCAGTATGTTCCCAACAGGCATTATTTAAAAAGGCTGAACTAAAATTACGCATACAAGGTGCTTCTTCTCTTTTACCCGACTTTAACGAAGTTCAGTCTAAAATTGAGGAACATTCTGATGATATCGATGAACAATTAGAGTGTAGAGAGGAATTCGAAACCACTTATTATAGTGTGATTGCTAGGGCTGACAGTGTGCTATCTGACGATAAAATCTCTGAACAATCTCATCAGGGACCTCTTAATATGGTCAAACTACCGACCATCTCCCTACCCAGTTACGATGGATCCTATGAGAATTGGTTAGAATTCAGAGACATTTACATATCATTAATACATAACTCTAAAGAAATAACCCCTATTCAAAAATTTCATTATTTAAAATCGTCATTGAAGGGTAGTGCTGAATTAGTTATAGATTCACTAGAATTTTCAGCATCTAATTATTCCGTTGCATGGGAGTTACTTATTAATAGATATGATAATAGCAGATTATTAATTCACAATCATGTCAAGGCACTATTTTCAATTCAGCCACTAACAAAAGAATCACCAGTATTATTAAGAAAGCTCGTTGATACCGTCCTAAAAAATATCCGCGCATTAAAAATTCTCGGCGAACCAACAGAACACTGGGACACACTAATTATTTTTATAGTGGTCTCCAAGTTCGATTCGAATACTGAACGTGAATGGGAGCAACACAAAACACTCCTATTCTCACTTAACACCAGTGCATCTGAAGGTCAGTTGAAAGTTGATAGTCTACTTGATTTTATTTCGCGTCGAGCAGACATGTTAGAAACGTTATTAAGTACAAATCATAATTTAACGCACAATATTAATAAAAAACCAACTCATAACTCATCGCAGAGGGTACACTGTAACGTTTCTTCCATGTCCACGAATAAATATCAACAATATACACCTGTACACCGTAAACCTTGCCCCATGTGTCATTCTAAACATTCATTATATTCGTGTCAATTATTTTTAGATTTATCAATTGCCGATAAATATAAATTAATTACACAAAAGAAACTATGCGAGAACTGCTTACGCTCCGGACATTCCGTCAATGACTGCCGGAGTGGTTGTTGTAAACATTGCTCGAAAAAACATAATTCTATTTTACACGAACAAAAGAGCGCTTTAGCACTATTCACATTAGATGGCAAATCGCATGTGCCCTTATCGACATCGAATAGTGACTCAGTCTTATTGTCCACTGCTATGATTGAAGTTTGTGACGAACGTAATAACTATCACAGCGCACGGGCGCTACTGGATAACGGTAGTCAGCGATGTTTTATAACACAATCGTTTTGCGAGAAAATAGGCACGCCATTAATACAGTCCACTCATACCATAAAGGGTGTAGGCAGCGCGGTAACACAGTGCACGCAGATTTGTAACATCATCATCAAATCCCTGTGTAGCCCCTACACCACAAATATACAATGTTTAGTTCTTCAGAATATTACATCAGATTTACCATCAACATCAATTAATATAAATAATATTCGCATTCCGACTAACGTACAGTTAGCCGACCCATCATATCATGAGTCACAACCGATTGACATTTTAATAGGTGCGGACTATTTCTGGGATCTCCTTGACGAAGGAAAGATTCGTTTAAAGAATGGTCCATTTTTACAAAATACCAAATTGGGATGGATCATATCGGGGCCCATATATAACAACACACACAAACATTCTCAGGTTCTTTGTAATTTTACCCACTCACTAGACACACAGGTGAGAAAGTTCTGGGAACTTGAGGAATTTCCTAGGGCTACTGATATACATAGTAATGAGGAAAAGGCTTGTGAGGAACACTTTATTAAAACTACAACTCGCACAACAGATGGTAGATTTTGTGTAAGCATCCCCTTTAAGATTGACCCTCTCTTATTGGGTGAGTCATATTTACAAGCAAAAAATCGTTTTTACGCACTTGAAAGACGATTACAACACACACCGGAATATAAGGAATTATATGTTTCATTCATGAGGGAATATATTAGTTTAGGCCATATGTCACAAGTACATACATACAATACTCCACACTACATATTGCCGCATCATGGAGTATTTCGCGCACATAGTACTACAACAAAACTACGAGTTGTATTTGACGCGAGCGCGACGACCACCTCAGGTAAATCGCTTAATGACTTACAACTCGTAGGTGCTGCTATACAGGGTGACTTAATTGCCATTTTATTACGTTTTAGGCAACATCGGTGGGTAGCGTGTGCCGATATCGAAAAGATGTATCGGCAGGTATTAGTGAATCATAATCAACGCGACTTACAATTAATATTATGGCGCGAAAACCCCACAGATGAGTTAGGTATATATCAACTCAACACAGTGACATACGGTACAGCATCGGCACCTTTCCTCACCCCTATAAAACCTACCAGTATTCCGCGGTTGGAGCTGTGCGGTGCTCTGTTAGGTGCTAGACTTTTCGAAAAAATACAACAATCACTACGTTGTCAATTTAGTAAGGCAGTTTTTTGGACCAACTCGACTATTGTTCTCGCTTGGTTACGAATGAACCCTAATTTGCTGAAATCTTTTGTTCAAAATAGGACCGCTGAAATACAAGAATTGACAAGTGACCATACATGGCACCACGTATCAGGCAACCAAAATCCAGCAGACATAGTGTCCCGTGAATCCTATTTAGATACATTACATAGCTGTAAATTATGGTGGGAGGGCCCCCTCTTTTTATTCGACATTACTTATGACGCATCAAAGGACAACTGTACTGAATCTAAGACTAACACGGACTGGTCAGTGTTAGACTTGCCTGAAATCAAGTCAAAATCAGTACATTGCAATCACATTACACATCAAAACAATTGGTTTCCATTCCATAGATTCTCTCAACTCAATCGCATGACACGAGCCTGCGCCTACATGTTACGCTTCATACATAACACAAAAAATAAAATTAATAAACGGACAGGTGTGTTGAGTGTTAATGAGTTGAACGAATCACAACAGAAATTAGTATATTTTACGCAACTAGAGTCCTATTCCGACACCTACGATATATTAAATAAACACGGTCAATTAAATAATTCGCACAATTTATCAAATTTAAATCCTTTTATCGATAAAAACAATTTAATTAGAGTAGGCGGTCGACTTAATAATTCTACTTCATTTTCTTACAATAAAAAACATCCCATATTGATACCAGCTAAACATCACTTCACAGTACTACTGTTTCGTGCAGAACACAAGCGGCTACTACATGCAGCGCCACAGGCTCTCTTGTATGCGATAAGGGAAACGTGGTGGCCTGTTAGTGGACGGAATGTTGCTAAACAAACTGTTTATAATTGTGCCAAATGCGCCCGATTTCGAGCCAAACCCCTCACACCGCTCATGGGTAATCTACCCATACAACGCGTAAGCCCAGGATTTGCCTTCATGTATACAGGGGTTGATTATATGGGTCCAGTTTATATTTTAAACCGCAAAGGTCGAGGTGCACGCATTGTAAAGGCATATGTTGCAATTTTTATTTGTTTCACTACTCGTGCAGTTACTTTAGAGTTGGTAGGGGATTTGTCAACAGATGCGTACTTGTTGGCTATCAATCGGTTTATTTCTCGTCGTGGTAAACCGTCTGATATATTTTCTGATAACGGCAGAAACTTTGTCGGCCTTATGAACGAATTTCATAAGTTCCTCTCTAATTGTTCACAAGATATTTTAAATTACGCTACTAGTCACAGCATAAATTTTCATTTTATACCTCCTTATTCTCCTCATTTCGGTGGTTTGTGGGAAGCAGGGGTTCGGTTATGTAAGCATTCTTTGCGAAGGGTAGTCGGGAATTTACATTTAACGTACGAAGAGTTCAACACGGTATTAACTCAAGTAGAAGCTGTCATGAACTCTCGTCCCCTTAGTCCTATGTCCACGGATCCTCATGATTATCTTCCATTAAGCCCTGCTCATTTCTTGGTTGGTCGTCCGCTGACCGCACCACCGTGCAACGATCTTCAAGACGCCGCGCCAACGAGTTTGACACGATATCAGCGCGTGGAACAAATTCGCCAACATTTTTGGACAAGATGGTCCAAAGAATATATATCCGAGATGCAGACAAGGAATAAATGGAAAACACGTCAAGCAGACTTAAAACCAAATACATTAGTACTCATCAAAGATGACCACTTACCTCCATTAAAGTGGCATTTGGGTCGTATCGTGTCCACTGTTCCAGGCAGCGACGACGTATCAAGAGTTGCTGATATAAGGACCGAGTCAGGCATCATTAGGCGGGCAAAAAATATGTCCTCTCTGGGAGGAAGACTTGAAAGTAGAATCTTTCAAGGCCGGGGGCATGTTAAAGCATTAACAATATGCAAATAATATTATTCACTCCTGCGTATAATGAAGCGGTTTCAGCGGTAAAACCAATGGACGACTGCTAAGCTATTAATAGATAATTACACACAACATCAACCAGTAACAAGAGCCGCTCATCACGGCATCGCGAGAACGCCAATCATAGCGCAGGAGAAATTTACATGACCTTTCAGGTTTTCAAAATTGTAACGGACTCGCAAAACAAAACTTCAACGCATAACATCAAATTTATATTACATCAACGCTTCAAATTATTATCTATTTTATTTACCCTAGTTAAATCACTGCAAATACTAGGTGTATTTATTCATCATCATCATCATCATTATCATCATCATCTGTTCATCATTAAACGCAAGCGCACATCATTAACACGATTTGTTATTTAATTAATTTAATTTAATAAAAAAATGTTTTTGTGGGATCTAATTTAAACAAAACTTTCCATTAAGTTCTAATGAAGCAAAATATAGAACTTTTTAAGTGGTAACATTTTTTTTTTTAAGATCCAAAATCGGTTAATAAGCTGTATCAGTCCTTTTCCGTCTACACCAACACTCTACGACTGGTGACCTACAAACCAGTACCAGGAGCTCTGGAATGCTTGGATGGTATCAGGGCATTTGCAATGATGTGGGTTATCATCGGGCATACATTTGTAAATTATCTAGTATCAGCCCCGTTGTATAATCCATTAGATGCTGTAGATGTAAGTAAAACATAAAACTCTCACTAATTTCAAAACTTCTGTTAAGTCCTACTATCTCTCCTTTTAGTACTACTTTCCTATCTTCTTTCTTCATCTTCTACCTTCATTCTCTCCTGTCATACGTGTGTTATTAAATGTGTGTATGTTTACTTATATATTTATGTATATCTAATATATAAAATACTCGTGTCGCGGTGTTTGTTACCAAACTCTTCCGAAACGGCTTTACCGATTTTTATGAAATTTTGTGTGCATATCAGGTAGGACTGAAAATTGACAATTTTTTTAATTTTTTGTTTATTCTGATTTAGCATTGAAAAATACACACAAATTCAAATTTTCAACCCCTGTTTTTTTATCGCGATTTTTATATTCCCCAATAGGATTAAAAGATGGCAATCGAATATAATGTACGAGAAAATTTCATGTATAATTCTCGAAATAATGTATATTTTAATTGATTTTTACCTCATAACTCTGTCAATGTTATGTAAAACCAATTATTGAAATTTCTTTTATCTAAAAAAATTTACTTACGGATCTGTCCCATTGAAATTTTAACAAAATCAGTAAAAGTAGTTTCATTTTTAGATCAAAATATCTGTTTTTTTTTTTTATCACAATTGAAGTCGGTTTTTTCTTAATGGGACACAGTCTTTAATTATATGGTGAGCCATTTTAGCATCAAGTAATAACTTTATCAAACAAAGAGCCTCACTCGCATTTATAGTTTATTGTTTTATTTTACAGTTTATACAGTCCTTTTGGTCATTGTGGATAATGTCTGCCCCCATCACGGTAGACACTTTCTTCATGCTTAGCGGCTTATTACTGGTATACAGTACAGCAGGCAAAATGACTGGATGTAAGTAGGCTTTTTTTATGAATAACAATAGAATTTCGCTTGCGCTATCGATATACTCTGTCTGGCGGGGTATTAATCCTGTAACTTGCTTGTTAATGTATTTGAGGTCGTCACTCCATCTAGTGGGGGGTCCTTCTACACTGCATTTGCTCGTACGGGATCGCCACTCAAGAATCTTTCTCCTTCATAGGTTGTTGATTCTTTAAGCTATATGATCACTCCATTTCCACTCCAACTTTCTTATCTTTCACCAGTAGACCTATCGTGAGTAATTCATTAAGAATTGACGCTGGTGGTTCCCAGGGTCAATAGGTAGCAGGTTAATTTAACATACTTTATTGTCAGCAATGAGGACGGTAATCCCCATTACTAATAATCCCATCCAAGGTATTTTGGCACTCCATTTTCATTGTCTCAAATCAAATAAATTTTAATGAAAGTTAGTATAACAACTATCCGGAATGATTATTATTTTAAAATAGCAATATCATTCTCATAAAATAAATAAATAAATAAAAAAAACATGTGACCTAATCTCTAATATAGTATGCGTTCTAATTAGTATAGTTACGCCATCTGTTGTAAAAATGACAAAATGAAGAAATAATTTAAAGCGCGCCATCTATAATACGAGTATAAATGGAACATCAGTTTAAAGAGATGCTTCTGTACTACTATACTACTGGTACCACTAGTCAACCCACAGACATACTAAAATTGAAATTAATATTAAATATACACAATAGATGGCGGGTTTTGACACAAAAATATTGCGATAATGTTTGAAATGAGAATATTCGTCCATTTCATATCGTAAATTATAATTTTGGTAATGCCATAAACAATCACCTATAATAATAATGAGCCAAAACTTAATCTCCAAAATAATAGATTCGTAATACGTAGTTTGCGTAATCTACGACTTTTAACACCAAATTGTAATGTACTACATGTAAAGTTTTAGTTGATTTACTATAGACTATGTATCGAACATACTAAATACTTTCTTTCTCAAATTTTCAGTTTGTATAATGCACATACACTTATAATTTCTACATCTTAATTCTATATTATATCTAAAATTTAAAAGAAAATAATATTTATTAACAATTTATTTTTATTTTTTCAGTAAAACTCATGCAGAACTTGCATCTGTTCTACTTGAATCGATATCTTCGTCTATTTCCGGTGCTGGCCGCTTGTATATTACTTCAAGCATCACTGTTCCATAGGGTATCAGATGGACCTGCGTGGGAGACGGTTGCAGCTCAAACAGACCAATGCAGAAAGTATTGGTGGTCAACTTTATTGTACATACAAAACTATTACAAGTCCTCCAACATGGTTAGTATTTTTGTCTAATGGAGGAACCAGAGGGAGTCTACCAGAGGGAGACTGTACAAAAGTCGTTTGCTTAGGTACCTCTGTCTCATTCGATTTGAAGGGTGAGATATGGCAGTGAATTTACAGAGTACAAAGGAATATCATAGGTGAAACAGTAAATTCTGTTATGTCCATGGTACTTACTGCCCATGTCTATAGGCGACGATAACTACTTTCCATTAGGTGGGCCGTCAGCTTGTTTGTCATTCTAAGTTGTATAAAAAAATTGATTATAAATCGAGCGGTGCACCAGTGAAGAATGATAGGTGAGGATGAAAGCAGGCCAGTTAGCCTATTGTGATGAATTTATCAAAAATAAACCATGACTGCTTCCAGGGGAACCGTGTGGAGGTTTATTGAACCTGATAGATTTTTTATACTATAAAGGTGGCAATCGAGCATATAGCTCGTTTGATGATCAACTGTTAATATAATCTATAGACGCCTGTAACACTAGAGATTTCACGTGCATGTTGCTGACCCTGAAGAAACCTTAATACAACTTTTTTGAAGAACCCCATACTATAGTCTCTAGGCAAAACCTCGGCAAGGAGCTCATTACATAGCCTGTGCGTTCACGGGACTCCTCTGAAATTGCACTGTACATGACCATATAGATTCTAGTAATTATATTGCTAGCAATGGGACCGCTAAAATCTCCATTAACAATCCGTTTTTCAGTCACTAAAATGGTATTATCAATGTATGATATATCTTTATATATACCGAATGCGGTTGGCAATCCGCCTACCAAGCATGGCAACTACTTGCAAAACCCCCCAAAAGGGGAATTATATTCAGCAGTGGACAGTTAAAGGCTGATATTAATAATGTTGATATATCGACATCCACGAATACATTACAATAGGCTAACTGACCTGATTTCATTCTCATGTGGTATGGTGTAATCTAGTTAATAAAGTTTTTTTTTTTTTTGTTGCAGTGTCTTCCACACACTTGGTATCTGGCAATAGACTTCCAACTCTTCTTGATATCTCCTCTTATCCTCTTTTGGGTGGTTAGCGGCAAAAAGCAAACAGCTTGGATCACATTAACCACTGCCCTACTGGTCTCTCTCGTAGGTTCTAGCATCTATAACTTTATAATTGGTTTTGGAACTGGTAATTTTACTCTCAAGTAAGTAACAGAAGTAATAATCCTTAGTAATGGCAACGCTTTGAATTGAAGTGTGTTTTTAATAAATATTTGCTATTTCAGCCAACGAGAGGACCAGCCGGATTATTTTACTTATTACTACGTAAACACGTTGACAAGGGCATCTCCCTTCTTCGTGGGGATGATATTTGGGTATATTCTACATATTTATCGTGGGAAGGTGATAATTATCTCAAAAGTAAGTATTTTCCATTAATTTTAATCTTTCGTCTTGATGAGGGTTCAGCTCAATCAGACAATGATCTCACTCCGGAGATCCCATGATTGAATACTAGTCTAACGCTTTGAATTTTTCTAATCCGTCTTTGGATTATTTGAAAAATTGTTACTTTCTTTGTGCTTTGGAAGACAAGTAAAGCTGTCGTCCGACAAGTCACGTTAAGTGGCCTTCATGTTCGTGGAGACGGTCTAAACTCTGAAAATGCAAGGCTGCTATCCTCACGACTTCTACCACTGAACAAAACATCCAATCAGGGAAATTATCATCTCATGTATTGTATGTACTTCAGTGAAATATATGTAGCATCAAATGGAAAATATTATAAAAAGGGATAAAATAAAATTTGATGATTAAATTTAAAATATATTAGGGATAGGCAATATTTTGACATAGTAGTATAGGCAACATCGTGTATACTGTTATACGCTCATTTACTTGTATTGTTCATGTCTATAAACGAAGGTTATCGTTTACCATTAGTTAAGACTTAACATTTTTGCCATTTCAAATGACATAAAAAAAAATTACATAGGATTCTTTAATTTCAGGTACAAATTGCTGTCTTATGGTTATTGGCTATAATTTTATCATCTGGAGTAATTTATAGTTATTATCCTGTTGTACAACAAGAATGGGACAATCAAACAGTTGATAATGTACTCAATTCTTACATGAGACCAATTTGGGCGTTGAGTGTTTGTTGGATGATCTTCGCCTGTGCACATGGATATGGAGGTTTGACGTTCAATTCTCGCTGTTTATTAAAAATTAGTTCCAAATTTATAAAAGATTGTGTTCTACAAAAATCTACTTTAATTTTTTCTAAACCAGATATCATCAGCATCATATCACCCTTAACTGTCCACTGCTGAACATAAGCCTTCCCCTTGGGGGGTTTTGTCAGTAATTACCACGCTTATTAGGGGGATTAACAACTGCAGTAAGGCTTTAGAGATGTTTTAAGAGGGACGCTGCTACTCATCCCTTGCCGTCCCTTAGTCGTCTTTTACAACACCCACGCTTATTTTGATGAAATTTTTTTAGGACCAATCTATAAATATAACTTTTCAGATAAAAAATAATTTTCCAAGTCGGTTTAAAACTGATGTAGTTATGAGGTAAACAAACAAAAAAATACAATCGAAACGAGAACCTCCTACTTGTGTGGCCTATTCTATACCGGCACAATACGACACTTGTCATTATTAAAGTGCTCTGTTTTTTCAATGTGACCTTTTCTAGTAATTTATTGCGTTTTTATTACATTTACGACTGTAATCTCTTGAAAGTAAGGAGTATCTATCTCTCTATCCATCAACTTTGATATTATTAGTTAAACACCTGATCCTTTACGCTGTTAAAAGTTCAAGGCTACTGTTATTATTTAAAAATACTTATGTATTTACCTTTTGTTTTCTTCCGCGTAATCGATTGTTTGATCTTCTGGAAGGAAGAGTTTGTATAAAAGATATTTGTCTTACATAAGTTTATCTGTATTTCTGCTATGTGTGCATGACTGTATTTCATTACAGTACAACAAGAAACAAAGGCATAACATTACAGTCCTCAGGAGTAACAATACATAGGGCATTCTATGGACATCACAGAGTATTTCATCATATCCATGGTATTGTTCATGTTTATAGCTGATTTTTATCTCTTTTAATCAAATGGATTATTCACTTATTATTTGATATTCTAAGTATCGTAAAAAAATATTATTTAAGGAAAAGTAGATATGTTTTTCGACCAACTTCGAAAAAGATGGAGGTTCTCGATACAGTTGTATGTTTTTTATATGGTAACTGATAACTACTTTATTTATAAACCGATTTGGGGATTTCTTTTTTATTTAAAGGGACATATTTTCAGATTAATCTCACAGATATTTTAACAGATCAGTTCAATAGTTTAGTTTTTAAATCAAAATACTGGTTTTGCTATCATTGACATCTTTTTTTTAACAATATTTTAAATTATGTGATAATATGAATATGTGTCGTAGCAAGTGTCCTCTTCTGACCTTAATAGTTCTTATAATAGGAGGGAAAGAGGGAGACTATGGCATAGTTATATCAGGCAGATCAAGGAAAAAGTTGGTGTCGTGTCATTTCAAGAGGTGAAGAGACTCGCAGAAAATCGTAGTGAGTGGCAAGTGCTCCACCGACAAGAGCACAGCTCTTAAATAGGACAGATAGACAGATGAATATGTATTCAAAATACTACTAATAATAAAAAAATATTAACATAGTAGAACTATTTTATTTCAGGTCCTATTAACTGGCTCTTATCTCATCCCATGTGGAAAATATTGGGAAGATTGTCTTACGCCATGTATATTTTTCACTTTCCTCTTATGATAATTGTTAATGGAACTTCAATAGCTCCTCTTTATTTTACCACTGAATTTGCGGTAAGTATTTTTAATATATGTCATATATATACTATATATTTATACTGACACAATATTATATGTACCTATATTACTATTAAACTTTAGTTAAGTTTAATATGTAGTTTAAGTAGTTTAGTTTCAATGAGCATTTATTTTATGCCAACTCTTATATACTTATATATTTATACAATTAACTTCATAATTTAATCACAATTTCCATTATTTGTATTATATTATTATTCATATTGTTAATATCTTTATTCATTTAATTATTTCATTTCATTTTAATGTTTATCAAACACAAAGCATGCTGTTGTTATCTATAAATGTAAGAACAGTTACATCTAATATATTAGTGTATTGTATTGAAATGTTTCGCTGTATCTTATGTTAGTGATCCTATAAATAAATAAATAAAAAGATTCACAGTTCGACCATTTATTGATTTTTTTACTCTTTTTTCAGATACAAAAGTTTATGACCGATTTCGTGATAGCAGTTCTGGCTGCATATTTAATCACTCTGTATGTGGACGCGCCCTGCTCTGTGTTAATTAAACATTTCTTGGGAGGTCAGTATTTTCAAAATCGTTAAACTCTATTGATGTACCAGAGAGAGACTTTGCAAAAATTTACAATTTACAAAAATCGTTTGCTTGTCACTTCACTTGCACTGTCCCATTCGTGTTTCAACCGTAAAGCAATTGTGTTTTCTTGGCTGTGTTTCAGTTTGAAGGGTGGAATATGGCGTGAATTTACTGGGTACAGAGGAATAACACCTGAGTCCTCAGGAATGGCAATGCATGGGGGGTATCATGGGCGAAACAGTACACTCTGTTATGTCCATAGTACTGCTCATGTCTATAGGTGACGGTTACCACTTTCCATCAGGTGGGCCGTCAGCTTGTTTGCCATTCTTAGATTGAATATGATCTAAAAAATCCATTCTTAATTAACATGGTTAATAATAAAAAAAAAAAAGGATTTTTTTATATTATAGCAAATAAATATGAAATATGAATAAACATAATTTGATGCATTTTATTAATTTAATAAATGTATTTCTTAGGTAACAAGAGGCCAGCACCGATAAAACCTTTGGACGACATTGCTAATTCATCGGCGAAAAATATCAATGATAACGTTGAATCACCAAAAGATTTCTAATAGAAAGAATAAAATGAATAGGCATATTATATAGTGTTATCAAGTGTTAATACTACGCAGCACCTGCACTATGCTTAGTAGACAACTGATAGACTTGAATACCTATATTTCTTGTAAATAAATATATTGATAATATATAGATGCTGAGATAGCACATACTTAATTACTCATTAATAAGTCATAATAAATAAATTATATATTCTTTTTATTCGTAGTTTTATTTAAGATAGATCTAACGTCTTTTTTTTTTCAAAAAGAATATTTAGGAATATATTTGTGGTTATTTTTTTACCTATAAATCCTAAATTCTTCTTAATATTCTCTTTTTAACTTTATCCAGAGTACTAGCTTTATGCTTTATTAAGTAGTGACTTAATTCACGTGGATTTCGGAAGTAGAAAAACCGATGAAATATGGTATATATCAAAAAATCTTATTGTTAAGTTTACTTAAATAAAAATTATTTTTATTATTTATTTATTATTAATATAATACCTCTAGATGACATATCCAAATATAACGTATAGCAGATTTAAAGCTACACTATCAGGAGTATATAAAACTACCTATATATGACTATAAAAATTGCATCTAATTTGGTGTTTGCGTGATACTAGAAAAAATATAAAAACAACGAGAGACACAAAATTTATAAAAAAAATATTGTTTTGCCATCTATTACTCTTATTAAGACCCTTGATATCGATTTTTATTAAATATGTCAGATGTCTGATGTACAGATATCGTCTAGTCACAATTTAATTACATATATTGGTAAGATGAAAGTAACTACTGGATTAAGTTCCACTCTGACAACCTCTTAGAAATTATAATTGTAAGTATAAACCTTTTTTCTCTCTTTACATTTTTTGGGAACTTTAATTTTATTCGGATATGTCTGTCTAACTTAACTATATTATTTATTATACTATTTTACTAATATTGCAATTTCTAATTTGGCAATAAAATATCCTGAGCTAATAAAACAAGTTTATTCATTGCATATCTGGCCAGGCCTTCATCATTTTGGTTTAATCTCAAGTTCTCCATCAATAACTCCCCCTTATACCTATATCAAAAATGATCTGACCTGAATACTTAGAATGAATTAGAATATTTAGAAAAAAAAAATACTTTAAAAGACTCATTAGCGAGTTCTTACTACAGATATACGGGGGGAGAAGGGATTATTAGTAATGGGGATTAGTAGCCTCATTGCTAGCAATATACCCTATCAGGTCGACCTCCTCGTGGTTCCCCCTGGAAACCATCGTGATTGATTTATTGTTAGATTCGTCACGGTGGGCTAACTGACCAGCTTCATCCTCACCTATCACTCCTTACTGGTGTCCCGTCAGCGTATACCGATAGCGCAGGCGGGGCTACCATTCCATTATCAACCATTAAAAAAAACTACAGATATACGGGGGAAAAGGGATTGTTAGTAATACGGGCTATCAGTCCCATTGCTAGCAATATACCCTATCAGGTCGACTTCCACGTGGTCCTTCTGGAAACCATCGTGCTGAAATCCAGGTGTATTCATCATGATGGGCTAACTGGCCTGCCTTTTCATTCTCACCTATCATCCCTCAATGGTGCTCCGCCAGCGTAATTCGATAGCACAGGCGGGGTTACCATTCCATTATCATCCAAAAAAAAAAAACTTCGTTTTTACGTTACGTTAAAACTAATTAACAAAAATATTTGTACATATATTAATTGTTAACATTTTTTTTCCATTTTATATCTTTTCAAAAAGAAGGAGAATCTAAATTCAGTTAGTTAATTTTTTTTTTTATATTTGTTACCTCATAGATCCATCAGTTTTAAACCGATCTGAAAAATTCGTTTTTTATCTAAACGGATTTCCTTATAGAAAGATCTCACAAAAAAATCATCAAAATAGGTTCAATTATTTAATTTTTAGATAAAAACAACAGATTTTTGCAAATTGTGATACTGTGTGTAATTGTACTTGATTTTTTTTTTTGAGGGACTGTCATTTATTATCATATACCAAAAGACTTAAAGCTAGAAAAAATATAACTATAATTATGCGAATGCGTAAACTTTGAATTAACTACCGAAATACACTACTATTTAGGTACCTTTTTACTTTATCATTTTATCTATGTCTGCGATGCCAATTTGATAACAAAATAGGATGTAATTTAATACTTTATCAGTCTGTTACGTATTTAGATGATCATGCTAATGAAATAATTAGGACTAATCATAATAATAGTGACAAAGGTACTGGTTTGATAACTGTATTATATACTATCATATTATATACTAAAAGTATCATACAATTTCATCAGCGCGGTAAACAAATTAAGAGTCAAATAATTGAGACGTCAAACTGTACCTTGTTATTCTCTTGACTAATTCTGATTACACCTAACTAACACCGCAGAGGGGGAAGGGATTATTAGTAATGGGGAGGTTAGCCCCATTGCTATCAATATACCCTATCAGGTCGACCTCCACACGGTCCCTCCTGGAAACTATCGTGATTAATTTATCGTTGAATTCGTCACGTCGTCCTTTTCATCCTCACTTATCACCTGTCACAGGTACCCCGCCAGTATATACCGATGCCTTATGCCATTTTTCACTCATAGAAAAAAGAAAAAATATAATAAAAAAAAAAAACTAACACCGACATTTAAAAAACATGCATTCGTCCAAAATTATATGGGAGAAAAACCTCATTTTACATGACATAATATATAATTCAACTACAGAATATATTTTTTTATGCAACTTAGAATGGCCAACAAGCTGACGGCCCACCTTATGGAAAGTGGTAATCGTCGCCAACAAACACAAGCAGTACCATGGACATAACAGAGTAAACTGTTTCGCCCATTATGCCCCCATACGTTGCCATTTCTGAGGACTCAATTGTTATTCTTCTGTACCCTGTAAATTCACTGCCATATCTCACCCTTCAAATCGAAACAGCCGTGCAAACACAACTACTTCACGGTAGAAACACGAATGGATTAGAGGTGCCTAAGCAAACGACTTTAGAACAAAGTCTCTCTCTGGTGATATCTAGATTACTTTTTAAATTCTATGTATTATTTTATATTGTAAAAACAATGTTTTAAGAACCATATCATTATAATGCAATTTGAAAAAGTTTCCACTTAATACTTTTATATTTTCCGACAAACGATTACAAAGTAAGATACACGTATTAAATTTATTTTTCTTTTACATATCATTGTGGCATTGAGGCTGGTTTTAGATATTAGCATTATCATACCCTATGCACGCCTATAACACGCAAATTACTGATCCTTAAGAAAATTTAATACGCTTTTTTTAAAGAACTCCGTGCTGTATTCTCTAGAGATAACCTCTATAGGAAAATCATTGCACAACCTGAGTTTTGATGGGAGGAAGCTCCTCTGAAACCGCATTGTTCTAAGATGTAACTACTTTGCTTCTAGGGTGTGAGGATGGATTATGTATCATGACAAAACATGAGCAACATTTAATACTCATTGTATTAAATGTTGTAATAAGATACCGAAGAATATTTTGGATCTAACTTTTAATAAACTTTAAACTGTTGTAAAAAACACTTATTGAACAAAAACGATTACTTAAACGACAAGCGTGCATGGTGTTTGTCGATCAGACACGAGCTATTTAATGACATGTAATTTTAGACATAGTACATTTAAATAAATACACATAATGTTAACAGAGATATAAAAGAGTAACTGTTGCGTTTCTTGCAGACTCTTCTCAACAGATAACAACATTCCGAATCCTGCAGTAGATTTTAAAAAAAATAATAATTTAAAAGTGCTTGTAAATAAGTATATTTGAATAAAGAAGATTTGAATTTGAAGAATTGTTCGGAACACAATCCGTTATACAGGCGATAGAAGATACAAATAGAAACAAAGTCTCGCTTTGAATTCAAGGGCTTGATACCAAATTTTAACTTTTTAAGCTAAGTAGTAAATCTAGATAGTGTTAATAATCTGTAAGTACAAATAATTTTATATAGTATACCTATTTTATTATAATATCCGTTTAGTGCCTCGTAATGACATATTAAAACAAACAGACATACATTAATTTTGTAAGTACCTAACTAATTTGGGTGGTGGGAGAAGATATTAATAGAAATAGAGATTAGAAATCCCATTGCTAACAATATTCTTGTGACTCTATTAAGTCGATCGCCACGCGGTTTCTCCTGGAAACCATCGTGATTGATTTAATGTTGAATTCGACACGATGAGCCAACTAACCTGCTTTATCCTCGTCTATCATCCGTTACTGGTACCCCGCCAATATATACCGATAGCGCAGGTGTGTAACCATTCCATTATCATGTATAAAAAAAAATTGAGTATCTTTAGTTCATTTTGTTTTTTCTAGTAAGTGTGCACGAAGTAAAACAGTGATTTGATTACAGTAGTAAAGATTAGCTATCATTTACGTATACATACAATAACTATTATGGATTAAAGAAGTAAATACCTATAGATACTTATAATCGTATTTGAATTAGTTCTAATCTATACTAATATTATAAAGAGGAAAGATTGATAGTTTGTTTGTAATTCATAAACTCTAAAACTATTCATACCAATTTTGAAAATTCTTTCTTCTATAGAAATCTATATTTTTAGCGAGTGCATATATATTTTTTTGAAAAAAAAAATAGAGATCACTATGAAAATTAAAATAACGTAACCTGAAGTATTAAAAAATTGCCTGTGAATGCTATTAATTAGGTATTAATTTACCCATGTGAAGCTGGAGTGGAGCGTTAGTAGATAACAAAATTTAAGCATTAAAGAAAGAAGCTTAATATGCACAATTAGGTAATTTATAAAATAATTATTTCGTCGATTTTACATTAGCTTCAGGTTAAAATCAGACTCTCGACCATCTTCGGTAAAATTTTGGAATACTTCAACCAGTAATTTCTAGAAAAGATAGGTACTATTAATGTGGTGAAATTATTTGTCAGACGATCAGAAATCAACGAAGCCGAAGAAACGAGATCTAGAAGTAACATACTCAATAACCCCAATTCTTCATCGTACCTCCGCTCCCGATTTAAATTATTACCACCACCAGTCTGTCCTAAACGCAAAGGGAGTCAAGCTCAATCCAGGATGCTCGAACTTCCTGTGTGTAGGACACATTTTATGGGCAACTCTTTCTCGTATCGAGCTGTCCAGTTATGGAACAAACTCCCTTCCCACATACAAGAAAGTCCGTCTATTACTTCTTTCAAGAAAAGGTTGAAATCACATTTTCTTTCGCTTGAGTAATTTTTTTTTGTATCTTTCTAATTGAACTGTCAAATCTTAAAATTATTAAACTAAATTTCTAATGTAAGTAGTATATTCATTTATTTTAATATTTATTATATAAGTAGGTAGGTATTATATGAGATTTATAGATGTATGTACATTTATAAATATATTATTATATATTTTAATATTTTAAAAAATTAAACATTGTATATTTGTTTATGTATTACACTAGTGCAAGATGCGCTGCACTCGGTGACTAACAGGTCTATCACAGACAGAGCTATAATATACATATATTCTTTATTGCACTAAAAGATACAGTAATATCAAGAAGTTAATAACACTGTTAGCAAAGGCGAACTTATCTCTAAAAGAGAATTCTTCCAGTCAATCTAACACAGTGACATAGGAAGTAGTGAGTGAACAGTAGTAGTGCTAAGCAGAAACTAAAATATTTACATAAATTACAAAAAAAATAATAATAAAGCATACTCGTATAAATATAAAATATATAATATACTATATATTAATAAAAATCATAGTAAAGCATTACGGTACATTTTCTATAGTAATCTTCACGTGATTACATACGCAGCTATGGTATATATTTTTATTGCGTTCCAAAATTATGTGGACAGATATGACACGATTACGTAGAGATCGTCTTCGGCAGCTTGCTATAATATTACCATATATATCTTTATCTATCTACTATTGAAAAAGATACAGTAATATCAAAATTTAATAACACTTTGTAAGCAAACCGCAGAACTTTTGAAGATATTTTAAAAGAGCTGCTGCCTACCCATCGACCATTAAATTTTCTTAGTTGCTTCTTACGATACCCACGGGAAAGGAAGGGATGGCTCATTCTATCAGGAGATCACACAAAAATAACACAATATTATATATATAATTACATATATTAATACAGTATATAAATTAATAATGCAGAAAACATCATAAATAATATATATAATATAGATATATTGCGCCGAATATAAATTGTATGTAGCTGATGAAACACGGGTGTAACCTGAGGGCAAACATGTATATCTTACCTTCTTTCATTGATGTTTATTTCCACTAAGGAAATTCCCACTACCAGAACTTAATAATATTAACTTACAATATATGTATATTTTTAAATGTAATATATAAAAGCACATTTAAAAGGTTGACTAGTAAAAATGCCTACAGAATTATGTCAGCCTCTCGTACCATATTTTATTGGTCAATAAAATTTAAATAAACAAATATATTATTCAGACACACTCCCTTTACCTTGTTATAAAAACGGTATTTTCATATCTCTATAAATCTTCGCTTTCCTAATTTAAAATATAACATAGGGACTAACGGTCCCGACAGATAACGTTCTGTCAAAAACTACTTGACTTTGATCGTTCGTCTGCATCTTACGAAGAGTTTATATGCAAAAAAGAATAAGATTCAACATTCGAACTTCAATAAAATAAAAAAATAAAAAAATAGCCGAATTGGTCCTGGTCCTGGAACTTTTCATATTTTAAGTATAGAAACAGAGTTTAAGCTTCAGTGTCGCAGGTTTTTCTGCCTAAAAAAAGCCCTTCTTTCAATAATAATAACACAGCTTCTCGATTCATTTTTATATGTTTGCATTAAAGCTTTAACCACATTTCGTGGATCTTTCAACGGATCTAAAGATTGGCTCGTAGGAATACCAGAATATTAAATAGTCTTAGTATAAACCAGTCAGTTACACATACCTAAAATGAACTTTTATTAAAGTAACGCATTATGCTGTATACGAATAAAGCACAGGATCCACTCAGCACCTTGTATCATTTGCATGAGTTCTTTAATTACGTAAAGATATAGCCTCCCTCAGTATTTTCTACCACCGTTTTCATGGGGATTACTTAGATGAACTATATTCTCTTAATCCATTTTCTCAATGATATCGCACCACGAGGATAAACCACGTCAGATCGTTCGCGTACGTGTACAAATAAATTATGAATGATGTTAGTTATTTACTCCTACATTAACCACACCTTAACATTTACCAGAGAGAGACTTTGTACAAAAGTGAAGCAGTTGTGTTTCCATGGCTGTGTTTCGGTTTGAGTGGTGCGATATGGCAGTGAATTTACGCAGGGTACAGAGGAATAACAATTGAGTCCTCAGGAATGGCAACGCATGGGGATATCATGGGCGAAATAGTATACTCTGTAATGTCCATGGTACTACTGATGTCTATATGCGACGGCTACCATCTTCCATCAGGTGGGCCGTCAGCTTGTTTACCATTATAAATTGCATAAAAAAAAAAACATTTAGGAATACCCTTTTCCGTTACGTGTTCCTTTCATCCTATAATCTCGGACTCTCTAAACGTAACGTGAAAAAGCACTCTTTTTGCTGTTGATCACATTCATGGACTATATTGTCGCTGTTTGCTTTCATTTTATCCCGTGCCATTACATGTGAAAAAGAAATATTAAGACAAAATTTTAAAACCATTTTAATTAAAATTATTTGTTGAACTTACTTGGGCATTTGTATAGAAATTGGATATAGATGCAACTCCATCTTTTTTATCCGCTATTTAATATCTATTTCCCATCAGTTCTGTTAAATCTTTATATTAGACAGATTTATGTCCATTTACATAACTATAATCAATGAATCAAAATTATTAGACAGCAACATTATTGTAGATCAATTAATGATTAGATTATAACATTTTATAATCGTATCAGATTTATAAAAGATTGTGAAGCACTCGAATATTATTAAATAAGTAAACGATAGTACACTGAGCAGTTAATTTTTTTTTTTTTTTGAGTGTCCAATATGGAATTGAAATTATTTTTTTTATTTAGCTTAGTTTTTATTATAACAGTAAATGCTCAAGTTCGTATGGTATACGATAGAAATGATGTTTTTGATCGTAAGTTGTACGAAGAAGTGTTGGACCGCGGAGAGTGTTTGAAACAAATGAGATATATTGTGACAGAAGATCCTTTGTTATGGGCTCGATGTAAGTTTAAACTTAAAATTACTTTATAATAACTGCATATCGTTTCTTTGCTAGATACAGCTCTCTTCTTACAAAATAAGGATAATATATAAAAACTTAATACGTGTTATATTTCTAAAGAGAACTTTTTTTTTTTAAGATAGACTTATTAACCTTTATGTCAAGTATTTAAAGGTATAAATCTCTAGTGATAAAAAAGTTTTACATAAGTTTTGTCTTACATTATGATTTTTTTTTTCGGAATACCGTATATTAAATACAATCTAATATCCTTCTCCTACTCTTCTCTTTGGAACACAGTCGCATATTCTCTCAAAAAATCCTATATGGTTCATTATTTCTTCAGTTACTTACGGGAATAGTACAAAGTTACATAGTGCTAAGTTCAAATGAAAATTTTATTTATACTCAAAGTTTTTCATATTATTTTATGACATATTTGAGACTCGATATTAATAAACCTACGATTATATCGATTCCTCGTTTGAGAGCAAAGTAAATAAGTAAGTAAATTTGCATCTTGACATAGATTAAATCATTAACCGGATTGGGGTGAGTCGTTTCCGGATATTAGACTTAATTATATGAAAATTATTAAAGAAGTTTGTTTAATTTTATTTTGTAACATTACTTAAGCTTTTAATGGCTGGTTGATTTGAGACTCATTATTTATTGAAACATATACTATATAATACTATATAATTTAAAAGTCTTCTTTAAAGGTTGTTGAAAATGGAAAATCTATTAAATGATTGGTTATAAATCTTTAAAGATTGATTGACTATTCAAATCCAATGAGACAATATGCATATAATGAATCTGAGAGACTAATAGTAGAGTACCCAATGTACAATTTTCAATGCGATATGCATATAATGAATCTGCCTATTTAGTGTTTTTTTTTTTAATGAGAGACAGTTGTCTATGACTTTAAAATATGTATGTATACAATTATAAATGTTATTCCTATTAATTATAGTTATATATATATATATATATATATATATATATATATATATATATATATATATATATATATATATATATATATATATATATATATATATCTATATATTATTAATAAGATATTTATAAATTGTTTGACAACTTATTTCTTTTTTTACTGATCAATAATTTTTATTTAAATCGACACAAGATTGACTAGCACTTACCTGGTCTATAAAATCTTTACAATATTTCAACAATATTACAAATGGTCATTTAAATTAAATACATTTTATTCACTATTAATTATAGTTATATAGACTTATCAAATAATTATTAAACTGGATTCTACATAAATACGGATGATTCAAGTTTCAGTCTTTAAATTAGTGGCATTTATTTTAAATACACTATCGGGACGCGATGGAAAATTTTGCGGACAAAAAGTACCTACATATATGCCTTTATATTGCTGACGTTTCATCTTGGATTAAGCTATGTCGTGGTTATGACAGGTCAGGATAGTGTATTTAAAATATATGTCAACAATATGAAAGTTTAAAATTAATTAATGATATACATACATATCCTTAAATAAAATTAACTGAATTATGTCAGATAGGTAACTTGACAATGTTAGCTAAGATAAACGTTGCCGATTGCGCGGGGAAAGGAGCCCTCACTTGTCCTTAATTTTTATATAGAGTTTGTACAATTTTGTTAATTCTGCTAATTGTACCCTGTCATGACCATGGTACTGTTTATTTCTATAAGAGACGGTTACTAGTTTCCATCAGGTGGGCCGTCATCTTGATTACCATTTTAAATTGCGTAAAAATGTGACATAAACAAAACTACATTCACTTAGATTTATTTCGAAAAGCAAAAAGTAAGTAGAAATAAGGTAAATAAATGTATAAATTAAGTATTTATTGTATACAGATAAAATTAATTAAAAATAAATCAAATATGTTGTAAGAAATAATTGAGAAAATATAAATAATTTGATGTAGAGAAAAAAGGAAGAAATAGGTGGACAATGTTATTAAAAAAACCTAGGAAAAAAAGAGACAGTTAATTACATAAGTTTAAATTTATCAAAAACATTTACAAATAAAATACAACATAATAATACAGAATATAAAACATAATTGTAATGATAAATTTTTAGACAGAAATGATGTACGTAGAAAAGTGCAATATGTATATGAGGTATGAGAAGGTACGATGTACCCAAGTACCCAACATACGAAGTAGAATAAGTAATAAATAAAATAGGCCTTAACAAATCTCCGGATGCGGATAAGATTAGAGTGACTGATATTAAATATATCAAGAAACAAATAAGCCCAGACATAGCTAATTTTATCAACATGAGTGTAACTCAAAAAGCTATATATATATATATATATATATATATATATATATATATATATATATATATATATATATATATATATATATATATATCCTGAACAATTAAAAACAGCATCAATAAGTCCGTTATATAAACATACACACTCATTATGAATATAAAAACTATAGACCTATCGCTATTCTTTCTGTATTTAATAAAATAACGAAAGAGGTTATTGTAACAAAAATTACATTTTTTTAGAAAATAACGCTATATTGACAGATGTGCAACATGGTTTCAGACAAGGGCGCAGTATCAGGTTCCTGGTATGAGAACAGATATAGATTTAGTATACGGAATTAGAATACAAGTTTATAACGTTCTTTAAAAGGCTTTAAATTGAGGCAAACTAGATTAATTCTTTATAACAGTTTAGTACGTAGTCGATTGGAGTTTACCTCTGTTGCTTGGAATCCAGTCTACAGGTCTTCATCTCAACGAATAGAAAATATCCAAACGAGCATTCACTAGACATTTAGGTTACATAACCCTTAACATATCGCATAGGCGACCTTATAGTCAGAGGATATCTTTCTTTTACATTACCTTTCTTGGAACGCGTCATATGATTGCAGATTTAATGTTCATTCATAAAATTGTCAATAATAAAATTCATTGTGCGGATTTACTGAGTTCAATCCAATTAACGATACCTCTAAATTATCCTCGACACCAGTGTATACAGTGTGCGTGGTGGCATAGTGCGGGTGACAGTTCCAGTAATGTTTCGTTTCACTCTTGAAAGTCGCTGCGATTTACAAATTATAACTTAGTATTTCAGTTGTACCATATTCGTAATATATTAAATCATTAGTAACTGTAATAACTTAAATTTAACCCAGCCATACAGGCAATGTCAACGTTGTCAACTTTCATCCGTACCATGGTACAGCGCACATAGTATAGTGTTGTACACAAGTGTTCCTTTTCATTGCAGGATTCTGAAATATATATTTCTTTTATTTCTACTCTACTCCTATTTATTTTTTATTTGGTCTAATTAAAAATATAAACTTTCATAAATCAACACTGAGTAAATTCTTTACGTATGTAATGTAGGTACTTGCCGGTTATTTTTGTTGACGTTATAAGTAGAATCTTAAAAATATATTACAATTTGTCTTTTATTTTTAAAACTTATGCTTATTTCTATTCGATGTCTGTATACATATGGAAAATTAATGAACTCAGTGAGTTTTAGTCACATCTGACAATTGAGAGTCATTAACAAAACAGTGAGTGCATTAATTTCACGTATGTATACAAACAATTTGTCTTTTATTAAAACGTAAATACTGAAATGGGGTTTGTACGTTTTCAGTTTTAGATGCGGGTTTCAGAATGCCACGAAGTTTACAAAAAGGAAACTTAAACGATTTGGGTAGTTACTACGAATGTTTGGGTATAAATGAAAATGTACGAGATATGAGTATAGAAGGTAAATATTGTACGGCGAAGATACCGGTGAATAGATTTTTCAATTTGACTAGTTTGCCGATACAGTCGGAACTTCGAGAAGTACTATGGCCAGAGTTCAATCCGATGATGTTTAATATTGATGATAGTACCTACAATGATCTGATAAAGCAAATGAGTATAAAGAAACAACTTCAAGGATTAATTGGGACAACACCAGAAGACAATAACATATCGAGGTAAGTGTAACATTCCACAATTACTAAAATTATAAACAAATCTATTTATTTGAGAAAAGTTTAAATTAATTCTACATTAATAGAAGTTTGAGAGGTAACTGGTATGACAGAAAATAAAAATAAATCGATAAATAAGGTGTATGACCAGCCATAATTGAATTCTAAGTAGCAACTACGGTAATGACAAAATATATTCTAATAAGAACGAGAGAGAGAATATTCTTTATTTATACTATTACAGTACAATGAGATATGAGATGCTTTGAATAAATACTGAATATATATTAATTTACGAATATAGTTTAATAAAATGATGCGATGATAGGCATCCTGCAACTAAAACCAAATTTCAATGCAACTTTAGGGTGGAACGTGTAAAAGGAATTTGCGACAGTGACAGTTTTGTTACTTTATCATATTTATGTTATTTTGGTATTAAATTTCAGAGACGATGATTCTATATTAGGTTATGAGATCAGTATACGACTGGCAGTGTGTCTTCCAAAACCCTGTTCTTTACAAAATGTATTAGAAACTGTATCAAATATAAGTGGTTTGCAAATTCAAGAAGATTATTGCAGGCTTCCAAATGATAAACCATGGGCTGCTGCAGATTATGTGGCTTTGTAAGTAAACTACTATAAATCTTTAAATGTACAGTATTTCTTAATGCAATGTAGAATAGCAAACATGCTTACGGAACTTTTGAAAAGTGGTAATCGTCGCACATGATTCGCCAATCTTTTGGTACTTTTGTTTTATGCCTCTGTATCTTGTAATTTAATTGTTAAATCTCACCCATCAAACCAAAATATAGCCATGCTATTACATTTACTTCACGGCAGAAATTCGAGTGAAAAAGAAGTTAGAACATACATTTGCAGTTGTATTTGTTTGTATTTTTGTTGTATTTTATTAAGAGAGGGACTGGTTGAAAACTAGTGCTATGCACATTGCATTGGGACACTCACAGTATTAGCTGAGCCAGTTCCTTATGTCTAATATGGGACACAACTTATATATAACATTTCTATATTTTCTGATGTAATTATATATTTTTCTGGTAACAAATATTTTCTATTTTATTCTAAATAATTTAAATCAGATGATTTTTGGTCAGTTTTTTTCAGGTATAACAAAAGACTAGACTGTTATACTTGATGGCATGTGGTAATTTTCGGCTAAAGCCATGAATTGCATTACAGACAACATAGTATATGTATACCTATACTAATAAATGGTAATAACTTTTGAAATACTTATACTGTGAATTATTTGTTTCAGAGTTACATTTACTTTACTTGGTATTCTAATGCTCATAAGCACTACTTATGATATACGACACCGTATATTCTTAAAAAAAGGTGAGAAATTAATTAATTATTTTATCTTCAGTAACAATCTTTTTATAATACGACTATATTTTTGCCAGCAACTTTAACATGTTTAAAATTAGAAAAACCAGTCAAATACGAGTAAAATATGTCTAAATGGCATACCGGGATAAAACATACACTAGCTTTTAAGGTAAATCTTTAGGAATACAACTGTGAAATCGCAATCATATTGGTATAGTAGTTTTTGCGTTATGCTGGAACAAATATATAGACAGACGGATAAATCTCTGAAAGCTATTGTTTTGCCTACTATTGCTTTTATTAAGCCCTTATAAATTTTTTTCTTAAAAATCTTATATCGTGTAACAAAACAAAAAAATAGTAAAACAAAGCATTTGGGGATTGCTATATCTGGCGGCGTTTATATGTTTTTTGCAATATTCTTTGATCTAATATTTTGGACTGATGGTAACACGGTTTTTTGTTTAAGATCCAAAATTGGCCAATAAGCTGTACTTGTCCTTTTCCGTCTACACCAACACACTACGACTGGTGACCTACACACCAGTACCAGGAGCTCTGGAATGCTTGGATGGTATCAGGGCAATTGCAATGCTTTGGGTTATAATTGGACATACATATCAAATGTTTGTAACAGCGCCTACGATGCACAATCCTTTAGATCTTTTATACGTGAGTAAAATAAAAAAATGATAATTTTTTACAACATTATTTTCATATACGAGTACCAATATGTGTGTGCGTGTGGTTGTGCGTGTGCGTGTGCATGTGCGTGTGCGTGCGTGCGTGCGTGTGTGTGTGTGTGTGTGTGTGTGTGTGTGTGTGTGTGTGTGTGTGTGTGTGTGTGTGTGTGTGTATGTTTTGCAGGCATTAATATGCTACGGTAACCGTTTACCATCAGGTGGGCCGTATGTTTGTTTGCCACCTCAGTGGTAACAAAATATATAGCACAACGATTGGATGTGCTGTTAAGAGGCCAAGATGTTCGAAAAATCAGTCAAAACAAACAATCAGGAATACAACTATGAAAAAGACATCTATTTCAATGAATATTTGAAAAAAAAAAAATAAGTCGAATTGGTCCAGCCGTTCTCGAATTTTGCTAGCAACATATTTAACGACACTTTTTTATTTCTATACATATTGGCCGTGTAGTCCCGATATATAATAGGCCACCCCTTCCTTTCCCGTGAGTGTCCGAAAGCGACCAAGGGAGGGCGAGGGATGAGCAGCAGCGTCCCTCTTAAAACATCTCTAAAGTCTGACTACGGTTGCCAATTTGGCTGCCAAGCGTGGCAACTACTGGCAAAACTACCCACGGGAGAGGCTTATATTCAGCAATGGACGGTTAAATGCTAATACATATGATGATGATGATGATATTAGTGAAGATTTTAAAACTTTTTTTCTTTTACAGTTTCTACGATCCTTTTGGTCTTTGTGGATAACGGCTGCCCCCATTACTGTTGACACTTTCTTCATGCTTAGTGGACTTCTGTTAATTTATACTATAGCAGGCAAAACAACAAGGTGTAAGTATTTTGAATGATTTACGTAGATTAAAAGTATTGTGAAGGAATTTGTGATATAATTTATATTACATATTTTCACTTTCACTATTTACAGTATCTAGGTGTATCAAAGTTTAATAAGTAAATACATAATTACTGAATTTCAGCAAGTGTGATTTTAGTCTAATTTCGGTGTACTTTTTTGGTTTTGAGTCTTCATAAGTCGAAGTACTTTGAAAGTATTTGATAAAATAGTTTTTCTTTTCTTCTAATTTATCTCTATTTATCTTAGGTTTCAAAATCTAAGATTTCCACACAAATTTGACAATATAAACATTAATACAGTGTTAATGTAAATCTACACAATTATTCACAACTTTGGCACTCATCAATTCTTTCAATCAATTTCATATCAAACAAATTTTATTAAGAATAATATTACATTTTACTGTAGTAAAATGAAATGTCTCACTTTTATGGAAAAACACAATAAATTGCGATAGGAATACAATCATGATAAGTACAGTTACAGATAATATAATACTGTATGAGCTACAGTTTAGCTTACTAATACCTAATAAATAATAAACATTTGTATTGTATACAATTTACAATAACAGTTTACAATATATACATATATTGTATGTATTATAAACTGAAATATATTTTGTTCGAAACGTGCCATATGAGATAAATTGAACATTAATTTAATTGAGATTGCACCTTATTCTTCGGTTACTGTTACTTAGTCAACCTCAATACAATTATAACTAATATTAAATTTCGTCATAGATGGCGAGTTTTAATAAAAAAATATGGCGATAGTTGTTTGAGAATGTAGGTTTTAATAATAATTTATTTTCATCTTCCAGCAACACTCCTGAAGAACCTGCACCTGTTCTACTTGAGTCGATATCTTCGACTATTCCCTGTATTGGCCGCCAGTATTCTCCTTCAAGCGTCGCTGTTCTATCGGGTGACAGACGGGCCCGTGTGGGAATCAGTTGCGCAACAAACATACCAATGCAGAAAGTATTGGTGGTCAACATTATTGTACATACAGAACTATTACAACCCTCGCTTCACTGTTAGTATTTTAAAATGTTTTTGAAATACTTTAATTTTAATTAGGCATTTGTTATACTGAAATAGTAATTTCAGTATAACATTCAAATATAATTTGTTATTATTCCAGTGTATTCCAAATACATGGTATCTGGCAGTAGATTTCCAACTCTTCTTGATATCTCCTATTATTCTCGTCGGAGTCATTGGTACAACCAAGAGAACAGCTTGGATCACATTAACTACTGCACTACTAGCTAGTATTACAGGATCTAGCATTTTTAACTTTATAATGAGATTTACAGCTGCTAATTTTGTTGTTGGGTAAGTAACATCCTTAGGTATTGTAACGCGACATACCGTTGGCGTCACAGTATATTCTATATTCCTCCTACAGATGTTCATGTTTATAAGCAATCTCTAATATTGTCTATTTTACTTTTTGTAAATAAAAAATACTGTATAATCACAACAGTATCATAGCAACTGTTAACTGTTTTTTGTTGAACATAAGCCTCCCCCCCATAAGAGGGGTTTTGCGAATAGTTGCCACGCTTAGCAGGCGGGTTGGCAACCATAGGCTTTTGGTGATGTTTTAAGAGGGACGCTGTTGCCTATTTTTTGACCATTAAGTTTCCCTAGTTGCCTGTTACGACGCCCATGGGAAAGGAAGGAGTGGACCATTCTACTAGAGGGAGACTTTGTACAAAAATCCTTTGCTTGAGCATCTCTGTCCCATTCGTTTTTCTACCATGAAGTAGTTGTGTTTGCTTAGCTGTGTTTTGGTTTAAAGGGTAGTGCGTTTACAGGGTACAGGGAATAAATAACACTTAAATCTTCAGGAATGGTAAAGCATGGGGAGTACCATAGGCAAAATAGTATACTGTTATATCCGTGGTAATGGTACTGCTCATATCTATAGGCGACGGTTACCACTTTCCATCAGGTGGGTCGTCAGTTTGTTTGCCCTTTTAAGTTTCATACTACATTTTCAGCGAGTAAAATAGGCTATATATTATTTTCGAAAATTCTATCTATCTCTACGATGCCGGTCCAGATAGCCAGCAATAAAAAGGAAAACAATTGTTTGTTATTTCGTCAAGGATAAAAAAAGGTTGACGTTAGTTTGTTTGAATAACTAATGAAACAACTTCTAAGCAAATAGTAAAAATAATAGTAAAAATATTTTCTATTTCAGCTCAACAAGAGAGGATCGACCGGATTATTTTACTTTGTACTACGTAAACACATTGCCAAGGGCATCGCCCTTCTTCGTGGGCATGATATTTGGATATATTCTATATCTTTGCCGTGGAAAAGAAATAATTATGTCAAAAGTAAGTTTTTTTTATTTTTTTTTTTTTATTTTAAGCCAGTTTAGTCTAGATACTAGTATAGTATTATATTATCTGTGGTCTAGATAACGGTCGACTGCAGTCCCGAGATCTCAATATCGAATATCAGTCTAAACCTCTGAATTACCTAAATTCACGTTTGGATTAGATAATTAAGATTGTCTTCTACAAATAAAAACTCACTTCAATTGTGGCAAAACCAGTTATTTTGATTTAAAAATTAAACTAATGTACCGATTTAGATAAAATTTCTATAGGTTCAGATAAAAAAAATATCTAAATCGGTTTATAACTTAAAGAATTTGAATTTGGAAAGTTTATCGTTTTACTTTTCACCGAACAAATTAAAAAATATTTATTGTTCCCTGTTTTCAGATACAAATTACCTTCTTATGGTTTTTGACTATAGTTGTGTCATCTGGAATAATTTGTAGTCATTATATAGTTTTACGACCAGACTGGGACAACTGGATAGTAGATGCCTTAATCAATTCCTATATGAGGCCACTTTGGGCTTTGTCTATTTGCTGGATGATCTTCGCCTGTACGCATGGATATGGAGGTACGGTGACGAAGTTTTTTAAATGCCTATTAAATTTACTAAACTAATATTCTACTATATATATATATATATATATATATATATATATATATATATATATATATATATATATATATATATATATATATATATATATATATATATATACACACGCACTACACGCACACGCACACAAGCACGCACGTACGCACGCACATACTCACGCACACACACACACACATATATTATATATGTCATGTTTATATTTTACTCTTAAAGTTGAGGAAAAAGGAAGGACTCAGTTAAGCTCAGGAATGGCAACTCATAAGGGCCACCATGGCTGTCATATTTTGTTCTGTCATGTTCATTGTATTCTTTATGTTTATAGGCGACTTATGTCAATTCCCATCAGCTAGGTCAGGTTATATACAATATTCTAAGTATAGTAAAACAATACAATGTTACCTTATTTCAGGTCCAATTAACTGGATCCTGTCACATCCTATGTGGAAGATATTGGCAAGATTATCATACACCATGTATGTATTCCATTATCCACTTATGTTTGTTGTCAATGGATCCTTAGTAACTCCGCTTTACTTCAGCGATGAATTCGCAGTGAGTATTTTATTATGAGATACATGTATATTTTTTTTACAGTAGATACAAGTATTTATTTTATACTATCTGTAACTTCATCCTCGTGACCAGAATATACTGTTCGACCAACGTAAAAATGTCCTATATTTTTTCTATCACACATTGTATGTTCATACTACATTTCACGACGATTAGTTATTGAGGTTCTAAGAGGTAACAAACAATTTTTTTAAATGACTTCAAATGAGAAATATAAAAAATCACCTTTATAATATTAGTAAGGACTCTTTATTTAAATGGTTTTATTCATCTTGCTTTGTTCAGATATAACTGGATGATGGGAACTTAATGAACTTACCATATTTGTTATTTTCGACACTTATTTCGAATATTGTATACAAAAATATCACCAAAAACCATTGAGAAACTGGTAAAGATATAATGGGATATATCTATGTATCTATTGCATTTATAATAAGTTTACTACTGTAATCTTTTGGAGGAAACAATAAAGAGTATCTATCTATCTATATATATAAATATACAGACAAATAGACAATCTGCTCCTTTTTAAGACTCACAGAAAATAATGCCGTTGACTTTGATCCTTTTTTAATCAAAATGTTTCAAAATCGATATTTTGTAGAACAAAAATATTACATAGATAGAGATACTCTTTATTGATTTATATATTTGATATTTTTCTTAATCATTTTCATATGATAAAATATTGATATGAATTTCTGTTCATTTGTTTTTAATCAAATTAATATTATTAATTTACAACTAACTGTTGGAGATGGTATAACAGTAAGGTACTGCTAGGAGTCAATTGATACGCGGTCTTGATAAGCAGCAGCTTTTTATATTTCCTGAATTAACAGGCACAATAGTTAGGTAATAACTGGTGTAAGGATCGCCCCTATAAGAGTTGTGAATCGTCTCACACAGCAGAAGCGACACCAAACCTCTTTTATAGGAGATAGTGTGAAGATAGTCCAAGGAGTGGAAGTAATTTCATATCACTGTAGTAGTCTCCAATTAACGAAACAAACAATATGCTTAGGGGGAAAGGGATTGTTAGTAATGGAGACTAAAAATCCCATTGCTAGCAATATCCCCAACCAGGTCGACCTCCTTGTGGTTCCCCCTGGAAACTATCATAGTTAATTCCTGATGAATTCATCATGATGGGCTAACTGACCTGTTTTCATCCTCATCGATCACCCTTCACTGGTGCTCCGCCAGCGTATCCCGTTACCGCAGGCGGGGTAGCCATTCCATTTTCACCTATCAAAAAAACAATATGCTTAACATAAGATACATCCTTAATTACACAAGTGTTGTAATTTTGTACAGCGCCATCTAGCGGCATGATGAAATATTATATATGTTACAAAACTTTTTTTTCAGATACACAAGGCAATGACTGATTTCGTGATAGCAGTTTTGGCTGCGTATATAATCACATTGTTTGTAGACGCGCCCTGCTCTGTGTTGATTAAACATTTCTTGGGAGGTTAGTATATAATCGACATTTTAAGTTGTTTTTTTTTATCTGTATATTGAGATAGATAGATATTGGGATATTTTTAGGTAGATAGTAGTTTTTAATTAGTAGAAGGAGGTTGTATTTTTCTTTATGTTTATTACTTTATAACTATACGTTATTTATAAATCGATTTGGAAGAATTTTCTATTATCTGAAAGAATATACTTATAGATTAGACTTAAAACTTTTATATAATCGGTATAATAGTTTAAGTTTTTAAATCAAAATATCTGGTTATGCCATAATTGAAGTCGGTATTTTTTTTATTTAACACAATCTTTAATAAATCGTTATACTTTCTTGTTGTATGATGATTCTTACGTTCAAATTTAATTTGTTTTAATTACATATTTTTTGTTGCGTTAAATAACCTAACGCAAATTAACGTTTACTTTTACGAAATTAAAATTATTTTATTTTATTGATTTGAAAATTTATTTTTTAGGTTTCATCAAGCAAGCACCGAAAAAACCCTTGGATAATGCTGCTGATACCTCAGAAGTGAAAAATAAAAATGAATCAGCATAAAATTAATAAATAATTAGACCGTTACCGCCGCCTAGTCTTAATCTAAGAACCTGTATTATAATTATTAAATATAAGATATTCTATAAATAAATAAACTTTTTTTTATATATTTTTTTTTATTTATAAGTTAAGATGGAAAATGCCCAGTAAGCTGCATTATCTGGACGTTCCATAAGTAAGTATAAATAATCGTACCTACTCATGAATAAATATTGTAGTTTGTGTTAAATGGACATCGAACCCGCAAATATCGAAAGGTGAAGCAATGAAAACCGAGGTTTTCCAAAGAGACTACAGCATGGGGTTCTTCAAAGGGAGGGTAAAGAGGTTTCTTTAGGATCAGTAACGCGGCTATATAGGCTACGGTAACCACTTATCATCAGGTGGGCCGTATGCTTGATTGCCACCTCAGTTGTATAAAAAGAAAGAAAACAAACACTATACCACCGAGGTCGTTAATTTAACATAAATTAGCTTGAGTTGAGAATATTTAAATCGGATTGCGCATACGCAGCTAAGTATCGAATAGAGATATAGAAGTTGATAATGGTTTGATAATTATGCCGGTGACTCGAGCAATTGATGTCTGCCAGCCGTGCAAAAAATCAACGGTCGCCGCCGATTACCCCCACCCCCCCTCATACGCTGCTGTTTATGTTTATGCAACGTAAACATTCAATTTACATTGAATCATTTAATCGTATCAAATTTGGGAAAGCGCTTGTGAGTAATTAGTAACACGCCTATTGCTTGCAATATATCCTATCATCGCCCTCGATGTGTTTTTTCAAAGAAGCAATTGTGGTCAATTTTGTATTCGTCCAAATGGACCAATTAGCTTGCTTCATTCTCACCTATCATCTCACACTGGTGGACCGTCAATGTAAACCATTTTATTTTCACCTGTTAAAAAATCGTCACAAATTTAATATAAGACAGATATGAAGGTATACTATATCGATTGTAAAAATAATTAAAAATTCTAATTTTATAAGTCACCCAAATAACCTTTTACCTACACTAATTACGTAATTTGGTTGCAAATTTGCAAAGTAATGATAATCTGAGTAATGTAGTTATTTTCTGATTATATCGGTCCCGAAAATTACTTCAGCAGTTCTAATTATCATTATAATTAATAAGCGACAGATAAGTTGCCATCTTTTGGTTAATAGACTATCAATCAAGTGTGATAATACACGTACGTGATGCAGACTTTAATTAATCTACCTGCACGTATATATTCGTAGATAATAAAACTGAAGTTTCAAAGTGACATTTATAAAATTTTGAAGTTAAGCATTCAATCTTTCTGTCGTCATTTTATCGTTAAAAGATAAAATTACGCAAGCGACTGTTATATCATCAAATTGACAATGGTGAATACAACAAAAGTACAGGCTGATTAAAATTGACGTTTTTTACAAAAAAAAAACTTTATCATCGTTTGAGCCATTATTTGTCCACTGCTAGACGTAAGCCTCCCCCATAGACTGCCATATGGAAAGGTCCTAAACCACCTGTATCCACTGACTCCTTGCAATGCATTTTAGGTTATTACTCCATCTAGTGGGGGGTCGTTCTATACTGCGTTTGTCCGTATGGGGTCGCCAATCAAGAACCTTTCTTCACCATTGGTTAACGGTTCTTCGAGCTATATGACCAGCCCATTACCGCTTCACCTTGCTTACCCTTCGGGTTATGTCGATTATGTTGGTTCTTTTGCGGATATCTTCATTTCAGATTCTATCACACAAAACAACTACGAGCATAACTCTCTCCATTGCCTGCTGAGTAATTTGAAGCTATTGCATACGGGCAATCATGTAGGACAACATTTCGGTTCCATAAGTCTTTACTGGCAACACGCACTGGTAAAAGACCTTCGTCTTTAAACTCTGAGGTATTTTGGATGAAAAGATGTGGCTTAGGTTTCCGAACGGTGCCCAGTCGAGTTGTATTCGTCGAATGACCACTCAGTTGAAGTTTAAAAAAGTCTTTGACCTTTGAACCTTAACCTTAATGAAGAACTTTAACCAGAGCCTGTTGCCAATGATAACCTACGGAACCGAAACATGGTCCTAAACAGTTAATCATATGCAAAAGCTTTAAGTTACTCACCGAGCTGTAGAGAAGGCTATGATCGGAGTAACTTTGCGCGATAGAAAGTTATTTACTTAAGTCTTAACTACATTTCATAAGTTTTGTAACAAGATCCAAAAATTTGTCTCAAACAAATAAATAAACAATCATAGTAAGAACCTGCCAATAAGAGTAGTGTTTTAAGCTATATAAACCACAGATCATATATGGAGTACCTACTGCTTGAATCTTTACAACCATTCTACTCAGTACTATGTACATGTATAGATGACCTGTACATCTCATGGAAGATATTGGATTCTTTTTTTATGAAGAGTGCTTAGATAAACTAAATTCTCATATTCCACTTTCACGCTGATATCGAGCTACGATGATAAAGCATGGTAGATCGTTCCCGCTTGTGTACAAATAACTTTAGAAACTTGCATAAGCCGCGTCGTTACATTAAGGAATATCCTTTCCCGTTACGTATTCCTTTCATTCTATATTCTAGAATCTTTCTACCATATTCTTAATTAGTAAATATTTTTTACCGTAACTAAAAGAGTACTTCACCGACATAGTATAGCGGTATAGCTAACCCTTGAACCCTTAAAAGTAAATTATTCTCTTTTAGATTGTTCACATTCATAGACCATATTATTCCTGTGATTGGTCAGAGCGGTGTAGTCGTATATCGAATTTCAACATGTAAAAAGGAAATCATAAGATAAAATTTTACAAGTTTATATAAAATTATTTCCTAACTTAGATATAGTTTGAATATTAGATACAGATACGGCTCCATGTTTTCTTTCTACTAATCAACATCTATTTCGTAGTAATTCAGTCAGACATTATATATATTACACTGATTTATGTCCATTTCTATATATTCATCATCATCTTCCTACCCTTATCCCAATTATTATTTGGAGTCGGCGTAATATGTTTTTCATCCATATTACAAAAAGATTTGTTTACTTTTACATTTCTATATATATTATAGTCAATATATAAAAAAATTTTAAACAGCAATATTATAGTCGCTCAATTAACGATTAGATTATAAAATTTTATAATCGTATCAGATTTATAAAAGATTGTGTACACTTGAGTTTTGTCTTTATTAATATTAAATAAGTAAACGTTAGTACACTGAACAGTTTATATTTTTTGTCTCTTATCTCTTTTTTTTGAGTTTTCAATATGAAATTATTTTTTTTATTTAACTTAGTTTTTATTATAATAGTAAATGCTCACGTTCATATGGTATACGATAGAAATGATGTTTTTGATCGTAAGTTATACGAAGAAGTGTTGGACCGTGGAGAGTGTTTGAAACAAATGAGATATATTGTGACAAAAGATCCTTTGTTATGGGCTCGATGTAAGTTTGAACTTATCATTACTAGTGCTATAATATTGCAAAATTTCTCACTGTTAAATACAACTCTTTTCTAAGACAATAAATATAATATTAAAAAGTATTACGCATAATACTCCCCAGTATAATTGTTTTTGCCAATTTGTACTTATTTGGTTAGCTTTTTGTTTTACTACATAAGTTTTGTCATACTTTGGGATTTGTGCTTATGATATTTTTTTCAAAATAGTTACTACTGGCAGTAATATGATACTTTATACGCATAAGCCAAGTACAAAACACGTAGCTTCAATATTCTTCTGGAACACAGTTGCATTTTCTCTCAAAATCTTTTATAAGTTCCTCGTCGCTCAAATACATCCTTTATTTTTTCAGTTAATTTGTTATGTGCGAGAATAGTGCAAAGTCCAGATTATAAGAGGGGTGTACCAGGAATTTGAGTCCAACTTAATGCACTTTTTTATCCTATTGTTTACATCGACCTTTGAAAACTAGGTTTAGATATATGAGGATTTATTAAATGTCCGAACCAATTTATGCCTAAAAGATTTAATATTTTATATTATTTAACGGAAGATAGGCATGACAGATATGTATATATGTATTATTTCATAATATTATTCAAGTCTCAGTATTTATTAAATCCTACTAAAATATTTATAATTTTATCATTTGAGAACAAAATGGATAAACTTGAACTTCTACATCGTTCCCAGCTAGAACAAGCTTATTCCAGTCAAACTGGTACACCAGGAAATGCGTAATTTTTAGAGAGTGACACGCTCTAGGAAATAGGAGAAGTCGATCACCTAATCGAAACGGGCTGACCACAACCGACCGACTATTCAGCCTAAAGCTAGTATAGGACATTGAGTAGAAATAAAGGCAGTCAGCCAAGTATGAGCATTGATGATTAAATTGGCTGTTTATAGGCAGTCTCGTCATGGGCGTTGTTTTCTATTTTGTTAATAAGATGCTTCCAAATTCACTGTCCGTTTCTGATGGCTTGATTATTTTTCTTGCAAACAGGAAGTTTAAGTTTGTTTTGATCTCCGGCTTGTTGTTGTCATTTACCTGATAGATTATCAAAATATTAAGATCTTGTTGGAATGAATTTTTCCAAGTGAAAGATTAGTTTCCCTATTTTCAATTTATTTGCTGTGCAGTTCATTTGTGTAAAGTAAGTGCGAGGATTTAAAGATAATAACATTTAATGATTGTTTTTCCGTCAAGCATATCACTGACTTTTTGATTCCTTGGTAGTTATTTTTGAGTCGATAATGTCAAATAGTATTATAGGTTCATATGTACTGAAAGCTAATCTGTTTGCTTTTGTAATCGTAGCCATTTTTAGACTATGTATCATTGGTGGTTCAATTATAATTCGGTACCATTTGCCATTATATTTTTTTTAATAAAGGGAATTAATGTTATTACATTTTTGTTCACTTATTTACAGCGTGCTTTGAATAAATGAATAAATGAATGAATATACTTTCTTTAGATTGCACAATATAGGGAATAAGCATGACAGTTCATAAATGTAACGATACAATTGTGTAAGTACAGTAAGATGGTCTTATTGTTGAGAGCAATCTTTTCAAGACAATCTTAGGATAACGGACTAATTGTTGTACAAGTAGGCATGATAATATTGTATATTTAAGCAATTTTGAAATAAGAGTAAATGTGCTTTTCCGATTGTGTTCTGAATGTATGTATGTACCGAGATATTTGATTTTCTTTGGTTGGAATTAGATATATGCGGATATATTAAACATCTGAACTAATTTTATTTATGCCTAAAGATTTAATATTTTATATTATATTCTGGAAGATAGGCATGACAGATAAATTATATTTTATTTTATGATATTATTTGACATTTATTATTTATTAAATCCTACTAAAATATTATATAATTTCCTCGTTTGAGAACAAAGTGGATAAAGTTGTTAAATTTGGATCTTGATTTAGATTAAACTATTAAGCGAATTAGGATTAGTCGTTCCTGTATAGTGGACTTAGTTAAATGGGAATTAAAGGCCCGATGCCATAACTGTATATGATTTTCTCATTTGAGAACAAAGTACATAAAGTTATTAATCACTAGTGCACATCTTGATTTAGATTAAAATATTGAATTGAGTCGAGTCATTCTCAGATAAGAGACTTATAATAAATGATTTATTAAGATACAGGACTTAGTTAAATGAGAATTAAAGGCCCCATGCCATAATTGTATATGATTTTCTCATTTGAGAACAAAGTTTATAAAGTTATTGCACGTCTTGATTTAGATTAAAATTTTGAATTGAGTTGAGTCATTCTCAGATAAGAGACTTATAACAAGTAATTTATTAAGATACAAACAAATTTTAATTCTTCAGTATTTCATTAGATTTGAGACTCACTTTTAGTTAAAATATTAACATGACGACCCTTGATTATTTACTACTAAATTATAGCGTAATTTACTATTTACCCATTTGAGAAAAACAAAAAATCTTTAAGTTTGCGATAATTAATAGACAAGGTCATAGCAAGGTCATAGAACCTTTCATTATGATTATGATAATCAAATCAGCCGTTAATTTTGCATTGCTGAACATAGGCCTTTCCCACAGTTGCCACGTTTGACAGGCGGGTTGGCAACCGCAGATGGGCTTTGGTAAAGTTTTATGAGGGACGCTGCTGTACATTGTTCGACCATCAAATTTTCTTAATCGCATCTTGCGACACCTACGGGAAAGATAGGTGTAGAGCTTCTACTTATAGTGATGTTCAAATGTGAAATTAAAATAAATCTAATCAACTAATCAATAATGGACAAGTCAGAATTATATGTTTTTATTACTGTTTGAACAAAAATGTAATTTGAAATCAATGCATATAATAAAATCGTAATTAACCGCTATATGTACATGGAAGATATATAAGAAAAACTATTATAGGGGGGCTTTATAAACGCATTAGAACCCAAAACAATGGTTTTTAGTATTTTTGTTTGTTTGTTTGTCTGTACGTTTATGCAAGCTAATCTCAGAAACAGTTTAACCGATTTGAATTCGGTTTTCACTAATACATTACGGTTTGATCCACTTAATATTTAGTGTTTGTTTATCTTATATAAATCTAAAGAATCACATATAAAATTATATAAAATAACCGATAAGGTGAATTCGCTGAAACTTCATGAAGGTATTATGTATGTAATTATCATTTAAGTATATAATACAATATAAGACCGAATATGAAGGGATCCAATGGGAATGATATACGGAAACTACATAGAAACGGGCAACGTCGCGAGAAACAGCTAGTGTAATATATAATTATAGCAAAGCCGCCTAACTGATATTAGGCTAACAATCTCCTTTTACAGAAAATTTACTGATTAATCATATTTTAATTTAAATCGACGTGAGTTCATTTAGCCCTTACCTGATTTTGATATTTTAATATCTATTAATGAATACTCAGCAATATTACAGATAGAAATCTTATTAAATAAATTGGATTCCGTATTTATGATAGATATAGATAACATATCTATTAATACGAGTATATTCTTATCAAATAATTATTATACTGGATTCTCCACGAATAAGGACGATTCGAGTTTTATTAATTAGATTACTTAAATATCTTTTCTTCTTTTCAACATGGTTTTAAATATTGTTGCTTTCTTTGTTTCTATTTAGTTTTTATTAATATTATAAAGAGTAAATGTTAGATTTTTAATAGGCGTAAAAAATATTGCATTGATATTAACAAAAAAATTCACCAATACAAAGTTACATTATTAGCAGATAGAGTGGGCTGTATTTTATTTTAAAAAAATCTTGTGAAACCGACTCGAGTCGCTGGTAGATAATAAATACATAATAAATATAGAATAAAATTTGTAAATATGTGTAATTATGTGTATTTCGTTAGTGATATAATGGTAATAGTACTCTGTAATAGATACACTGGGAATTACAGAGCTAAGCTAAGAATTTAAGAAATAAGACAGGCAATCCGACAATGTTAGCTAAGCTGAACATTGGCCTTTGTACGGGGAAAGGTGTCCCCAGAAATTATCTTGGAAATTATCTCTTTTCCTTAATTTTCAGTCTGAACTCAGTTTCAGATAATACAGTTTGCATAACTTTGTTAAGTGAGCTAAACAAAATTACATTGCCTTTGCTCAGTGTAGCTTGCACTTTTGTCCACAATTGTTCTTTTTCATTACAGAACACTAAAAATATATATTTCTTTTATTTATCTTATACTCCTACACATATCATTGCATTTTTTTCACTTCTATTATCTAATTATAAACTTCCGTAAATAAACACAATAAACACTGAGTACATTAATTCTTTTACGCAATTATCTTCATTATCATTGTACTAGAATGATAAATAGATTTCAAATGTATTTTAATCGTACTAAATGATAAAATTATCTGTAAATTGAACAAAATTATCTGACTACTACGATACAGGTCTGCGAGCCTAGTGTAGTAATCACTGTATAAGAAATTGTGTACCCGACTTTTAGCTACAATAAAGTTATTATTATTATTAAAGTTATTATTATTATAATATTAGAATTTGCCTTTTATTAAAACTAAAATATTAAAATGGATGCCGTGTAAGTCCTGGCATTACCGTGGAGGTCCCGGCATAGAATAGGCCACTTCTTCCTTTCCCGTGCGTGGCTTAATAGTGGTAGAGAAATACGTAGAAGCGTCCTTCTTATAATATTATCAAAAGCTAAACTGCAGTTGCCAATCCGCCTGCCAAGCGTAGTAACTACTGGCAAAATCCCCCTTATAGAGGAGTTTATGTTTTGCAGTGGACAGTTAACGGCTGTAATGATGATATCAAAATTGTTTTAACAATAACAACACACACATTAAAATGGAGTTTGCACGTTTTCAGTTTTGGATGCGGGTTATAGAAAGCCACGAAGTCTACTAAAAGGAAGTCTAAACGATTTAGGCAGCTACTATGAATGTTTGGGTATAAATAAAAATGTACAAGATATGAATATAGAAGGCAAATATTGTATGGCGAATATGCCACTAAATCAATTTTTTAGTTTATCCAGTTTGCCAGTACAGTCAGAACTTCTAGGAGCATCATGGCCAGAGTTCAATTCGATGATGTTTAATATTGATAATAGTACCTACAATGATCTGATAAAGCAAATGAGTATAAAGAAACAACTTCAAGGATTGGTTGGAATAACATCAGAAGACAATAATATATCGAGGTAAGTATAACTCCTAAAACAACTAAAATTATACATAAATTTATTTATTTGAGAAGGATGTAAATTAATTTTGCAAAAAAGAAACTTATTAATTTAGATAGATAAATGAATCCAGAACCTATAGCTTGTGTCGTCGTGTCGTGTGTGTTGGCTCGTGCCAAGATTGAATTCTTGACAGCAACTGTGGTAGATGAAGTGGTAGATGTGGTAGAAGAATGATAGAGGGAGAAAAGTGTATATTATTTATACTATTAAAAATATAATGAGATGCGAGATGCTTTGAATAAATACTGACTATATCTTAATACGAGTATACTAGTATAGATCAATTAGATGTTATAATGATAGGCATCCGGTTATAGATACTAAGCTTTCAATGCAACTTTAGGATAATACATGTAGAAATATGGATGGATGTAGAAACATGGATGGTGTATTTTGCATCAATATTTATCATATTTAAGTTGATTTAATATTAAATTTCAGAGATGAAGAGTCAAGCCAAGGTTTTCAAATCAGTATACGCCTAGCAGTGTGCCTTCCAAAACCTTGTTCTTTGCATAATGTACTAGAAACTATATCAAATATAAGCAGTTTGCGAATTGAAGAAGATTATTGCAGGATTCCAAATGATAAACCATGGGTTGCTGCAGATTATGTCGCTTTGTAAGTAAACTTAAACTTTTAAAATTACAATATTTATTATTTGACGTATAAAATTAAGATGTTGATGATTAATCTAGAAAAATGAGATAACTAACACCTATATATCATCTTCCTACCATAATCCCAATTTATTTATTTTCGAGTGAGACAAAAGTATTCTTTTAAAAAGTAGAAGAAATTTGTCTACTCCACTTTTAATATTTTAAAAGACTAGTTAAATCAGTGATTATGATATTCTCATTTTTTTTTTATATTTCTGAGAATAGTGAACAAACTGATGTTGACCATCTATTGAAAAGTGATAATCCTCCCCTTAAGGGATGAATGGTATTATTGATTTTTTTTATATCACTAAGGTGGCAAACAAGCATAATGATGATGGTAAGTGGTTACCGTAGCCTATGAACACCTGCAATACCAGAGGCATTACGCGTGCATTGCCGACCCTGAAGAAACCTCTTTACCCCCCTTTTGAAGAACCCCATGCTGTAGTCTCTTGGGAAAACCTCGACATAGAGAGCTCATTCCACAATCTGAGTGTTCGTGGGAGGAAACATCTCTGAAACCGCGCTGTACGCGACCATTGAGGCTGTAGGACATGAGGATGAACTCCCTGTCGATGGCGAGCCGTACGATGGTAGAAAGTAGCTGTGGGCATCATATTGAACAATTCCTCTGAGCACAACCCATTGTACAGGCGGATATCGCTGAGTATACAAAAATATCTAATATCTAATAATTCATCATAATTTATAAATCATATCTATATACCATGTGTTACTTGTTTTCAGAGTTATATTCACTTTACTCGGTATTTTTATGGTACTAAGCACTGCTTATGATATTCGACACCGAATATTCTTAAAAAAAGGTAAGTTAATTAATTAATTTGTTTGTTTTTAGTTAATATATTATTATTTAACAAAATTTTTGGCTGCTACATTATACACGTGGAATTTATAAATAGAAAATATAAAATGTCACTTATACGAGTACATGGCTTAAGATAAAACAAACCAATTTTTAGGTTAAATCTTTAGAAACAAATGTAAAAATCGAGTTAAATTTGGTGTAATAGTTTTTGCGTGAGGCCAGGTAAATATATAGACAGACAGTTAAACAGAGAGCTAGACAAATAGACAAAATATCTAAAAATAAATATTTTAATTGTTATTGCAAAAAACAAGGAACAATTTTTCCAAGTACAGATATCGTCTAGTTGCAATTTAATTCTAGTTGCATATTAGTTAAATTTTGTTTGTGAGCTGCTGTATCTGTAATATTGTCTTTTGTAATATTTTTTGGTCCAATTTTTTTGGACTGATACTAACAGCGTTTTTCTTTATAGATCCAAAAACAGCCAATAGTCTGTATCTGTCCTTTTCCGTTTACACAAACACTCTAAGACTGGTGACCTACAAACCAGTACCAGGAGCTCTAGAATGCTTGGATGGTATTAGAGCAATTGCAATGCTGTGGGTTCTAGTTGGACATACGTATCTACATTATCTATCAGCGCCTGCGCTACACAATCCTTTAGAGATTTTCGACGTGAGTAAAATAAAAAATGTTCGATTTCTATTTACTTATAATAGATCTAGCTTTTAGTCTTAACTTTGTCTGCGTGTACTGGATATGTGTTTGACTGAAATAAAAAGTGGTCTATATCCTTCTCCATCTAAGCGGGATCCACTGTTGTGGGCACGATGGGCATGCCCATAACTCTAATAGACATATAACGTTACACTTTTACGGTTTGTTAACGTTGATATGCTGATAAAATTATATTCGCAATATGGGTGCCCAATGGTTAATACTAGGCTCTTTCTTCAACTCCGATCAGTGATCTTATCATTTGCCTGAAGATGCCTCACTTAGAGATGAAATACTAGTCGCAAAACGTACGTGGACGAAATGGCATTCGGAGATTGAGGGTATGGAAATATGGAAAGTTGTAATATGGAAAGTTGTACTTACTTCTGGTAGTAATGATGGTGCTCAATCTTCAAGTGTTGGTAGTCATGCATGTACAAATGGAAGTGGAATTGAATAAAATCATTCTAATAAAATAACCAGTAATAATGTCTTCTGTAAGATAACACCTATTTCAATAAAATATTATATTTAGTCAGTATTTTATATTTATATTTAGTAAACATATATCTCCTTTGTAGTGTAAATATCTCCTTTGTGGGAATGTACTAAGTTGATTTTGAGCGAGTTCATACTTCGATTCGCACTTGACTAATTTTCGAATGCTAATGACCACAACCTTTTTTGAGAGCTAAATCTGTATCTGCCTGCACATATAGTGCAACGAATAATTGTAATTCAAATGAAAACCTAAAAACTTAGGAACAAATAAAGTAAATACTTGTAAACCGTAAATTTATCATTATGTTTAGTGTCCCATTAGCGAAATGAATGTGACACCAAATATTAAAGAAAACGGCATTTTCTAAGACAAAAAAGTATAGTGCAATGATTCGATGAGACATTGAGACGCCAGAGTCACAAATAAAGAAACAATCAGGAACAACTGTGAAAACCTTATCTATCCCAAGGAATACTTAATAAAAAAGTCCTATTGGTCTAGCCGTTTTTAAGTTTTGCTCTTAGCAACAAATTTAACAATATATTTTTATATACGGGTACAAACATATTAGTAAGAATTTTGAAACTTTACTTTTTTTTTATTTTACAGTTTATACAATCCTTTTGGTCTTTGTGGATAACGGCTGCCCCCATTACTGTTGACACTTTCTTCATGCTTAGTGGACTTCTGTTAATTTATACTACAGCAGGCAAAATGACAGGAGGTAAGTATCTAAAAGTATCTTATATTGTAGTATCTAAGATTATTTTATATCATTACCTGCCCACTGCTGAACATAGCATTCCTTCCCCATAAAGGGCGTTTTGCCTGTTTGCTACTTTGGTGTTTTGATGATGTTTTTAGAGGCACGCTATTGTTTATCTCTGAACCATTAAATTCTCATAATCGCCTTTTACGACAACTACGACAAAGGAAGGGTAGTCCCATAGGTAGATTATATAAGTAAATAAATTTCTTCATTATCATTTATTTTAGAGTGGTTAGTATATACTGTGAAAAAATTTACGATGTAATTATTCATTGATTTATGATGATCGATTGATGGATATGATTTTCATTCAAATTTATCAATGCAAATGTAAATAGGTGTGGTTACAATGCAAATATTTAGTACTTGGCACAATTCACAGCTTTGGCACTCGGCCTTTCTTGTCCTTACAATTAAATTCAAATCAAACAAATTTTGATGAAATTTGGTGTCATAAGATTATCTATCACTTTGGTAAAATAAAATTTTTCTCATTTATAACAATTAATATCGAAATGACGCCATCTATTTTATACTCTATAAATGAAAATAATATTTTGTTTAGCACGTACTATCTATGATTAAAATTTAATTAGGGTTTGCACATTGTACTTCGGCTAAGAATAAGACTAGTAATTTCATTAAAATTTCAATTAATTTCACCTCATAGATGGCGTGTTTTAATACAAAAATATGGCAATAGCTGTTTGAGAAGAAAATGTATTATAAATTTATTATGCGAAATGTTTGAGGCTATTGCGATACATGAATCATTTTAGTTACTTTATTTTCATGAGTACTTTCCTTGTCAAATTCTCATTTTTACCTATAGCTTTAAAAGGTTGTATTGTGTAATTTTAAAAATTAATATATTTTACTATTAATAATTTATTTTTATTTTCCAGTAAAGTTACTGAAGAACCTCCACATGTTCTATTTGAATCGATATCTGCGTTTATTCCCCGTGCTGGCCGCTTGTGTACTCCTTCAAGCGTCGCTGTTCTATCGGGTAACAGACGGGCCTGTGTGGGAGGTCGTTGCGCAACAAACATACCAATGCAGAAAGTATTGGTGGTCAACATTATTGTACATACAGAACTATTACAACCCTTACTACGTTGTTAGTATTTTAAAATATCATTAAATAGTAGTACTTTAATTTATATAAACAATTTTTTTTTTGGTATTATAATTTTTTTTTAATATTAATGGAATTGAAATAGTAATGTCGACGAATATGTTTGATCTACCTTTTAAAATATGATTTGTTATTATTCCAGTGTATTCCAAATACATGGTATCTGGCAATAGATTTCCAACTCTTCTTGATATCTCCTCTTGTTCTCGTCGGAGTGGTCGGTGCAACCAAGAGAACAGCTTGGATCACATTAACTACTGCCCTACTGGCTAGTCTTACAGGATCTAGCATTTATAACTTTATAATGAGATTCGCATCTGGTATTTTTACTCTTAGGTAAGTGATATTTAGATTCTCAGAGATTATAACGATGTAGTGACAAAAATCGAAAAAGGAATGTTGCGTTGGTTTGGTCATTTGGAGAGGATGGATGAAAGAAGAATTACGTAAGAGATTTATGGAGCAAGAATGAATGGAGATGTCGGTAGGGGCCGCCCTAGACGGAAGTATGTTAACCAAATAGGCGACGTGCTGAAGAAGGGCCAAATTAAAAGTACCCGTAACCGGCGAGCATGTATGAAAAGATTGATGAATGTGGAAGAAGCGAAAGAGGTTTGTTTAAATCGAAGCATTTGGCGTTCCATTGTTTCTGCCTACCCTAATGGGAGACAGGCGTGACAGATATGTATGTATGTATGTATAACGTGTTATACCGTTGCTCTTATGACAGTCTATAGGGGAGGCCTACATTAGGCAGTTAACGGATAATGGTTGAAGTGATGGTGATAATGATACCGTTGGCGTCACAGTGTATTCTATAATATTCGAGCTGGTGTTCAACATCATTACTACCATGTAAGCCTTTAACTATCCATATATCTATGCCTTCCCCTTGGGGGGTTTTGTCAGTAGTTAGTTGTCATGCATGACAGGCGAAATGCCAACCCTTAATTGCTTCTTACGATACCCACGGGAAAAGCAGGGGTAGCTTATTCTATGCCGGCACTACATAGCCACGGCTGGAGTTCATATTTATAAAAAAATCTCTGTTATTTTTATTTTATTTTCTGTATGTCGCAAAAAATACCGTATAGTCATAACTATCGTAGGGGTATTTTGAATTTAGTAGACGCTAAGTTGAAAATAGCGTCTCATACATATCATACATATATGAAATAAATTACCGGAGTGTTATTTTGTTTGGGATCGAAAAGGACTAATTGACTTAATTATTTATCACTAGCATTTTCCTGCGACTTCATCCGTGTGACTGATTCACTGTTCACAGACGGCGATAAAAAAAACACTTAAATGTAACAAACAAATAAACCCAATTTCATCTAAGGTAATAGTAGAAAAAATTAATAATATTTTCTATTTCAGTCCATCAAGAGAGGACCAGCCGGAGTATTTTACTTTGTACTACGTAAACACGTTGACAAGGTCATCGCCCTTCTTCGTGGGAATGATATTTGGATATATTCTATATATTTATCGTGGAAAGACGTTAATTATGTCAAAAGTAAGTTTTTTTATAAACCATCTTAGTCGGACAACGCTCGACTGCAGTCTGGATATCCCAATATCGAATACCAGATACTAGAAAAAGACTTAGTACGAAAGTCGTTTGCTTGGGCACCTCTGCACCATTCGCGTTTTTACCGTGAAGCAATTGTGTTTGCATGGCTGTGTTTCGATTTGAAGGATGGGATATGGCAGTGAATTTACAGGGTATAAAGGAATAACACCGAAGTCCTTAGGAATTGCAATGCGTGAGGGGTATCATGAGCAAAATGGTATACTCTGTTATGTCCATGGTACTGCTCATGTTTATAGGCGACGGTTACCATTTTCCATGAGGTAGGCTGTTAGCATGTTTGCCATTCTAAGTTGATTAAAAAACAGTCTTTATATTAGAAATTTTAACCGACATCAAAAAAGGAGGATCAAAAAAATCATTTAGATTATATTTTTTTACGTTTGTTTCCTCATAACTCTTTTAGTTGTAAACCGATTTAGAAAATTCATTTTTTTTATCTGAAAGGATTTGCTTAATGGTCAGTCTCATAGAAATATTATCAAAATTTGATAATTTAGTTTTACATTTTAAAGAGGTTTGTTTGAATCGAAGCATTTGGCGTTCCATTGTTTCTGCCTACCCTAATGGGAGACAGGCGTGACAGATATGTATGTATGTATGTAGTTTTACATCAGTAGTTTAGTTTTACAATCAAAATGACTGATATGCAATAATTGTAGTAATTTTTTTTTGTGGTGCGCAATTTATTTATACATGTTACTTTTTAGCGATCATTTTTTTATTGTTAGTCGAAGTATTATTAGTCATGGGCGATACAGTAAATTCTGTAATACATAGTTAGTGATGCTGTTCATGTTTATAGAAGATGGATTATGGAAAAGTTACCGATTTTCCATTCATTTTAATTTAATTCTTTAAGCTGACAACATTATTATAATTACAAATAATTACAGGTACAAGTTGCCCTTTTATGGTTTTTTGCTATAATTTTGTCATCGGGAGTCATTTGTAGTCATTATCTAGTTATACAACAAGACTGGGATAATCAGATAGTCGATGACTTGATCAATTCGTACATGAGGCCAATTTGGGCTTTGAGCGTTTGCTGGATGATCTTCGCTTGTACACATGGATATGGAGGTACGATTCTGAAGTATTCCAGATACCTATTAAATCTTATTAAATTAACAATGTATTAGGAAGGGGTTTTTTTTTTAAGGATGAAAATGGTATGGTAACGCCGCCTGCGCTAATGGGATATACTGCTGGAGCACCAGTGAAGGGTGGTAGATGAGAATGAAAACAGTCCAGTTAGCCCATCATGATGAATTCATCAGAAATTAACCATGATAGTTTCCAGGGAGAACCGCGAGGAGGTCGACCTGGTTGGATATATTGCTAGCAATGGGATTCTCAGTCTCCATTACTAACAATCCCTTTTCCCTCTTATTAGGAAGGGGTAGCCCACTCAATACCGAGTATACCACACGGTATAGAATAGAATTTTCCGTATTTGTTGTAAGAGGTGACTAAAGAAACTTAATGGTTAAGAGATGACCAGCAGCATGTCTCTTAAAACATCACCAAAAACTTAATTGTAATTGCTAACCCATTTGTTAAGCATGAAAACTGCCCAATAAGGGGAGGCCTATGTTCAGCAATGGATAAATATGATCATGGTGAAATTTACAATACTGTTATATAGTTTATAGACAGTCATATGAGTATGATATGTCATACAGTTACCGTAACCTATGAACGCCTGCAATACCATGGCTATTATACATACGTTGCCGACCCTGGAGAAACCTCTTTACCCCTCTTTTAAAGATCCCCATGCTGTAGTCTCTTGGGAAAGGCTCGGCAGGGAGCTCATTCTATAATATAAATTCTGAGTGTTCGTGGTAGAAAACATCTCTGAAACCGCGTTGTACCGCGCGACCATCTAGGCTGTAGGGTATGCCGGTGAATTCCCTGTCGATGGCGAGCCGTACAGTAAAGTGATCGTGGGCATCATATCGAATAATTCCTCTGAGCACAATCCGTTGTATAATACAAGCGGTAGAACACGCAGAATGAGGCAAAATTTATCCTAAAACTTAAAGATTCGATACAGCGTGTAAGACTGGCATCATCGACAATTCTTATAGATTGTCGTTGCACTGAGTCGAAGTGTTCAAGCTGGTATCTTGATGCTTCCGCCCATAATGACAGCAATATTCCACGTGGGGTCGGATTTGTGATTTGTAGAGCATTAGTCATTGATCCGGCGTGAAGTAATGCTTCGCTTTATTAAACACATCGAGTTTTTCGGATGCCAGCTTCACCTTACTTCGAAGTAGCCTCGGAACTGTACATCAGCTAGTAAAATGTAATATTATTTTTTTTCAGGTCCCATTAACTGGTTCCTATCTCATCCCATGTGGAAGATACTGGCAAGGTTATCGTATGCCATGTATATTTTCCATTACCCACTTATGTTTGTAGTCAATGGATCCATAATAGCCCCTCTTTATTTCAGCGATGAATTCGCGGTAAGTGTTTTAACATGAGATATACTATATATATTTTTATAATATTATACAAGTAAGTATTTATTTTATACAAGCTTTTACCCGCTACCTCTTCCTTGTTACCTACTTAGATAGGTTGATCGAATTAAAAAGTAACTTACTTTTTTCTGACAAAACTTTTTTTTTTTCAAATAGGATGTGTGATTTTTTGCGTCGTTGAGGCTCTAAGATCTAGCAAATAAACAATATTTCAAGTAAGTTAATATTAGAAACGTAAAAATTCACGTTAATATTAGTGAAAAAAAAAATATTTATATGGTTTTATTTAGCTTCTCTTTTTTAACTGAGCAGAAATGTGTATTTTAATTGTTATAGAAAAAAAAAATTATTTTTGCGACCTTATTATTTAATACTAATACTAATTTTAAGGAATAGTTTAAGTTAAATAATAAACTTTATAAGACTGGATAATAGAAATTTAATTTACTTAACATGTTTATTATTTTCGACAAATATTTCGACTATTCTATGAAAAATTATCATAAAAATCGTTTTAGCAACTAATAAAGATATAGTATCTATAGAAAAAAATATACAAACATATACATATAGTTATAAATTCGCTACTTTTATTGTTAAAAATTTTGTAAATATACATTATAATATATTTTAATATAATAACAACCGGATTAACTTACATGTTAGTTAAAAGGCGACCCTTGTAGATATAAACATAGTCAGTGACTATAACACGGCAGGCGAAGAGGTAAGCTATGAGAAATCCAGCAATGCCGCATAAGCCAACAGCTCACGTTTAGCGCGCCGAGTCGCGCTGTTAGGCTCGCGCTCGCGTAATGTCTGCTCGTAAATAAGGGTTAAGGGTTGGTCCCGAAAGTAGTAGAGCTTTCTCGACTAAAATATACTTAAGTCAGTTACATTTGAATGTAATGGCGTGAATTTACTGGGTACAGAGGAATAACATCTGAGTCCTTAGGAATGGTAACGCATGGGGGGTATCATGGGCGAAACAGTATACTCTGTTATGTCCATGGTACTGCTCATGTCTATAGGCGACGGTTACCACTTTCCATCAGGTGGGCCGTCAGCTTGTTTGTCATTCTAAGTTGCATAAAAAAAAAAATTAAATTGGATGCTCTTGTCCGCGCTAAGCCTCTCATTTGGTCCATTGTACGTATGAGTCATGGCTAATATAATCAGCCCAGCTCCGCCCAGAAACACAGAAGCTTCCTGGGAACTTTATAGGCCTCATGGACCGACGACACTATTCCGAGAATTTCTAAACATTGAGGGGCCACAGCTTCGCATTCCAGGATTATGTGAGCAGTCGTTTCTTCGGCGTCAAAACAGCCTCAACATAGAGCGCTGTCTGTGGCTTCTATTGTATATAAATGTTTAACGGGCAATGGCCCGTTATTGTCCCTATCATTATTTTAAGGCTTTTCCTGTCTAGATATAATAAACGTTTTGATAGTCGTTTATTCCACGTTGGAATTAATTTTACTATTTTTGATTTTCAGATACAAAAAACTATGACTGATTTTGTGATAGCAGTTTTGGCTGCGTATATAATCACATTGTTTGTAGACGCGCCCTGCTCTGTGTTGATTAAACATTTCTTGGGAGGTTAGTATATTATCAATCGATATTTAAAAGAAAGTATTTTTTTATGTTTGTTCCCATAACTACGTTAGTACTGAATCGATTTGAAATATTCTTTATGTGACCGACATTAATTTTTTACAAAAAAGATTTTACATTCAATATAATACAATTCTTTTTTATATGAAAGAATATATTTGCAGATTGGTTTCATAGAAATTTTATAAAAATCGGTAGTTTAATTTTTAAACCAATATAATTGATTATGACAAAACTGAAGTAAAATTTTATGTGAAAAAGAAACTGAATTAATCGATACATTTTCTTGTTGTGTATTGTATTTTCTTGCCTTTAAATTAATTTAAAAATCAATATTAGTCTTAATTATACTTTCAAAACAACAAAAATATATAAAGGTAAAATAATTATATTTTATTAATTTAATAAATTTATTTCTTAGGTAACAAGAAGCCAGCGCCAATAAAACCCTTGGACGGCACTGCTAATCCCTCAGAGGCGAATAACAAAAATGATTCAGCATAAAATTAATAAATAGTTAGACCGTAACGCCATCTAGTCTTAAACTAAGGACTTGTACAATGATTATTAAATAATTGATGTACTATAAATAAATGTCATTTTTTTTTATATAAATAACATATTTAGATGGAAAATGCCAAGATAATCTGTATTATCTGGACGTTTCATAGTAAGTAAGTATAAGCAATTATGAATAAAAATTGTTATTTGTATTGAACGGGCATCGAACCTGCAAACATCGGAAGGTGAAGCAATGAAAGCACTATACCAACGATACAATAAAATAAGTATTATCTATTTCCCTGTAGTTTCATTTAACATAAATTTGCCCAAGTATTTATGAGACTTTTTTATTGTAGAAAATTTGCCATAGCTCTATGTGATTGCATTCACTAACATTATATGTTACTTGGGGGAAAGAGATTGTTAGTAATGAGGTCTAATATATCCATTGCTAGCAATATAGCTGACATTTTTTGATGTTTTCTTTTATATAACATTTTGAATTTTAATGACTCATTTATCATTTATTTCTTTTTAAGTTTTAATATTTGCATGCCTAATTATGGCAAAATATGAGGACTTATACTATTGTAACATCTATACACTTACCATGTTTCTTGTAAATAAATAAAATAAATAAAAAAAAAATACCTTAACAAGTCGACCTCCACGTAGTTTCCCCCTAAAAACTATAGTGACTAGTTTTTGACAACTTCATAACTTCATCACAATAGGCCAACTGACGTGCTACATCCTCACTTATCATCCCTCACTAGTGCTCTGCCAGCTATACCGACAGCGCAGACGGGGTTACTATTCCATTTACATCCATTAAAAAAAACTAAAAAATATGTTATTCTTTTATTATAAACTAACGACAGCCATTCCTAATATTAATTATTCGACTATACCATTCGAACTGCATGTAAGTATAAACAATTGGCCCGGCAATACGATAATCTGTTGATGTCTGTCTGATGGCAGTGCGAATAAAAAATTGTTTAATTTTAGAACACTAATGAAATATGGCGACGATGGTCTTTATCGTATGATTTGTTTATGGTTTTTAATTTTTGGGTATGTATTAAAAGAGGAGAGGCAGGAGGAGGTAGGAGGAAAGGGCGGCGGCAAATAAGTATAATTAGAAACTTACCAGTTTTTATTTCCTTTACAAAGACGTATATGTCAATAAAGTAAAAAATAAAAATATAAAAAGATATATTCAAAATAGAGGAAAAAAAATAAAAAGGTATATATTATATATAAAAGGAGGTCGATTACCAATAAAACGAAGGGCATACTGCACGCTCCACTACTAGAAGCAATTTAATTTCGAAGACTCAGCTAGGTATAATTGAGCCGAATATATGACCGTTTGTTAATGTCCAATAACAAGCAAATTAATAAAAAAAGTCGTTTCATTAAAGGAACGTTTCGATAAGTTAATATTTTTTTTAGAGAAAATAAGGATCAAAATCCTTATATTAAATATACATTAATTAGGTGATTCGGTTGCAAAATTGAAAAATAATAATGAATTGACTAATATACTATATTTTGTGATTGTATCGGTCTCGAAAAGTATTTTAAAACTTTTTTTTATCATTATAATTAATAAACAACAAATAAATAGGCACATTTTGTTCAACAGACTATCGATCAAGTGTGATATCTGTTTTAATCAAACTACATATATTTATATTTCTTGATAATAAAATTAAAGTTCAAAGTAATGTTTATAATAAACGTTGCATTGAAAAAAACACCTACTGAGCCGACATAATACGGCCAACCATTGAAAGTAAAACATTCTCTGTTGTTCGCTTTCATAGATTATTACTGTATTCGCTAAGTATGGTATTATTATATGACGTGCATAAATAATAATAATAATAACACCATGATTGTAGAGTGTTTACGTACATGTACAACCGTAAAATACTTCTGTCAGAGGTATCTACCTGAAGGCAATAAGAAGATTACGGTAATATAACATAAAATGTCAAAAATTTGTCCACTAATGCTAATATAAAATAATAATAGTATTGTCTACGCGTTTCAGCGGATCCTTTAAAAACCATGCTGCTAGATTGTAAATTTCCTTTTCCATGCTTATCTGTGAGAGTCAATTCCTAAATATTTTTAAGAGTGGAATAAAAGAGCATCATTATGGACATATATTTATTTGTAAGTGTGTGCCCTATGTGACATAAAAAACATACATAAATAAAAACATAAAATATTACTATAATAAATAATTAAATGTATTATAAGAACAAATAACAAACTACGATTCAAACTAGCCATCTGGCCCCAGCATAGAATAAGTCACCCCTTTCTTTCCTGTGGGTGTAGTAAGAGGCGACTAAGGGAGGGCGAGGGATGGGCAGCAGCTTCTCTCTTAAAACATCTGCAGAATCTAACTGCGATTGCCAATCCGCATACCAGGCGTGACAACTACTAGCAAAACCCCCCTAGGGGGGGGGGGATAGTTAAAAGCTGATATGATGATGACGAGTGATGCTGAATATATAAATATGTTAAGTATTACTTCAAGTTTCCTTATTCTTGAATGCACTGCTTATCTACGTCCTTGTTTGCTCATTGGCTTATTAATAGAGAATACCATCCGGTGTTAAGTCCGCCAAATGTACATAGAAATACATTGCTTTAAAGTTTAAATAAATAAATAAATAACTCAGTCGCGTAGACGAAATCGCAGATAAAAGCTAGCTAGATTACAACAACAACATGGTCTTCTCTTGTCCGCCAGATGATGTGTGGGCAGGCGAGATAGGGGCCTCGGGGCTACCCTATTACCCCGGCTTCTACTCCGGAGGCGACGACCTCCGGGTCGCTAGGTTTGCAGCCGGCATACATTGTTGGTATGTGTATGCCGGAGTGGTGTCTTTAGATTACATATCTCAAGATGGACAAATAACAAGTGTCAAAAATGAATCAAAATTAATTTAGCCAAACGTATGGCAATGTGGTACATAAATAATTTATAATGTGGTAAAAAAGAAAACAACTAAATACGCATTATTTTTTGTATTGTATGGAATTCGATTTTAAATTAGAAACTGTTTATATGTAAGATAGATACATATCATGTACATATTTTATACGATTATTTTCATGCGTAAATCAAAATAGCGGCCACTTTGATTCCGACGAGGAATATATATATATATTATAAATCTATTCTCAGATATCGAACAAAGTAATTGGCGACGATAAACATCGTTATGAATGATTATACTCTGTTTATCCTATTTCTTCAAATATATACGTAGAATATTGTATGTTTTTTTTTATTTTATATTATATACCTATATTTTAAATATTTTTCAACTTAATCTACAAATAAAATCGCCCACGTATTTTTAAATAAATAACGTGAAAATATCTTAGTAAATTTTTAGCTAAAACATTTAAAAAGGATATAATAATAATAATAATTTTTCTTTTAGTGTTTTATAGTCTTAGTTACATCTCCTTTATCTAATTTAGGAGACTCGGTGCAAAGTTGTATTTCTTCTTTTAGGTGTTTCATTCTCTTAGTCGCCTGTTGTCTATGTCCTGACCTTATTCCAAGTTAATTGCATTGAATTAATACAGGATTAAAAGATTACAAGAGAATACTTATTATAATTATTATTACATATCAACATGTTAACATATTTATACAGCAACTTCATTATAATTAAATCAGTTGTTGATTAGATTAATCAATATTATTTTGACAGTATAAAAATATTTTGAGATTATGCATTAATGTGTTATTAAGACTTCATTTGACGTTAGACCTTAGTGTTTCAAGGAGTTTTTAATATTACCAATCAATGTTTTAAATTTGTTTCTCTTTTTTTTTTAAATATGGAATTTAAATTAGTATTTATAATTATCCCAGTTTTTATTATCACGGCAAATGGTTATCGTGATTTAATATATAATCGATCTGAACTTTTTGATGACAATTTGTACGAGGAAGTGTTAAATCGGAGACAATGTGCGGCGCAAGTTAAATATCTTAGAATAAATGATCAACGTCTATGGGGTCGATGTAAGTTTCAACTTATGTTTGGATAAGTTTTTTTAATATTTATAATTAAAATTAATTTAAATTTTATAAGTCTTTCTTTAATAGTTCAAAAATTCAATGCTTGCTTCTCCCAAAACAAGGATAAATATTTACGGCTTACGGCAGCAGGAGACAATTTTCTACGAAAATTTATTATTGACTGGCTACAGCGAAAATCAATATTAAAAAATAAATCATAAAAAAGAATTGTTATTTTAATATTATTATTATGATTTTTTTCAGTCGTAAAGAGTAGAAAAAATGCTTCCTTTTGAGACTTAAAAAGTTAAAAGTAAAAAAGTTTACTTGGGCATTAAAATAAAAATTCAATGCATAAATATAAAAACTATCAATTCCAAATTTGAATTCTTATTATATGATAAAAAAAAAAACAATAATACTAGTCCTTTGGCAGTATTAACAAAAAATACGGGGCTTTAGTTCGGTAGCAATGAGCCCCTGTCACTTCAAACAAAAAATTTTTCTATGTAATCTATGTAATCAGTTTACTTAATTTGGAAATTTTATTTTACAAAGTAACTAGGTTTATTATTATATCTATCGGTATCAATATTTTGAAGAAAAGCATATTATAAATGGTTATATAACAGTATGAACCACAAACGCTAGAAACTAAATGGTCGCGTAGAGTGCGGTTTCAAAGGAGTTTCCTCCCGCGAATGCTTGAGCTGTGGAATGAGCTCCCTGCTAAGATTTTTCTTAAAACCTTATTACTATTGTATGAGGATCTTTAAAAAGGGTGTATTAAGGTTTCTTTAGGCGTCCATAGGTTACAGTGACCGTGTACCATCAGACGTGCTGTATGCTTGTTTGCCATCTGCGTGGTATAAAAAAAAATTATAGTAATTTGATTTGAAAATTTGAAAATTATACAATTTTTAAAAATTGTATTATTTATAATAATAACTATTAGATATCTATTTTAAATGTGAAAAGCAATAAAGGTCATTTTCAATTGATTTAAAAAAATGAAAAGGTTGTATTTTTCAGGTTTGTTATCTCATAACTCGGTCAGTTGTAAACCGATTTAAAAAAAAAATTAATCTGGAAGGATATGCTTACAGATCCTATAGAAATTGTATTAAAATAAATTCAGTAGTTTAGTTTTTAAATCAAAATAACTTATTGAGTCACAATTGAAGTCGGTTTTTTTGTGGAACCAAATTCAATTATATCGTCATAGTCGTAGAATACTGACGGATCTGACAAATATTACATATAAAGATCCGTCAGTATTCTACGACTATGACGATATGTCATAATTATTTATGTACAGAACCCTTAGCATGTAATTTCCACTCGCAGCGGGTCGATTCTTAATAAGCTGGGTGGATTTTATTTCATATCATATCGTTGGATTAATTGGATTTAATGACCTAATTGACATTTGTATAAACGTGAAAGTATACTTATATGCAGCGGAACTAAATCCAATTTAAATGTTTTTTATTTAAAAAAAAAAGAACTTTACTTTCGTAAAAATGTTCATTTCATTTATATTTTTTTAGATAATTAATTTCCTTTTTCTTTAAATCAGACTATAATCAGAATATAATAAATATACATTGTATGCATATGATAAGATATAAAAAAAATATTTTATACTAACATTGTATGAGAATTTGGACTGAAAGTGTATTCATTTAATCCAATACATATGCATTTATCCATATCTATAGTCCATCTACATATGTATATGTTGTCACATCAAAAATGTATTCGATATTATCGCAAAAATAATTTAAAACATCGATTATCTAAACGGTGTTTAAAAAGACTGTCATATTAAATATTGTAATCGATGTAATAATTGTGAAATTTTAATTTTATAATAAAAAACTATGGTAATAATTTTTTTTTATACCACTGAGGTGGCAAACAAGCATACGGCCCACCTGATGGTAAGTGGTTACCGTAGCCTATGAACACCTGCAATACCAGAGGTATTACGCGTGCGTTGCCGACCTTGAAGAAACCTCTTTACCCCCCTTTTGAAAAACCCCATGCTGTAGTCTCTTGGGAAAACCTCGACAGGGAGCTCATTCCACAACCTGAGTGTTCGTGGGAGGAAACATCATAACAGATTTGCTCATTTTAATATTATAAATGTGAATGAGGATTTTTTAGTTACCTTATATTGCCTTAACAGTTTAACCAATCACTATTAAATTTAGTGTATACTTACTATAAAGGATGAAGTAGGATATAGGCTATTTTTTTCCCGGTCAGTAAACATATCCCAGTCACGCGGACGAAGTCATTTGTAAAAGCTAGTTTTTAATAAGACAGACTATCCTTTGTTTAGACATAAACAAATTTTATACAAACTTTTGTAGTAAAAACTTTAATTATGTATTGTTTATACATAGTAAGTTTGAATTTTTTGTGGTAATACGGGTAACCACGAAACGTAACGTTTACCTTCAGTACATAATGTTTGTATTCTTGCAGTTTAGTATATTATTACTTGTGTGTTTGTTATTATTTACTATAATCATAGATATGACAATTCTATAATATATTTTTATATCTACGCACGCACGCACGCACGCACGCACGCACGCACGCACGCTTTTAAAAATTACAGACGTTTTATCGTGCTTGCGATTAAACTGTTTTTAATTACTCCTATCAATCCAAAGGTTGCCTGGAAGAGATCGCTCTTAGCGATAAGGCAGTCCATTGTTTTCTTACTGTGATCAATTCTTGTAATTGTTTGTATATATAATGAGTTTACTATTGCAATATTTTAGAATAAACAATAAAAAATATCTATCTAACTATTGTTATAGACAGATATATCGATTATATCGACCCGGATCCGGCTTGAACCGATGCATCCTAACCGTTGACGTCACAAAGCTAGCATTAATGACAGTAGCGTACATTTTTGGTATTACTGTACTATAATCTATCTAAACTCTAATTATTAATTATCTATTTAATTATCATAATAAATCTACTTATCTAATAAAAGACGTCACGTTATTTTAATAAATTTCATTTAATCCATTAAGTACTAAAAATAACGCATGTTTAATATTTTTATTTGCTTCATTATAATGAATTTAAATCAAGTGCCGAATTGTGATTATTGTACTCTGAACTGAACGTCATTTCGTTCAAAAACTCTTTAATAGAAATTGAATAATTGTTGTAGAGATAATATAAGATAAAAGATTAACGAGAAAATATTAGTATCTGATAAATACGATACCTATTAAAAAAAAATAAGATTCTATGTTCGACTGTATTATATTTTTGCCCGCTGACATTTACCTGACTTGAAAAAAAATTAAAATCATTTTTTCATTTGAAAAAGTATACTCCTAATGGTCAATAGGACCATTTATTATTCTTATTTACCTCTATTTAATCATTATATAAAAATGGGAAAAATTAAAAAAAAAACAACTTTAAAAAAAAAATTGAACCGACTTTATAAAAAGATGAAATAAGAACCAAATAACTCTCCAAAAAGCGAAAATTCCACTAATACTAGATTTTTAATTTAAAAGGTAAATGTGTTTGAAGTCGGCGTCGATTGTTGCGTTATATTGTTTTTGATAGATTTGTATAATTTGACGGTTGTTTAAGTGTTGGTCTTTGACTATTTTTTTCTAAAGTTTATTCATTTGAATTTTTACCAGTTTACGTTCTCATTATTGAAAATGTTTAAATTTGTATTAAAAAATATGTGAATATCTAAATCCCCAAGCATCTGCCAACCCTTTGAGGGTTTCCATAACCTACTTTTACAATAAGTATCAAATTTCTCATTACATTTTGCTTTATGCTTAATGCATATAGGAGCGAAAATGTAATGTGAAAGAAAAAGAGACAAAAAACTTCCACTATCTCGATCTGTCACGTGCACGCGGTAACGAAAACAAATACCGATAATTTCGTTTGACCCTTATCTTAGCGGACAGCCCATTATACAAGTAGAATACAAATCTATCGATAGATATGTTATCGCTACCGTGCATGTACCTATTTACAAAATAAACACTCAAATTATTAAGTTCACGTTTATATTATTATTATTATTTTATTAAAATTTGCTTCTATTGGCGTATATCCGATACACGTAGGTGGTTTTAGAGATTTATTATATTTATTGATTAAATTCCTATCAAGATAAGCAACGATTACAGTATTGTGTACGCGATCTATACTATCTATATTTATGTAATCAATCGTACCATTTCGATCAACCTTCGGTCAACAGTAACTATTATTAATTGCTTTGTTTACAGAGGGTTTTTATTTTCAATTAACTTGCTATATTTAAATAAAATATATTTCATCAGTAATCAATTGTTAATCGCTGAACAATACGGCATTTCACATACTGGACTAAGTTCCTTCATATATAGATGGCGCCACACCGCGTTTCTTGCACACTGTCTTTACGAGAAAGGGCGGGAAAAATATTAATTGCAGCACTGCGTGGTCAGTTTGTGAAGGGACGCGATCTAGCATTTGAAGGGATTTAGCCTCCTGCGTAAAGTCATTGTGTACTAATTCTCTATTACATATTTAAGATGGCACCATCTAGTTATAAAATGTGTGATTTTTTTTAATTAATTAATAAATAATGGTAACCATATTGTTAAGCAATTGGTTTACACTGGCAGGATAAGAGTAAAAGATGAGAAGAGAGAGTTGGTCTAACATGATGATATCACTTACTAATAATCTTTTATAATAACGTTGTTAAATAATAATTCTCGTGGGTGTCAACCCGCAAGTAGGTTGGCGGTTGCCAACCTACTTTCAATCCCCCTGCTCCCATGGAGAAGGCCTATATTTAGCAGTGGATAGTTAATAGCTGATATTATGTTGATGATTATGAATAATAAGACACTAAATATAATTAAAACAGAGTTTATATTTGTTTACAGTTTTAGACGCGAGATCAAGATTTCCGCGGAGTTTAACAAGAGGGAATGTAGTCGACTTAGGTGGTTATGATGAATGTTTGGGTATAGAGAAAAATGTACGAAACATGAGTATAGAAGGAAAATTTTGTATGGTGAGAATACCACTTATCCAATTTATACATTTAGTTAACCTCTCAGCACCGCTAGAGTTCTCACAAATATCACAGACAGAGGTCAATCGAAACTTATTAAATTTTGAGAACACCAATTATAATGATCTGACATCGCTAATAAGAATACAAACGCAACTCCAAAAATTTGTGGGAATGACACAAGAAGATGTTATGCAAAGGTAGGTAGAATTTTTTTTCTTAACATCGAGGTCAAAGAGCATGTAGCTTATACAGCCGTTCATTTATACGCGAAATATTTTAATATTTAATAAAGTTTCAAAAGACTGGAATTACTCACAGTTTCATAAGCCACTAACATTTGCCACCAGTAATCTATTAAAATTTTGCCGTTTCTGCCGACCTCCATAATTAAATCATATTAATTATAATTTTTTGTCATTGAAAACTTAACGTAACTTTATGATCATAAAAAGAAGTTTTGGACCCAATTTACAGCTCCTAAAATTTGCCGCACTAGACTTCAACCGGCTTGTAAACTCACACATAAATAACCTCACTAATACGCTTTTCATTTAGTTAGAGCTACCATATATGATCATCTATCATCTAGAGTTATTTATTAACTATATTTCAGAACCGAAGAGGTGAATCCAGTTTTTGACGCGAGTATACGATTTGCAGTATGCATTCCAAAGCCCTGTTCTTTACGGAATGCATTGAATATTATATTTGGTCTGCAAATAACTGGTTTGCAAGTTGAAGAAGGTTATTGCAGGCTTCCTAATGACAAACCGTGGGTCGCTGCAGATTATATTGCTGTGTAAGTAAATGACTACTATTATTAAAATTACCCAATTATTGGGTGAAGTTGATGAAAATTTTTTACGTGATTTTTAAATTAAGAACTTTTCAATTCTTCTATATTTTTTTATATGTTATGCTATATCTTTGCCAATTCGTAACTAATTTTAATAATTCTTCTTGATTCAGTAGATAGCATGCACATAAATCTTACGTGTGCAAAAAATATTATGATTATTGATATTGGTATTGTTATTTAATTATTATGAGATATTATTTTTATTTATTATAATTTTTTTTATTTCAGATCCATATTTTCTGTTATTGGTTTTCTTATGGTATTGAGTACTACTTATGATATTCGTCATCGGATATTATTAAAAAGAGGTAAGCAGTTAATTTACGAGTATCTTCTTTGATCCTGCTGGTTAAACTAAAAATATATAAAAGAATTGAGTTTTAATGTTCAATTTAAATTAGATTTATTTCATTTTAACTAATTAAGAGTTAATATTTCTTTAATAATTTATATCGATTAAAATAACTTGTTACATTCACTTATTTGTTTATTTTTAACCATTTAATTTTGTTTCCGTTAATTTTAATTCATGAATAATTTGATATTACTCTTTGAATATTGTAATTTAATTTTTATGGTCCAATTTTCAAAATAAATTTATTATTATTTTTTAAATTTCACTAAAATTCTCATCTGCCCTCTTAAGGAGAGGAGATGGCAACTAACCCCCGGCAGAAGCACAGTCGGCCGGGGTTCAGGGCCCCAGGGAGAGAAACCGGCGTACAATGCGGGCAGAATCTAAGAGCACCGCTTTCTGCATCTTTCGGAAGTGAATCTGAATCCCAACCGTCTGAGATGTTGTTCGAGACTGGTTGGGATAAGACCGTTCACCGACATAACGATTGGGATGATTTCGGTAGATGTCACCCCCCACATTTCGGTCACCTCGTGAGCCAGGTCGAGATATTTTCTCTTCTTCTCGGTTTCGGCTTTCACGAGGTTCTCGTCATGCGGTATGGTGACATCCACCAAAAACACCCTCGAGAGTTGATCCATCACCACGATATCAGGTTTGTTCGCAAGAACGGTCCTGTCCGTGATGATGGATCGGTCCCAGTAGAGCCTTACGCTGTCGCTTTCGAAGACCGGCTGGGGCTCATACTTATAGTACGGCAACCTCTCATTCGCGAGGCCGTACTTCAGAGCTAGCTCTTGATGGAGTATTTTGGCTTTTGTGTCTGTGCAAGTACTCAGTGTTGGCTTGAACAACCCGAAAGCACATGTCTGAGTGACTCTCCGGGATGGCGACATGCTCGACAGATGTCCTCGGTGCCATCCTTCAGAATGTGCTTTCGGTAATTGTTCGTCTTAACCACCTGATCCTGTATTGCACAGACAAAACCCTCGGTCTCTCCGAAGAGATCACCGAACTGTAGCCAGTGCACGGAGGTCTTCGTGTTTACGTACGACCCGTGAAGGGCTTTGAAGAACCTTCCGTGCAACTCCTTCTCTTTCCATACGGCCTCCCGCTGAGAGGTACCCAAAACTTCGGGTTTTCGCCAGTCCTCTTTAGCCAGAGAAAGAGGGGTGAATCCTTTGTCACATTCTATGACCTCTCTATGCAAACCCTCGTCTCTTTTCTCCAGAAAATATGTCCTGAGGCTGTCAATCTCGCGGTTGTGCATGGTCTTAACGCTTAACAAGCCTCGACCACCAGCTTTCCGCGGGATATACAGCCTCATGACTGACGATTTCGGGTGATGCATTCTATGGAGGGTCATAGTTGTGCGGACTTTCCGATCCAGGGCTTCGAGTTCGGTTTGAGACCATCTGAGCACGCCAAAAGTGTAAAGGAGTACGGGTATGACCCAGCCGTTATAAGCTCGGATTTTATTGGCGCCCGACAAAGAACTTTTCAGTACTCTTGTAAGGCGCGCAAAAAATTCCTCGCGGACTGACTGTTTCATATCCGTCTCCTTCACACCGATGTTTTGTGACATGCCCAGATACCGGTATGTTTCAGCCTCGGAGAGGGTTTTAATATTAGAGGGATCTGTGGCGATCCCTTCAGTTTGAGTGACCCGTCCCCTCTGCACATGGAGGACCGCGCACTTGTCTATTCCGAGCGCCATCCTAATAGAGCTGCTATAATCGTTTACGATATTTAGCAGCTCCGTCAGGCGTTCGATGCTCGGATAGCAGTTTCAAGTCATCCATGTACAGAAGGTGAGACACTCGTGTACCTCCTCTCCGATACTGAAATCCAGTCCCCGAATTCTCCAGTAAAGTACTGAGTGGATTCAGGGACAAAAAACCAAAGTGGACTCAAACAATCGCCCTGGAATATTCCTCTCTTTATCTCTATCCGGTCAGCGGTATCCGTCAATCGCTCGCCCTGGATAGTCAGGATCGTCGTCCACTGCCTCATGCATGCCTCCAAGAACACTCGAACTGTACCGTCGATCTTGTACAGCTCGAGTATCCTCCGGAGCCATGAATGGGGCACGGAATCGAACGCCTTTTTATAATCTATCCAGGCGGCGGAGAAATTCCGACGGTTCCGCTTGACCACGTGGCCAGCGACAGCATCAATGAGGAGCAGCTCCTTCGAACCGCTCCTGATCCGTTCTGAGCGCTAGATAGGATCTTATTCTCGTACACATGACGAGAGATCTTAGCGCTCAGAACGGATGTTAACGTCTTATATATTGTCGTAAGACAAGTGATGGGGCGATATTTAGATGGATCCGCGGTATCGTCCGTCTTAGGAGCTAAATGAGTGATCCCGGTTGTAAGGAAGTTCGGGAGCGTCCTGTTTTCGAGGGCACTCTGGAATTGCACGGCTAAGGTCGCATGGCTGGCCGAGAACGCCTTTAACCAGTAGTGCTGCAATCCGTCGATCCCCGGACTTTTCCAGTTCGGAGCCCGACGAATCGCGGCAACCACGTCTTCCTCCGTAATGGCAATGGCGTTCATCGGCGTTATTCGAGCACATGCTTCCTCAACATCGTGCATCCATTTTCATGTTCCACAGGTTCAGACCACAGCTGTCTCCAGAAGGCGACGAAATTGGCTGTTTCGGGTCTTTGTCCTGTGGGCTGTAGTTTTGGGCGCTCCAAGTTCCTATAAAACTTCCGTTGATCACTCATAAAGAGGCGATTCTGTTGATACCTCTCAACCCTCTCAGAGTACCGTCGGAGTCGCTTCCCCCATGCAGCGATCTTCTGCTTCAGTTCATCTATGCGCTCCGTAAGTTTGTGCCCGAAGTCCGGCTGGAACAGACGTACACCTGTCCCAGCAAAGGCCTCTTTTACGGAGCGCATAATTCTCGGGCGTGTGTTGCCCTCCCTGAAGCAGAGCAGTCTACCAATGAGGACTCTGGCCTGGGCGATCCGTCGTTCAATCCTTCTTTTCCAGGCTGGTTTCATATTATCCCTTTGGATATTACGTCCAGCCCGGGGCATTTTTGCGCCGGTATATCGGCATACTGCCAACGCAGCGCCAAACAGGATTGAACTCGTCTCTCCCAGGTCACTGCTGCCCTCAAGGTACTGAGGCAGCAGTCCATTTGTGGCCTCAATGGCATCCCGCGTCGCCACATTTGGATATATCCGGGGAAGCTTCGGTCTCTCTTCGAGGGGAGTTCTTCGGATCTCTAGAATCGCCTCCTCTAGTATGCTCCTCATATGCTCTATATCCTGGGAAGTTGTTCCGTCCGCATCCGCTTCTGAAAGCGTTTCGGCAACCACCTCTACGCTAGGTAGCACGTCTGAGATGGGTTGCTCTACGGTCGCGGAGTTTGCTTCTGGAACAACTTCACTTCGCAATCGTTCGAGTTCGGTCGCGCTAAACATACCAGAGCGCTGTATGTACCGAACTCTGTCGGCTAAGTTCTGTTCCGAGACGGTTAGATCCGGTAAAAGACGCAGAAACTCGCGGTGCATTACTGCCCGGTATCCTGTTCTGCCTGTTTCTGTCCCTGTAGCCCTGAAGAACGCACGCATGAGGTCCTCATTCATGGCTCTTGTCCACCTCATGCGACGTGTACCACCAGTGGCGGGCACCGATTGCTGGGCCTGTGATTGCCGGCGCCAAGCCAGCTGATGTCGATGGCGAGGGGTCGGACCGGCCAGGTGGTGGGGCCGGTCGGCTGGCTCGCATTCTGCCGCGCCTACCGCCAGTTGTAGACGCGCCCCGGCGACCCCCGGGCAGCGACCCTATACTCTCTCCGTTATTATTATTCGCCATCTTTATTTTTGCCATTGCCCCTTTAGCCGCGTAGGTTTAATTTATACGCGTGACCGCCTTCCACGTGAGCTAGATGGTGAGCTCGGACGCGGGGTTGGACTTTGGAAGGCTTATTTATTATTATTATTATTATTTATAGCAAATCACGTAGGTAAAAATATATATAATCTATAATTACGATTTGACTGACGCATAATTTTATGTAAAATAAATACAAATATAAATACATATAAACTGTTTTTACACTTAATTTTTTTTTTATCATTGAATTATTATTTTTAGATCCAAAGACTATCAATAAACTCCTTCTGTCCTTTTCCGTCTATACCAATACTCTGCGATTGGTGACCTACAAACCATCACCAGGAGCTCTAGAATGTTTGGATGGTATCAGGGCATTTGCAATGATGTGGGTTATAGTAGGACATACACATGTAACTTATTTAATATCTGCTCCATTGCAAAATCCTTTACAGATGATAAATGTAAGTAAATTAAAACATTTTTCTTTTAGAGAATTTAAGTAAGTAAGTTTTACCAGAGGGAGACTTTGTACAAAAGTTGATTGCTTGGGTACCTCTGTCCCATTCGTGTTTCAACCGTGAAGCAGTTATGTTTGCATGGCTGTGTTTCGGTTTGAAGGGTGGGATATGGTGTGAATTTACTGGGTACAGAGGAACACCTGACTCCTCAGGAATAGCAACGCATGGGGGGTATCATGGGCGAAACAGTATACTCTATTATATCCATGGTACTGCTCATGTCCATAGGCGACGGTTACTACTTTCCATCAGGTGGGTCGTCAGCTTGTTTGCCATTCTAAGTTGTATAAAAAAAAAAGTAGTTTACAGTAATTCTTTTTTATCTTTTTAAGCCTTATTATATGAAGGCGGAAAAACCTTTATTTATTTTAATTGTCATTTATTTTTAATAAGACCCTTTTGTAAGAGTCTACCGCAATTTTAAATTTTTGTGATAACACCGACAGAGGTTACATCTTTATATAATTACAGTAGCTTCAAGTTTTGCTCCAGTCAGTATCTTCAGCAATAAGAATAGCTCGCTTCAACAGAATATTGGAAGCATGAGAAAGACTTTTAAAGACGGAATTTTCAAATATAATTTTGTTATTAGAATAATTTGAATATATATAGTATCCATTTATATATTTAAACTTCATTTTTCAATTCTATAAGTAAGAGTACATGTGGCAGACTTAACACCTAACGATGTTCTTTACCAGTGAATCATATATATATATATATATATATATATATATATATATATATAATATATATATATATATATATATATATATATATATATATATATATATATATATATATATATATATATATATATATATAATATATTTTTTTTAAATTTTTCAGTTTATGCAGTCATTTTGGTCACTGTGGATAACGTCTTCTACTATAACCGTTGACACTTTCTTTACGCTTAGTGGCCTTTTACTAATTTACACAACGACAGGCAAAATTACAGGATGTAAGTTGATATCAATAAAGAAATAACAATTAAATCTAATTATTGTTTCTTGCACTTAGTAGTACTCATACTGTGGAGAGGCTGGTACAATTCCGGCGAATTAATACTAAATACGATAAAATTCACAATCACACCAGCCGTTACCTGTCAACTGCTGAACACAGGCCTCGCCCATGAAGGGGGGTTTCGCTAGTAGTTGCCACGAATGGCAGACGGGTTAGCAACTGCTGTGAGGGTTTCGTGATGTTGGAAGAGGGACGCTGCTACCTATCTTAAACCCTTAAGATTGACCACCAGCATTACTACCAGAAGTTCTAAACCAAATAAAGACAAATGACAATGCAAATGACAGTCAGAGATTGAGGGCTAATATAGAAAGTTGTAGAAATTCTGGTAGTAATGATGATCGTCAATCTTCGAATGTTGGACTTCACACATATACGGTAGCGGAATAAAACAAAATAATTCTTATCAAATAATTTTGACCTATGTTGAATTATTATATTGCTTGACATTAAAATAAACACTATGTTTTAAACGCATGTAAAATACGTATACAAAAAAATGTAAAGAAATTAAATGCTGATTATGGTACTACGCCATCTATTACAATAGATTAAATATAAAGAACATGTGTAAGTTGAATAGATTGTTTATTTTGCTTTCTGTTCTGAGAATAAAAAGTTATTTACAATTAATACTTCGTCCACAATATAGATGGCGTTATTTAAGACCTAACTATATATATGAATGATAAAATTTTCGGTTATTACACTTTATAATAAAGATGGATCGTGAAACTAGTTTCAAATCAAATTCAATGTATCATATTAATATCATAATGCAAGTGAACTTCATAAATCTAGTTGTGAAAGTAGGATCTCCTTAGTGAAACATGCAATATCGCACAAACCATGGCTAAGTTTGCGTGCATGATAAAATTAAATGGATGGTAATGAAAAATTTTATTAAAATATCACGGAATAGTGTAAAACTGTTTTTTTATACTTTTCCATGATGTTTTAATATCGTGTTTAATATCGTGAAACTAATGCGTGCATGACATATGCAGATATTCATGCGTGGAACTGTTTATAAAATTATTACTATGAAACTAGTTTCATAATAGTAGTTAACACAATCTAAATTTTTTATTCTCCTAAATTTTTTAAGTATATATCACGCAACATCTTTTCTAATTAGTCTAATAGCAGTGAGTTTAGCAGCCATAATAGACTAAATAGATTGTAGTCAAGTATTTGAATGTAATAACATATATACCAGAGGGAGACATTACAAAAGTCGTTTGCTTGGGCACCTCTATTTATTCGTGTTACTACCGTGAGGCAATTGTGTTTGTATAGCTGTATTTCGGTTTGAAGGATGAAATATGGCAGTGAATTTACAGGGTACAGACGAATAACATCTGAGTTCTCAGGAATGGCAACACATGGGAGGTATCATGGGCGAAACAGTACACTCTGTTATGTCCATGGTACTGTTCATGTTTATAGACGACGGTTACCACTTTCCATCAGGTAGGCTGTCAGCTTGTTTGCCATTGTAATTTGTGTAAAAAAATATTTTTTTTTCAACTTCCAGGGAAACTCATGAAGAACCTGCACTTGTTCTACTTGAATCGATATCTCCGTCTATTCCCGGTGCTGGCCGCTTGTGTACTCCTTCAAGCGTCACTGTTCCATCGGGTGTCAGATGGACCTGCGTGGGAGGCAGTTGCACAACAAGCCCTCCAATGTAGGAAATCGTGGTGGCCTACGTTATTGTTCATACAGAATTTTTATAGTCCCTTATATATGGTTAGTATTAGTTATTTTTTCTTACTAAGAATGGTAAACAAATTAACATTCCACCTTATGGCAACTATCGCCTATATGAAAGGAAAGGGATTGTCAGTAACGCGGACTACCAGTCCCATTGCTAGCAATATACTTTGTCAGGTCGACCTCCACATAATCTCCCCTGGAAACCATAGTACTGAATTCCAAATACATTCATGAGGATAGGTTAACTGGTCTGCTTTTTTATTCTCACCTGTCATCGCACACTGGTGCTCCGCCAGTGTATACCATAGGCGCAGGCGGGGTTACCATTCCATTATCATCCATGAAAATTAAAAAAAAAAAACTATGGGCTGTAGAAATTAACAGCATCATGTAGGTATATCACAGAATTCACTGTGGCGCCCATGGATTGCCATTCCAAACTCTATAATTTGTAAACTATGACTTATCCAGACTGAGTGCGTTCCATGTTATACCACCAATTGAACATCTTCATAAAGCATCATCTGTAGCAATATTTCTTTTGACTGAATGTTTATTTTTTTACTGATTAATATTAAAAAATAAAATAAGGAATAGGTCACACCTTCCTTTCCTGTGGGTGTCATAAGAGACTACTAAGAGAAGATAACAGTAGTTTTTTTTAATGGGTGAAAATGGATTGGTAACCCCGCGGGCGGGGTATACACCGACGAGGCGCCAGTGGAAGATGATAAGTGAGAATGAATGCAGGTTAGTTGGCCCACCATGATGAATTCGACAAGAATTAAACATGATGGTTTCCAGGGGGAACCGCGTGGAGGTCAACCTGAAAGGAAACAGTAGAGGTTTGGACAGCAACGTCCCTCTTAAAACATTATTAGGGTCTAAATGCGGTTGCTAACCCATCTGACACGCGTGGGAACTACTATCAAAACCCCCCTTATGGGAAAGACGTTTCAGTAGTGGACAGTTAACGGCTGATATGATGATGACGATTAAAATAAAAGCAAAGAAATGCTCCCGTCACAAATGCAAACGTATGCAAAGGTGAAAAGATTTACGCAGTTTTTTATTTATTTATTTAAAGACAACCATCAAAGCATACATCTACCTAAAATACATAATAATAAGGTTACATTATAAAGTGCTGCCTCAATTAATGGCCGCCACGACACGCGTATTCATAATATAAATAACTATTAGGATGAAAAATGTAAAAAACTACATAGGTATACAGTAAATAGTTAGATTACAGTAATACTTTGGATTTGAAAGATTTGTACACTTATAATCTATACATATCGTCATAACCGTAGAATACTGACGGATCTGACAAATATTACATATATAGATCCGTCAGTATTCTACGACTATGACGATATGTGCGATGATACATGCCATGCTGTTATTAAGCTGATTAAATTAAACTATAAAATTTATACAAAGTGGATTTGAATTTGTTTAAGGTCGTGTTAATATCAATATTAATATAAGGCAATCGTGCCAACTGACTATAATCGCAGCTACTCAATATGTCGTGTGTTATGATCGTAGGTCGTCGTATAATACATATAAGTAATTTACCACAATCTAAATTCGTGATTACCACGGGTATTATCTTTAATATCGTTATCAGTTATAACATAATGCAGTTTGTCAAAAATGTTGTTTGGCAAACACGTATTTTGTTTAATCGTGGATTATTATCATACGTCCACTTCAATGTGACATGAAAAGCGACAACTGTTATTTCTTCATATTTAATGAGACGGTTTATTAAGTTGTTTATTAAGTTAAAGTATTTTCCACTGACATCAAAAAGAAGGAGGTTCTGATTTCGGTTGTATTTTTTATATGTTTAATATTCTATAACTCCATCAGTTCTAAACCGATTTGGAAAATTATTTTTTTGTCTGATCCTATACTTACAAATTTGTTCCATAGAAATTTCAGTTCCGTAGTTAAATTTTTAAACTAAAATAATAAGTTTTGTCACAATTGAAGTCTGTTTTTTCTGTAGGACAATCTTTCTCTTTCTTTAATTATATATATAGGAAGATATATAATAGAAGATATTTAAACTTATGTCCTTTATATCTACATAACTAAATTAGATTACTTTTTATGGAGGTATTAATTCTTAGTAATATAATAGTAATGGGGACATATCATCATTATCAAAGTCGGGGTCGTTACAAACTATTCTTTCGTATCCACGGTGCTAGTCAAATCTACAGACGAAGTAATTACACAATTTTAACGAAATTAAAAATAATTTGTTTTTTAATTTTATTTTTTATTATTTCAGTGCCTTTCACACACTTGGTATCTGGCAATAGACTTTCAACTCTTCTTGATATCTCCTCTTATCCTGTTCTGGGTGGTCAGCGGTAAAAAAAGGACAGCTTGGATTACATTAATTACTGCTCTATTAGCTTCTCTCATAGGATCTACCATTTATAATTTCATTATGGGATTCAAAGCTGGACCTTTCACTCTTAGGTACGTATTTACGAAAAACTTATTTACTTGAATAACGAGAAAACCATCATATATTGTAAGATAATGCAGAATTACATTAATATTTACCATAAAAAAAATGTTATTTAGTCTATACATACTATAGAAGAACGAAATGTAAACTGTCACACATAAGCCCATGTGGATTAAGTTATACATGATATAATTATCATAATAAGTTAAAATAATAAAGTAAATAAAAAGAGAGCCATAAATATTTTCATTAAGAAAATACCTATGACGTGCTTTCGGTTTAACTGATATTTTGTCATACATAGTTATAGATTTGTAACTTGTTTTTAGTTTCTTTATTATAGAATACACATTTTCCATTCATTATTTTCTTCTTTCATTCCTTTTTATCCATGTAAAAAGCGACCAGGTGATTCAGTGGCGAGCTGGCAGGGGACATAAGTAACAGCCTGCTCCGGACCTCTGGGCCTGGGGACTCTAAACGCCATTTTCCTCATTCATATAAATATTCTATGTATATTTCTTTGAGTCTAATTGAAATTTCACTTGCAAGTCATTTGTACTTTAAACATTTATATATACAAATATGAACTGAATAAAAAACTTGTCAAATTATACCAAATTTTTAAGCTGAGAGCCACATTCAACTTCGCTGCTCCGGGACTGATGAGCTTAGTCCGGATACACACACGTTCAGATGAACAGAGTAAGATAAGAAGAATTCGAAATAAAAAGCCTACACCCAACCGTAGGATTAGCGAGCTTTTTTATTGCAATAATACTCATTTACTTTTAATTGAAGCATTTTATTATAATATACCATTTTTCTATTTCAGTCTATCTGCAGAAGATCAACCAGATTATTTTAGCTATTACTATGTGAATCCACTTGTCAGGTCATCGCCATTTTTCGTGGGAATGATATTTGGATACATTCTGCATTTATGTCGTGGAAAAGAGATAATTATACCAAAAGTAAGATGGATTTTTTAATTTCATATATTCATAATTCATAAAAATATGTATCAATTGTTATAAATTTTTGTTTTATATTTTAATTTTTCTACATAAGTTGCTCATGGGCGTTTTTTTGTTTTATTAGACTCAGTTGATGTGAAACTGGTATAAGTTACTACTCATAATATAAAATAATTTTAGTAAAAAAAAAAAATGATCAACATTGATTATTCTTTTATTCTAGGCACAAGTTGCCTTACTGTGGCTACTGGCTTTAATTTTATCATCTGGAGTAATATATATGCATTATCCTGTCATACAAATTGACTGGGACAAGCAAACTGTCAACGATTTAGTTAATTCATTCATGCGGCCAATATGGTCTTTGTGTGTCAGCTGGATGATCTTCGCCTGTGTGCATGGATATGCAGGTATTCTTTTGTTTTTTTTTTGTTTTATAAAATACTTTCAACCATGCTTTTGTATTCACCCAACTTGTTCACTAATACCCCACCAGCATATGCCAATACTGCATGCGGTATTAACATTCCATTATCAATCATTAAAAAAACTCTTTGGTTTGGCATTAAATGTCGCTTTGTGAGATTTCTAATGATCATCATCATATGTATCTGCGATTAACTGTCCACTGCTCAACATAGGGTTCTCCCATAAGGTAGGTTAAGCTAGTAGTTGCCATGCTTGGAAGACGGGTTGGCAACTGCAGTTTAGCTTTTAGTGAAGTTTTAAGTGGGACGCTGCTGCCCATCCCTCGAACATTAAATTCTTTTAGTCGTCTCTTACGTCACCCACGGGAAAGGAAAGGGTAGCTTATACTAAAGATATATAATATAAAAAAAATGTATTTTATTTCAGGTCCTATCAACTGGCTCTTATCTCATCCTATGTGGAAGATATTGGGTAGATTGTCTTATGCTATGTACATTTTTCACTATCCGCTTATGATTCTTGTTAATGGAACCGTACGAACTCCACTTTATTTCTCTAATGAATTCGCTGTAAGTATCAATATCTCAATCATCATTATATTATATCATCATTCATCATCATTAATATTATTTTCTTAAAGAGAGACTGTATCTAATTAATGATATTATTAAAGTGAAAAGTTTGTTTAGTGTGTGTGTGTGTAAATAAAATAAATAAATAAAAATAAATAAATTATATCGAATTTTATCATCATCATCTAAAAGTATATACTTTCAGATAAAAATAATGTTCCAAATCGGTTTATAAATGACAGAGTTCTGAGACAACAAACATAAAAAATGCAACTGAATTTAGAACCTCTTCCTTTTTAAAGACGGTTGAAAAATAAATGCTGCACGATAGTAAAATGTATCTATAATATTTGTTTGGCAAATAAAAAAAAAAAATAATAGTCTAATTAAGGTTTTAAAAAAATGGAAATTTCTAACTTATAATGTTAACGTGTGACGTCGTGAAGTGTGGTCATAGAAAGAAAAAATAAAAGACGTGACTGAGGAAACAGAGTACAATATGCTAGTGGAAATAAACAAAATAAGAACTCAAGTTCTTAAAATCCTATACCGAACTGTCCGGCCAATGTGGTAATAATAGATTTACCGCCTTGTTCACAAAAACTTCAAATTTGTCATAAACCTTTTTTTAGTTATTGAATTATTGTCTTTATCTTTCTTAAAAATTTTCAAGTAACAAAATACTCTGACATAAATGACAATATATATATATATATATATATATATATATATATATATATATATATATGTATGTATATGGTACTATACAGTATATTTTATAAGTAATTGCTAAGCAAATGAATCGAAAATTAATTTGCAATTATTATTTTCAGATTCAAAAATTTTTAGCTGATTTCGTGACAGCGGTTTTAGTTGCCTATATAGTTACAATGTTCGTAGATGCGCCCTGCTCTGTGTTGATTAAGCATTTTTTGGGAGGTTAGTATTATAGGAATAAAAAGAGAACTTGCTTAATTTATAATATATGCTTTTTACATTCACATTTAATTAAATATTTATATTAACTAATATTATTAATATGAAAATGTATTTTTGCATATTAGCGGATGTAATAATTTAACTAACGATCCCGAAGTTAATTATACTTATAGTATTTGTGATAAAGAACTAAACAGAATAAATTTTATCCTGATCAATCAAAACTAATATAATATAAGCTCAAATAATAATGTGCCGATCATAAAGCTTGAAGAACTGATGGGAAAGAAAGTTCTCGAATAACAACACCGTATAGGCAAACATACGTTCGTCGATTAATGATGAATTTGTGTTATTTTACGTTAACAAATAATGATGTCTACTATTGAATTGAATTGAATATTTAATTGAATATAATGACCTTAGTAGTCTAGCGGCTTAATACATAACCTTCCGATGGTTACGGGTTTTGCCCCTATCCTCTCTCTTTTCCTCTATGTATGCAAAATAATGACATTTGTATTTACAAAACAAGAAATATTTAAGTATTTCTATCAGCTGCCTATCTACTGCCTATAATACTTGCTCTGCGGAGGAAGGATTATTAGTAATGTGGTCTATTTAAAAAAAAAGTACTGGCTTTGCTTAATTTGGAACTAGATGGCACTGTAGTATGTATCCGGTGGTATTTATTATTTGACATATTTAAGTTAAAGTACATTCTGGAATAATTTTTTTGATAGTATTTATAATCGTTGAATTTATTCCTTAAATAATGATTATCTTGAGTTATACTGTATTGATATTATTTATGCCGGCTTTATTCATGTTTTAAATTCAGAGAGGCCCGATTTCATAGCAACCTTAAGTATTTATACTTATTCAGAGATAGAGATAAGCCAGCTACCTATCGGTGAAATATAGTCAAAGATAAACGCCTCTGACTACCCCATAATGGAGTAATTATGATCATGTGCCTACTTATATATTTTATCTTATTAAATTCTATCTTATTTTGTTCTTATATTTGTTTTTCAGTTGACAAGAAGCAAGCACAAGTAAAACCATTGAGCGGCACTGATAATCCGAAAGAAGAAAAAAACTAGCAAAGTTATAATCGTATTTAAAATAGCAAGTAGGTTAGGTAGACTATGAATTAATAATGTAGGTACCTGAAGAAGATATTTATTTAACACTAGTAACTTTACCAGATGCAAATTGTACATACGAACCTTCCATAAAAGCATATGGAAGATTTACGTAAGAATATCTAAATTCCAGTTAAACCCGTAAATATTTTTTTTTTTATACAACTTATAATAGCAAACAAGCTGACGGCCCACCCGATGGAAAGTGGTAACCGTCGCCTATAGACATGAGCAGTACCATGAATATAACAGAGTATACTGTTTCGCCCATGATACCCCCCATGCGTTGCCACTCCTGAGGACTTAGGTGTTATTCCTCTGTACCTAGTAAATTCACGCCATATCCCACCCTTCAAACTGAAACACAGCCATGAAAAAACACAACTGCTTAATGGTAGAAACACGAATGGAACAGAGGTACCCAAGCAATCGACTTTTGTACAAAGTCTCCCTCTGGTGATACATAGACGCGGACAGTAACTTTTTAATAAACTTCAAAAAGATGGAAGTTTTCAGTTCGGTTGAACGTTTTTTAATGTTCATGTTTGTCGGTTATAAACCAATTTGGATAATTCTTTTTTTTTTTATTAATCTGAAAGGATATACTTACTGACTAGATAGTACTATATGGATCGAAGAAGGCTACTTTTTTAATTCCGTTCGGTAAATATATCTCAATTACGTGGTCGTTGCGGGTAAAAGCTAATATCGTATAATCCGTAAACGATTCTCAATTATTCTGTATTTATTTTGTATTTATGTTACGCAATATATTGGCCGATATTTTTGTTGAAAAAATGTATTTCTTATTATTAAAAAGTCCTGCGATTGACCTCAATACCATCTAGTGATATGTGATGCTGACGTCAAAGCTTGCGTACTTTTATTTTTGCCTCAAAAATATATAGATTCCTATAAGTCTAGATAAATAAATGTACTTTTAAAGCTATTGAAAGTAATTTAAAAACAAATTCGTCACTATGTTCATTATCATCGTATCAGCCCTTTACAGGCCACTGCTGAATATAAACCTCCCCTTGGGGGGTTTTTCCAGTAGTTGCTATGCTTGGCAGGCGGATTGGCTTACTGCGGTGGCTTCGGTAATGTTTTAAGAGGGACTCTGCTGCCCATTCCTTGCTGTCCTTTAGTCGCCTCTTACGACACTCACGGGAAAGGAAGACGTGGCCTATTCTATGCCGGGCCTATTATATGGGGATACTATATTACAAATTTAAAAAGCTTACAGCGATTGCTATCAATTTTAACTACATATCTAGCGCATTTTATTATTTAAATATATTTTATATATATAATTTAGCTCATAGGAACACAATTTTATTGTTATTAAGTTAATTTAATTAATTAAATAATCGATTACTATGCAATAATTTATTAGTTGATATTATTAACAAATAAATATGTATTTAAAAAAAAGCGTTTCCAAATTCCCTATTTACTTTAAAAACCCACTGCCTATACATAAATATAGACTATAAAAAATGGTCAAAAATGTAACAGAGGTGATGATTGACTGGTGATATAGCAATTATAGATTACAGATGTATCTAATCTTAATCCTCAGATATGGTAACGCAGAAGTACCATGGATAAATTTCCTTTTGGCAATAGGTTGACTGGGAGAGAATGAGTATTAAGTCCGCCTTTTGTACCAGACTTTTTTTGTAATTTTTAGAATAAATAAAATAAAATAAAAAATTAAAAATAATGGTATCCATGTTTGTAATATTTAGACATGAGTCTAAACACATCCATAGTACTTTTCCTGCATTGTCATAGACTATGAGAATGGGAACGTTCATCGCTATTAATAAATCATAACCTATAAGATAACATGCAGATATATATATGTTCCATATACAACAGAATCGATAATGAATATAGTAAACAATCAACTGAAATTAGAACTCCTATATACAATATTTAACTAGTTTTTGCTCGCAACTTCGTACACGTGTATTTTAAAGTAACTATATAATCGGCTTATCAAGATAAAATATTACTAAACTTTCAGTCAGATATCAGCCCTTAACTGTCCACTGCTGAATATAAGCCTTCCCTTTGGGGGTTTTGCCAGTAGTTACCACGCTTGGCAGGCGGATTCATCGCAGTTAGAAATCAAGATGTTATAAGAGAGACATGCCCGATATTTATATATTACGACACTCACGGGAAAGGAAGGGGTGGCCTATTTTATACCGGGACCACACGGCTATCGGACAAACTACCATCAGATATGCAACTCTAAAAACCGCATCCAATTTTTACAGTATTTTTTAAGTGATACCAAAAAAGATATAAATGTTTTAGCTTCGCTTATATTAAATTGCTTATATTAAAATACCATAAAACATTTTTTATTAAATATTTAACATAACTCCTATTTATTACTTACTAGTTACTCTATTTGAGTCATAGATTGTTTTTCTTCTAATACAGTTAATTATTCGATATAGTAACATTTTATGTATTTATTATATTTTCATAATATATTAATATATTAAGTATTGCTTCATATTTCCTTATTCTTAAATGCACCGCTTACCTATATCTCTCTTTGCCCGATGGTTGATTATTTAGGTACAATTAACTATGCATTAAAGTTTAAAAGCAGATATGTTTGCATGGTTTACAAGAGAAAAAAGGTAACGCGATTATTTAAGTTAACTATAATAACTTTTAATTAACGAGATCGCTATATCAATCTACTTGTAACCACGGCTAGTTTAACCTGATCCAAATATCGAAATAACACAGATAAATCTTCGCAATTTGCCAAATATATCGCGTTAATTCCCGTTTCTTATACATAATAAAAAATGCAATATTTAATTGTCATTTATTTATATCCGCAGGAGATATTCTAATATATGTGATATCTATCAGAATAGTACAGATATTATTGTCTGTGCAAGAGAAAAAAAATGTTAAGTATTTAATAATGCCATCACCTTTCCTTAAGAAGGGAGACGTGAATTTTGTTGTTAAATATAAATAATAATAATAGTAATCTCGTTCTTGTTTTTACTAAACCAGTAGCACACTTAAAAGACCGATAATAATAAAAAAGGACAATTACACTTTTACTTAATACTAGTTAGTTTACTATTTTAATAATAATAAAAACTGTGTCGCAAATATCAACGCCCTCCTCCTCATTACAGGATTCCAAAACAGAAAATTAAAACGTACTCGTATAGTTGTTACATCAACGAAGACAATTGTTTGTATCTAGCAACTAACCAACTACAATACTAAATAATAACTATAAACTACAATAAATAAAAAAAAAAATGAAAATTTAAAAACTAATGTGTGTGTGTGTGTGTGTGTGTGTGTGTGTGTGCGCGTGTGCGTGTGCGTTTTGTAAACTACATCAAACAAATAACATTACTGGATACGGATCTTTTCCTATTAGAGAAGATTATTAACGAATTATTACTGTAGTTAGTATACGGGTATGGTTTACAATTTATTTCTCTGGAATTTGTTAAGATTCTTTTTCTCTTACACAAATTATATCTATTGTTATCCATATTTTTTGGAGATATTTCCCACAATTTAGTTATAACAACACTAATGTGAAAAGGAAATGCATTCAAAGCCGTAAAACATATTGATTAAAAAAACAATGAAGATGTGCAGTTTTTTTTATAACACAGGGCAAACGAGCATGCGGTTAGTTGATGGTAAGTAACTACTGTCGTCCATGATCATCTGCTACACCAGAGATATTGCAGGTGTACTGCCGGCCTTTTAAAAAGGAATATGCTCTTTTCTTGACGGTTATGATTTCGTATCTGTTTGGAAATATTGCTGCTGGATGTTGATTCCAAAAAATGGTTATGTGTGGATATGAATGACTAAGAAGATGACTATGAAGATACATACGTAACGAACAAGTGTCAGTTGAGACTTTGATGTAACTGGAGTTGATTGATTTTTATAATTCTAATATGTTGCTAGGTTTCTATATGGATGTGGGCTCGTACTCACTTGTTGTGGACACGATTTGTAGTTATAAAACGTTTATTTTTTTATTCTTCATTATTAAGTTCATTAACTTTGTTCCAGTCTTGAAGATTAGGCTCTTTTTTGAGCTTTCCAGTTGCCCTTCTTTACGATTTCGAATATTTTATTATCAAAGGAGTGATAGTATTTGTTAACTAACGCTATTGTAGACTAATGAAACATAATTAATCGTATCAATTTAATACAAAATCAGTGAATTATAAACTGAACAAATATACATAGATAAGATTATACGATATATATATATATATTATGTATCGTATAGATTGTACTGCTCAAATTATATTCCTTGTCGATAATAAAAACCCGCCGCGAGTTAAGATTAACTTAATGATTTTGATTGTTTAAAAAAAATGTTTTTTAAGTTTATTTTAATTATCATAGCTTCAATTGTAGTTACAGTAAATGGTTACCTTCAAATGGTTGTACCAGATAATAAAAATGCATTTGATCTTAATTTGTATCAAGAAGTTTTAGATGCTGAACAATGTGCTGCACAAATTAAATATATATTGAGAAATAACACTATGTTATTGAGTCAATGTAAGTACCATTATATTATTTTAAAATAGAAATAAAGTGATGAAGATATTATAACATCCAAACAATAATATACTTAAGTTAATGTTCTTGAAACGTTCTAAGAGACTATAATTATATAAGAATAGGATATTATAAATTTGTGCTAAGTTAGAAATAAATAATTGAAGATTTATAAAATATAATCAGTTTGAACCCTTACAAAATAAATGCAACACCAACACGAGAATAAAGAATTATAATAAAAAAATATCGTTATCAGTTAAAAATTCTACTGCATAATGCACAAGATAAGTACAAAATATAATGAAGTTAAATTGACTAATTTACAAAATTGAGTTACTATTTAATTCTAAATATAAGTATTGTAAATTCGTAAATTTATTATTAATGGTAAGTTAACATATTAGAACTATACAATTAAGACTATGCAATACTAGAACCAATTGAATAAAGTGACTAAAAGTCAATTACTATTTTAAGAATACTTAATTTCCAGTTTTGAATGCTGGACCAAAAACTCCTCGAGGTCTATTAAAAGGTAATTTAGTTGATTTGGGTAGTTACTATGAATGTTTGGAAATACAAGAAAAAGTGCAGAATATGGATATAGAAGGGAAATATTGTATGGTAAGTATACCACTAAATCAAGAATTTAGCACAATCAACTTATCTGAAGAGCTAGATTTAGAAGATATATCGTGGCCAGAACTACCATGGACAGAATTAAATTCTAAAAAGACGCGCATAAAAAAGAGTACATTTGAAGGTCTTTTAAAATATAAAATGCTAAAAGCAAAAATTCAAGAAATCTTTGGATTAACTTCGGAAAATATATTGAGGTAAGGTATGTTATGAACCTTTTATATTTACACAATTTAAATATTATCTCATATATCGCATTTACGTTATTGTAAGAATTTTTTAACATATTAGTATTTTTCGTTTTCATACAGTATATTTACTTGCACTTCTATGAATAATAATATAAACAAGTTTACCGAAATTTTTGTCGGCATTTTGTTTTTTTATGATCATATTCTTGTTTTTATTATCCTTACTAATATTATAAATGTAAATTTGTTTGAGCTTATAACGCCTCAATCGCTTAACTAATAACTATGAAATTTGCCATACATGTACTAATTGTATCTCTTCGATCAATAAATATATCTCGGCTATGCGAATGAAGTCGAAGTTAAAAGCTAATATAATATATATTTGAAACTTTATAATTTTATTAATCATTTAATTTTCTTTATTGCAGCAATGAAAAATCAAGTGGTCAATTACCTAACTTGAAATTCAATCTGGCTGTTTGTATTCCAAAGCCTTGTTCTGTAAATGAAACATTTAAAAACCTACTAGGAGGTCTGAGTGAAGTAAAATTGGATTTCACAGAAGAATATTGCAGACTTCCAAATGATAAGCCTTGGACTGCTGTTGATTATGTAGCACTGTAAGTAAATGTACTTTATTAAATGATTGATAAAAATTATTTATTACTCCTAGCTTTTTGTATTTTTACGGAGCACGTTTCTTTAAAAACAGTTACTTTGTAAATATCTACGATACATGGAGAACTTAAAATTTGCGTGATGTATCAAAAAGTGCTGTCTTGATTTTTTAGATGAAGAGTTTTAATATAAATTTTTAATTTCTAGTTTCAATTTCGAACAAGACAGAGATTTTATGCAAATAGGTAGGAGATTATAACAGAAAGACTTTTGTATAATGACTTTTTCTTTTAATTATTTATTTAAAAATTATATTTGAACATAATCTATACCGTTTATTTTGTTTCAGAGTTATATTTACAATTATTGGTGTTTTAATCTTCTTAAGTACTTTTTACGACATTCGTCATGAGGTTATTCTGAAAAAAGGTAACGTAAGATATTAAAAGTTTAATTTTGAGTTTATGATATAAAATTTTGAGTACATGGTTATAATTTTTATCAAATGGAAATTGATAACAATGACAATTCTTAAAGATACACAATAGTATAAAAGTTTTTACATAAATTTCCAGATTAAGAAAAAATGCTTAATCTGGAAATTAATGTAAAAACTTCAAAATCCTTGAAACTTAATTTGGTATTAGTAAGATTTTCAAAACAAACTAAGGGCTACAATATTAATGGTGTAAGTGAGTCTGTTAATCTGATATTAGTAATGTAAACTAACATATTGTGTTATAATGCACATAAAGTTTTATTATCAAATGTGAGTTTGTAAAAATGTCTGGGTATTTGTATATTTGTTACTTTATCACGTTTAGACAGTTGATTTTTTATAAGGATTTAAATTAAATTTGGTACACCAGTAGATTATATTCTTACCAATGCCAATATATAGGATAATTTATATATTGATTCACGTAAAAGAAATCGTAGGAAACAGTTAGTAAATAATAAATCTATTATTTATTACTTGATTAGATGCAAAAACAGCAAATAAATTATATCGATCCTTTTCAATATATACAAACACACGGCGGTTGGTGACTTACACTCCCAGTCCTGGAGCGCTGGAATGTATGGATGGGATTAGAGCGATTGCAATGATGTGGGTTATAATTGGACATACATTTGCCAATCAAATGGTATCAGCAACAGTATGGAATCCTTTGGATGGCTTGAATGTAAGTAATTGAAATTAACAAAATTGGAATATTTAAAAAATAATAACAAATGTATTATAAAAATAAATTAATAAAATAAAATATCAAGTTACCATTATGATTACACATGCCGCAGAAACAACTGTCTACAGTTACATGTATTCTTAGATTACTCTATTGGATTAATTTCTAACTCTACTTTTTATGTATGAAAATAAAATTATATATCTAATATCATTTTTAAGATTTAAAATACAAGTAGCTAAAGTTACTCCGTTAGAAACTAATGAGTTATAACTATATATATATGAGATAACACAATTGTGTTATTATATCCATTACTTAATACATAAGTAGTAATGATCGTCGACTTCTAAAGATCTATTTTTTGTTAACAGTGGATATCATCATTTTGGTCTCTTTGGATCACTACTGCTCCCATTACAGTAGACACATTTTTTATGATGGCTGGTCTCTTAATAGTTTATACAACAGCAGAAAAAATGACAAGATGTAAGTTTAGTCTTATTTAATAAGAAATGGGCATGGAATTTGTTGATACATTTAAATTATTATCAATTAGGGAAATCTTTCTTCTTATTAACCGTGACATCACTTGTGACAAATCATAACAGTGATTTTGTTTACAATGATTTTATATTGCACTAGTTATTATATTGCTATTAAAAGTGAAATATGAATTATGATTTTTATGATAAGAGCATGCGAATAGAGACTTTAATGCAGTCTGATAAAAATCTTTATTCGCTCACTCTGTACAGCCGAGATGGCCAACTGCTACTATTTCACATTTCTGTTAACCTAGGGTAGCGACTATCTACAACATCATTGAGAATGATTTGTAACAGCTTGTGTGAGTGACGTATGAATTCGAGTAGCATATAATATTCTTCTATTATATGTAAAATATTCCAAGTTTAATAAAAATGAACCTTCAACTTTTTTACAATAATATTGGAAAATATTTTGTTTAATGTTATGGTGAAGAACAAGTCTGATTATAATATAACGATAACAACAGATATTAGTTAGATAAATAACTAATATCTAAGAAAAAAAGTGATTTAAAGTTTGTTAATTCAAGTATTATTTTGCAAAAGCCAATGCCACTCATCTTCAATATTAGTATTATAATTTTTTATTCCTTATTTAAGAAAAACAAAATAAAGACAACGTAAAAATTCGGTAAAAAATAATTTGTACAAAAACTTTTATTTAACATGTTTTGCAAATTGTAAGTAATAGCTACTATCAGTGGTCATTTACTATTTTTTTTTGATGGGTTCACCCATCATAAAAACCATACCATTTTCAAATGGTAGAGAAGGTGAAGGGTGATAGATATATCTTAGCCCATCAAGATATTCATTAGGAATTTCTTAAAAAGGACCTGGTTGGGTATTAGTGGTAATAAAAATTTTCTCAACATTATTAAATTTGGCTATAACTGTTTTTTTTTTTTTTGGTAAAAATAAAATAAATAATATTTCATCCATATAAATTTTATAACTTATTTTTCTGTTATTTTATTAGCGTCTACTTATATTCACACTAATAATTTTTAATTTCTTTTTTCTTTTCAGCAAAATTAATAAAGAATCTTCATCTCTTTTATCTCAATCGTTATCTCCGTCTTTTCCCCGTTTTGGCTGCCTCTGTTCTTCTGCAAGCATCACTTTTTAATCGGGTGACAGACGGTCCTAACTGGAACACTGTTGCGCAACAAACTCACCAATGCAGAGTGTATTGGTGGCCAACATTGTTGTATATACATAACTATTATAGTCCTCGCTTTATGGTTCGTATTTCTTTCCATTTTTCTGCAATTTGAGTTGTATAGAATAATTTGTATATAATCGGTAAATATACTGATAATAAAATTACATTTCAGTAGTGATTGGTCAATTAATAGTATCAGTCGTTAAACAAATTCGTTTATTAATTTTTATCATTGTTGAGATACTTATCTTTATTAGATATACTATATAACTTTATGTTTATATATTAGATTTTTTTTTATTTTTTTTTATACTCAGAATGCCAAACAAGCTGACAGCCCACCTGATGTAAAGTGGTAATCGTCGTCTATAGACATGAGCAGTACCATGGACATAACAGAGTATTTTAACAGAGAATTTTAAAAATCAAACCCATTTACCTATTCATTAATTTTTATAACTCATAAAATCTATATTTTGAAGAAAATAAAATGCTTACATTTCTGCAAACTTATTATGTGTATAATGAAAGTTTATACAATTTTGTTATTTGTATAAATATTATGTTTTTCGTTCTTGACATAAATTGAATTAAGTTAACAAAAATGACAAACAGTTATCATAAGAAGACACATACAAGTTCTTAATATAAATAAAACATTCTTCTTAATCTTACTAATTTTATTAGTTATCAACTATGTAATTTAATTTTTTCTTAATTTTTTACGAATTTTATATATTAATTTAAGTCAACATTAGATACCATAAAATCAGAGATGACATGTAGCATGGGGGGTATCATGGTCGAAATAGTATACTCTGTTATGTCCATGGTACTGCTCATGTCTATAGGCGACGGTTACCACTTTTCATCAAGTGGGCCTTCAGTTTAGGTCAGTTGTTTGCCATTCTAAGTTGCATTAAAAAAACTTATATTTTAAACTTAAACAAATCCTATAAATCATTATCATATTATCATCTTCAGTACATGTAAACGAATGTAAACGAATACATTTATCGTGTTTTAAATAGTTTCCTTCTGGTTTCATATAAGTTATATTTAAAATAAATATGGCTTTACTTTCCCAAAGAGGGTTGACGTCAGGAAGGTAGCCGGTCGTAAAACTAAAAACCAAATCTTTTTGTAATATGGATAAAACCATATTACGCCGACCCCAAATGATTGGGATAAGGGTAGGAAGATGATGATGGCTTTACTTTTTTTAGTGTCTACCGCATACCTGGTATTTGGCAATTGATTTCCAGCTTTTCTTTTTATCACCTATTATTCTCTTTTGGGTGGTTAGCGGGAGAAAACGAACCGCTTGGGTTGGACTATTTGCTGGATTACTAATATCTTTATCTGCAGCTACTATATTTAATTTCATCATGGGATTTCGATCTGCGTCGATAACAGTTAGGTAAATATGTGATCTTTTTTTATCAAACTTGCGTCAGATTAAATTGCTCCATAGATAAAATATCTATTAAGGTTCCAATCGAAATATAATAGATTATTTTTGACAAATATTTTTAACCAGCAGTAAATAAAGGCAACTCTGTCCCATTCGTATTTTTACTGTGAAGCAGTTGTGTTTGTATGGCTGTGTTTCAGTATGAAGGGTATGCAGTATCATATTGAACAATTCCTCTGAGCATAGTCTGTTGTAAAAGCGGGCAGAGTGAGGAGATTTATATGGCGTGAATTTGCAGTGTACAGAGGAATAACACCTGAGTCCTCAGGAATGGCAACGGATTGGGGGTATCATTGGTGAAACAGTATACTCTGTTACATCCATGGTACTGCTCATGTCTATAGGCGACGGTTACCACTTTACATCAGGTGGACTGTCAGCTTGTCTACCATTCCAAGTTACATAAAAAAAAAGAGATGGACAGCAGCGTCCCCCTTAAAATATCTCTAAAAGCCTAATTGCAGTTACCAACGCGCCTGCCTAGTGTGGCAATTACTGGCAAAACTCTCCTTATGGTAAAAGCTTATGTTCGGCAGTGGACAGTTAACGGCTGAAATGATATATAATGTAAAAAATAAAATATACTCTTTCAGAGAGCCAAAAGAGGGGGAACCTAATTACGACACTGGATTTTATATTAATACCCTGACAAGAGCCCCACCTTTCTTTGTGGGAATGATTATTGGTTATGTTCTTCATATTTTCCGAGGGAAAAAAGTGGTAATACCAAAGGTAAGCATATTTTTAAGCAATTTCCAAAAAAAGTGTATAGTTATACTATACACTCACATACATCACTATCGACTCGTATATATATTTAAGGATGTATTCTACAAAAAAACAATTGTGGCAAACCCAGTTGTTTTGATTTCAAAACTAGACGACTTAACCGATTTTGATAAAATCTTTATGGGACCAATTTTTAAGCACGTCCTTTTAAATAAAAAAAATCTAAATTGGTTTATAACTGACGGTTATGTTATGAGATAACAAAAATAAAGAAAATAAAATCTAATTGATGATTTTTTTTTTTGAAGTTGGTTGAATATGTGTAAAATGTAGGTCTGTATATTATACAATATATTCGTTAACTTAATACATTTTTCGACATTAGAAAATAGAAAGTCCTCAATTGAATTTAATTATACTTTGTATAGAATAGTCCAGACATATAATAGGCCACCCCTTCCTTTCCCGTGGGTTTCGTCAAGGAAGGGCGAGAGATGAACAGCAGCACCTCTCTTAAAACATCTGCAAAGCCTAACTGCAGTTGCCAATCCGCCTGCTAAGCATGATAACTACTGGCTAAACCCCCAAGGAAGTTTATGTTCAGCAGTCGATAGTTAAAGGCTGATTTTCCAATATAAAACGCTTTATTTTTTATCGTTCTCACCAGCTATATTACTTTATGGTCATTTATTACATGTATTTGAGTAGATATTTAATAATATTAATAAATTAGATAAAGAATTAAATATAGATAAGTTTATGAATTGTAAAAAAATGGTATTGACAATGAATTACTTGTTTAAATTGTCGTGTGATATCAATACATATTTCTTAATTTTGTTAAAACCCACTTATTCCATTAACCGCATAGATAGCTATAATATTATAGTAGAAATTTAGGACAAGTTCATTGTCTTGTTTTCTATACATTATATCTTTACCTACATACTTTATAATGACGAATATCTATTATAATGCAATAAAATATGTTACCAAACGGATAATATTGAACCTTCAAGGTGACAGAATGTGGTATCTTTTTATCGATCTTAAAATTATTTTTTTTAATGTCACAATAAATAAGGTCATTGACTTTTAAATTTTATCTACCGGAAATTGCATGTTTGATAATATTAACCTACATTATATCCTTCAGTTTCAGTCTGTTTATTTAGTTCAAATGATTTAGTATTCGTAACTTATCGTGTTTTTAATTTTTTAAGGTAATAATAAGGAGTTAAATATATCTGTTTCCTTTTATATTTCTCAATAAGTAGTAATCGTTTCTCCAAGAAAAATTGCACATTCAATGGACTCAATACTGAATTAAATCGATTGTAAAGAATAATCATGAAATTTCTAAATTGTCGTTCTAATTTGGCAACGTAACATATTAAAAAAAAAAGACACATAAATTAAGAAACTCCTCCATTTAAAAAACATCTGCTGCATCTGAAATCAATATATTTGGGATGGGCGAAAAAAGTTATGTCCAGATAGGCAACGGTTACCACTTTCCATACATTAGTATTTAAAAAAATCCAAAAAAAAGTGCAGTCAATATATCGATAAAAGAGATCATACTAGTATTTATCGTAGTTAATCGACATATTCCGATCACGCAATCGAAGTCGCATGTAAAAATTAGTAAGATAATAGTTTTTTTTTACAGATACAAGTGACATTGTTATGGCTGTTAACCATAGTATTATCATCAGCGGTAATATTCAGCAACTACCCAATTTTACAAGCTGATTGGGACAACCAACTTGCAGATAACTTCCTCAATTCCTTCCAGAGATCGACATGGGCTATGTGTATTGGTTGGTTAATATTTTCCTGTGTACACGGATATGGAGGTAAATTTACAAATTTCGCTTATCTAGGAAATCAGATATTAATAGAGAAATATAATATGTCTAAAAAATATGTATAAAAATATAGTCGTATTTTTAAGTTAAAATGGCAAACAAGCTAACGGATCACCTGATAAAAAATGTTTACTATCACTGTGCAATTTATTATATATACATCAGTATTTATCAAAATGTGGATCGTGACCCTTTAGGGGATCCCCAAGCCTTTACAAAAAGGTAGCAATAGTCACAAAACTGTTAAAAAAATTATTCTATATCTATTTCAAATATTGGTATATGATAATTTAGTTTAATAATAATAAATACAATATTATTTTAGGTCCTATTAACTGGTTACTATCCCTTCGTATGTGGAAGATATTGGGAAGACTCTCATACGCAATGTATATTCTACATTATCAACTTATTTTTGTTATTAATGGCACACTGTTATCGCCCATTTATTTCAACGTCGAGTTCTCTGTAAGTGAAATTTACTGTAGTATCTATCAATATAATAATTTATGAAAATGTAAGCAAATTTAAATGAAATTATAATCATAAATACTAATGGAAACATTATTTAAATGAAAGCAGTAACAAATCGAAACATTCAACCGATTCATCGAGATTTAATTTGTATCTATTAAAGACACTAACGATTTGGCAAAAATATTTTTCGAAAATAATATATAATAATGTAGTTTTCTAAAGGTGATATTTTTAAAATCAGTTGAGTAGTTTTCGAATTTATTCACTGATGATGATGATGATATCAGCTTTTAATATTTCACTGCTGGATATGTCTTTCCTTTGGGGGTATATCAGTTGTTACCACATTTGGCAGATGAGTTGAGAGCCACAGTTTGGTTTTGGAGATGTTTTAAGACAACCGCTGTTGCCCATCCCTTGTCTTTATGACACTCAGGGGAAAGGAAGGAGTGGCTCATTCTATGCCGGGACCACACGGCGAAATTTACCCATTACAAACAAATAAACAATCAAATCTTTCTTTATAATATTCATATAGATGAAAAGACCAGTTTATGATGAGGTCTATTAATTGTTTAATTACATATTCATTAAGGTTCCATTAATGTAGAATCATTATTATTTATTTTTTTAATAAAACTTAATATATCTTAATAGTGTAACCATAACTATTTTATTAAGAATTTATGTTTTTCTAGATTCGTCAGTTTATCGTCGACTTCACGATATCTCTGCTAGTCGCCTTTGCTGTAACACTATGCGTTGATTCACCATGTTCTGTATTAATTAAATACTTCCTTGGAGGTTAGTTTTAAAATTTAATTACGAATATAATTCTCATAAATCTCATATTTTATACAATTGCATTAACATAAATTTTGTTAATAAAAATAAATTACTAATGTACAATTTTAGTAATTTAATTTATTAACGATGTTTATGCCACTGCACAATTAATCATAATACTAAGTACATATAATGGGTCCTGACCGTTTTCAGTCACGACGATCGTTTTGGCTCCGCTGTTATTAGTTAATTGTCTGCATAGGAGGCTGTTGTTGGCGTTAATGTACTCGGATGTGGTTTACCAATATATAGATAGCCAATCTTTTAAATAAAGCTTCATGCACATAGCGGGCATGCAAGCAATACTATTGCTGTTGTTGTACTGGTGATCTAGCTTTTATTTCATCTCTCTTTGCCTCTAGTTTAGAAAGAAGTGACTTTTTAAATTAATTCAAGTACATGACATGATTTGAACACATCATTTGGCCATTTGAAGAGAGGAAGGATGAAAGAATAATTACGATATAGATTTATCAAGTATGAATGAATGGAACTAAATAGTTGACGGGCTGAAGGAGGACCAAATTAAAAGTATCTGTAACCGGCGAGCGTGTGTCGAAGCGAAAGAGGTCCGTTTGAATCGGAGCATTTGGCGTTCCATTGTTTTTATACCCACTCTAATACGACAGGAGTGACGGATATGTATGTATGTATATACATACATACATATATATGTATATGTATGTGTATATATACACATATACGATGTTCATTTTAATCTGGCGCAACCTTCTTGAACTACTTGTATACGCAACGTTGTTTATTACTTTTAGAAAATATATAGGTGTTCATTGTCTTTTAATACTAACTGTATAAGTATATTATGACTATCTGTAATCAATAAAATAATAATATTATTATTGCACAGGGTCCAAACGATCGAAATCAAGTCCGGCAATACCAAGTTTATCCATCGAAAATAAGAAGGATACCGTCGAAGTTCCATGATTGGAGAAGAGATTTAAAATATTGTGATAGTGCCACATTTTCTTACCAGTTGTCCAATGAACACGTGTCTAGAACAACGTGACTAGAATTTATCATGTAATCATTCGGGACATACCAAAAGCGTAGTAGTGTAATAGTAACATATAAAGTAGTTCCTAACAAATTCTTTTGTTTGCTTGTGTGTTTCTCTTTAGTATAAGGATATAAAGTTTACGACTGAAAATATTAAAGATTATGTTTTAATTTAGAAAAAATATATTATAAAACAAATGGTTTTACTTGTTTATTCAATAATAGTAAAAGAAAATTAAGGGCAATAGTGTAATATAGGAATAATATAACAATAACCTTACAAAAGCTCTGCCATCCGCAATTCCTTTCCGCCATCTTATTTCTGTAATCCAATCGATAGATCAGTCTATTACACTCTCAGTCATATATTTTGTTATTTATTCAACACTGAAATTTCATCAAAATTTTGCTCATAAATAATATAATAATATAATATAATATTTATTTTTTATCATAAGCGTATACACATATATCTCACACAAGTGTTCTAAAGCTTTGTTGTTATTCTGTGAATGAATAGTGTTGCAATGATATAAAACCTTTTTTTATTAGGTCTCTAAATGATCGCTTTTGGGGGGCGAAGCGATTGGTAGTTAGTATTGGAAATTAATAATCTCATTGCTAACAGGCTAAAATTAACTATCAGGTCGACCTCCACGTCGTTTCTGGAAAATATTTTGATTGATTCATTGTTGAATTAGTCACGATGGGCCAACTGACCTACTTTATCTTCATCTATCATAACCAAATAACCAAAACAAAACAGACAATTAATAAAGCCAGTGATTTATATGTACATATTATGTAAAATATGTGTGAGCGTGCATGCGTGTTGTGTGTGTGTGTGTGTGTGTGTGTGTGTGTGTGTGTGTGTGTGTGTGTGTGTGTGTGTGTGTGTGTGTGTGTGTGTGTGTGTGTGTGTGTGTGCGGGGATGTGTGTTGTGTGTGTTATGTGTGAATGAAAATGATATGATAACCCGGCCTGCGCTAATGGGCACCAGTGAATGGTGATCGATGAGGATGAAAACAGGCCAGTTAGCCTATCATGATGAATTTATCTGAAATTAATTATGACGTATAAATTTACATTAGGGAGAACAGAATGGAAGTTATAAGGGATTTGTCTCCATTACAATGAATTATATATAACAATCCCATTTCTAATGTTTTTGAAAATGTATATTTGCCCCGTTTTGTCAATAAATAGAAGCCTGACAAAGAGAATTAAACCAAGGGGTTACCATTTCATTATTATTTATTAAAAAAATGATGATTTGGTTGTATTATTTAAATTAGATATGAAAATATACACGTACACAGGTTAAGAGACACCAAGCTGTACTAGTTCTTTATGAAGTAGGTAAATAATAATGTATCTATATTAATAGTTTCCGTTTCATGCTATGTAATAGCATATTTGATAGCGCCACCTATTTATTTCGATTTCTATCTCTATCAGCAACTGCGTATTTTCAGTGACCATGATACAAACAGCAGTAGAGAACAAGATGTGAAATTACCGGTAGTATAGTATATTTTTAACAGATGGCGGTATTTTGAAAAACTGATTTAAATTAAAGTGATATCATGAAAGTTAAATTCTTAGTTCTAAACAAAAGTAGATACTAAATGCTATTCTGTTTATTTAATTTTTACTGTACTCGTAAATTAATCAATAACTTTCTAATTATCTATATTTAAATATAAAATTTAAGATTATGTTCCTAAAAAAAAAACCACTTTAAATATGGCAGTTATTTTTAATTAAAAAACTAATCTACTATATAGATTTTGATAAAATTTCTAAGGAACAAATCTGAAAATATGTCTTATACATAAAAAAAAGGAATTTTCCAAATAAACATAAATAAAATAATAATTAAATAAAGTAAAGTGACCGAGTTAGGAGATAATAAAAATATAATCGATTTGAGAAACACCTTTTTTGAAATCAGTTGGTAAAATAAGAACTCGGTATTTTTGTAACTTATTTCTAACCAAAACTTATATTTTTTTATTGATGTTATTTTCCTGAGAATTATCTTGGCTTACTTAAAAGATATTACAGGAGTAATTTTAAGTAACTTGATACCTACCTTGAAGAAGTAATTAATGCAAATTAGTAAGGGAAATAAAAAATACTCTCATGAGATAAGCATTCATTATTAAAGACACATGAGGAGTATATATTATGTGTATATATACATATATAGATAGATAGATACTCTTTATTGTTTCCTCCAAAAGATTACAATAATAAACTTATTATAAATATAAACAATTACCAGAAATAATCACAATGAGAAAACAATGGGCGACCTTATCGTTAAAAGCGATCTCTTCCAGGCAACCTTTGGATGGAGAGAAGTAATTATAAATAGTCGTAAGGGAAATAAAAAATCGGAAGCACAATGGTCTATATATCATATTATTTCTTATTATAGAGATATGATATATGTAATAATGCAAAAAAAAAAATATATATATATATATATATATATATATATATATATATATATATATATATATAAAACGTATAGTATAATGCGCGAAGTCTATAAATGGCCATTCATACTTTTATGCGACAATTACCATTTTTCACCAGTAAATTGCAGAGTACGGTGCAGTATGGATGAACAGTCATAAAAATAAATCTCCAGGATTGCTTAATCTGATAAGCCCGAATGAAACTGCAAGCGATTATTTATAAATACTAATATAAAACATAAATATTTAAGAGTCATAATAAAATATCACGACATCCAACAGACCGTGCAACCCTTGATAATATGAATATGAGTTTGTTTGTTACATCTTGACGCTTTAACAGCTTAACAAATTGTATTAAAATTTTGTAATTGGGTATAAGAATGAAAAATAGTAATTGGAGAGAAAAGGATCAAGAATTTTATACTAGTCAATTACCATATCCCGGTAATTTAACCAAAATTAAAAATAGATAAAAAGTAATTATGCATGAAAATGAAAAAATAAATCCATTGCTTTATTTTAAATTATATTTTTATTTGATAATAAATGTTATACGATTTCCCGTAGGTATCGTAGGAGGCAACTAAGGGAACTTAATGTTCGAGGAATGGACAGCAGCATTTTAAAACATCAACCAAGCCTAGCTACGGTTGCCATTCCGCCTGCCAAACCTGGCAACTACTGGCGAAACCTTTATGTTCAGTAGTGGACAGTTAATGGCTAATAATGAAATAATAAATGTTATATGAATAGTCAATTTATTCGTATCCAAAAAACTTTTAAGGCCAGTAATACTGCAGATGATGGATATAATCTTGCGTACAAAGTGTACCTTTATGTAAACTAAATAAAGAATATTATGGAACAATATTTATAATAGTTAGTACAGAAACATAAAGCAGTTTCACCAAATAACATATTTATTAATTGTTAATTTAGTACTTCATGTACTAGGTCAATGTGTCGTCTCAACATTTCTGTTTTATTTTTCTTTATAGTTCTCTAGTTATATAAGTTCATATTTATTATTTTATTTATAGTAGCTGACAATGAATAAGAAATAACTAAGTATAAAAAGTAAGCAAATGCTCCATCACATTATTAGCAACGTCATATCAATATCTCCTACAATAGAAACCATTGTCTAAAATGAATAAATTCATAAATAATTTTACATAGTTGCGGGTAACAATAATTGCACAAATGGGAATCGCACTCGACCGCTTTTTCTCCACCATTAAATCCTGCCTCATTCACATACAAGAGGCAAATGCATTACCCTTTGTGACATTTCAAAGCAGAAAACATCTCTTGTTTGCTCGTTTATATTTTGCGGGAAGTTTATACCAACTGGCGACCGTTACTTTTTTGTCCATTAGCTAACTACTCTGCAAGCTGAGACGCATATTTTTTATTCAATAAAGTGGTATGCTTCTTAGTATAATACAGATTATATTGAAAGAAGATTTTTTTATTTATAAATTCTTGTATACATACTCTTTTAAATCTACTTTATTAATTAATTTACTGAAATTTAATTTAAATAAATTAAGAAATTATAATTTAATCCAATTTTCATTAATAATGTTCGTACCAGGAGACATTTTGCATTACCTTTCAAACAAAGAGACTTGAATGTGTTTAAATATTATCAAGCGACTATACTTCAAAAGTGACACTTAAACATTAATTATACGTAATAATATAATTATATATATTATATTATAATTTTCTATTCAATCATGAGGCTATACGTAATATTTCACTTGCCTACCTATTAACTTCTCAACTGACGAAATACAATACAAACTTTCAACCTTGACATATGGGTCAGTCAGTCAATCGGCATTCTCTTTTATATATCAGCCATACATACATACATATGTACATCCAAATGGACGAGAATCAATTATCTCCAGTTCCACTCGAGATTCGACCCTCACCTGTTATGCAAGTTTATAATAATTTATAATGTCATTGGTATATATATTTTTATATACTTTATATATCTTAAATATATTAGCGGAATAATTTTAGTGATAGCAGTTTATGACGTATATAGACTATTAAAACAATATTATATTATAATATACGACTGAAAAAATATTGATTTTTTTATTAAAATTATAGCGAGTCTTAACGAGGTTAAGTTATGAGAGAGAGAACTAAGCTAGAGAACTCTAGCTTAGGAACCTTGCTTTAAAAAGATACAATTATTTGTAAATTTGTTGTTAAAATTTGTTGTGTTAAATAAATATTTAGAGAAAAAATATTATAAAATTTACTTTGACACTTAAAATTATTTTTTAAACTTAATGAATAAAAATTTAACACTGACTGACTAATCGAAAAAGTTATTGAAACATTATCTCACTCAAAAATTTTCGCATCTTAAAGTGGTGAGTGCAGAAATTTAAAAGTACAAAATATTGCACTTCGCCTTATAATAATAATATAATGAATTTATTATGAAGGTTTTCCTTATTATTTCCAGGAAAAAAGTAGGAAATGGGTTTTTGCGCAGAGGAAACCGTAGTAAATGGTAAATAATTTAAAAAAATTCGGTCCCAATTAATGCAAAAGCCTTTCGTAACCTCAGCATTGCCAGATTGAGAAGCTTTTTCACAATGTTGGGTAAAAATTTTGTTTTGTGCACGCGAAATTTTAGAGAAATGAAACAGTTGGAGAAATATGGGTATATTTTTACTGTT